GCGGTAAAATGCAGTTCAATTAGTATATTAATCTATTTAAATGGATCATGACTGTCATAACAACCCCCTCTTCCCTTGCCCATCCCTCTGTCAGGGGTTAAATATTGAGCTATACTTATATTGAATTCAGGCTATTGTTTTTCAGAGTAACAAGAAAATAAACACACGTGGAACACAGTGTCACCGAACCTCTCGTCCTTCAAGCCAGTTCTTTCTTGGAATTTTTGAACTCGCCCCTGGTGTGGGACAATTTCACCACTTTAGATTAAGCCGAATAAAAGACAGTGTAGCGCTTGTGTATCCGGTATCATACATAACACTTAAACCATGTAGTAAAATCCTAGAAAGTGACACGTTTTCTGTTACACGGGATGTATATAAAAACAATCAGACATAATGACCTACGTGTGGTGCTGATTGTCACATGAGCATAAAACAATACAAAAACATAAACTATAGCCAGAGGGCGATGGTTTTATCACACACACTTACCGTATTTTTTCCCGTCTGATGTCTCGATGTGGTCCGATTCATCATCAGGGTCCACCTTTCCGTTTCGTTTTCCCATCTTTGGAGTAAATACAAAATGTTAAGTCACGTTATAAATTATCCGCCATTGTTGTATATTCACCTGGCCAAATTTACCTGTATATGACACAGGTAGGATACTTCCCTAATTTACTCTTAGTAGGACTGATAGCACGCGACGCTTAAACTGATATCAGCTAGCTATAAACCGGCAGACGACTTGTCAATCAGGATGGGATCTATACTTCTTTTCCCGCCAAAATATACAAACCGTGTGTGCCGTGCTACGTTCTACATATTAATTAATCTCACTAAAAAATTAATTACTTCTACATAGCAAGTAATCCCAAAGAAGATTAAATTGCACAATAATGGAAAGCTCCCTTTTTCTTGGCGACGTGATGCGATGCACTATTATACTTGTCACAATTGATTTTTCTTACAACGTGCATGTGTTACCTAGTCTGAAATCGGACTATTATCCTAAAATCGGTCACGTACAGGTGAGGAATGACCAGTCTCATTTGATGAACAACTTTTTAAATAATTTGGAAAGAAGTGGAATTTGCACAATCTTCATCCTTCAATAAGATCCATACTTCCCCAATGGTCCTTATGACCAATGCATGAAGATAGGTTATTTGTCTAAGTTTATTCTTTTCAAACCACGACATTTTTAAGATTTATCTCCGCTTACACTCTTTTTCCGATAAAACTATTTTAACTTGTAAATATGTGGCAAGCAACAATGTATCGCGCTGTCAGGTGTCCTTGAAGTTGGCAAATGTCATGCTTGATGGGCGGATTTAGCCCCAACGATCCTCCGGTTTGGAAAATCGACCGATATGCCCTGAATATTGCGATACAAAAAGCCATAATGATCAGCGAAATTGACATGATTGGTATGCAGTCTGAGAGAGATGTAGAATATTTTACTGTAGGCTAACGTGGATGCAATGCCATAAATTTGAAGGCGTAAAAACACATAATATGTACCGCATGTCGTTTTTTACTTTTTTTTTTTTTAGAAATCTATCACCTATTCTCTTCTCTTTTTTTTTTATTCCAATAAGCCTATTTTGCTACGGGCTGCAGTTCTACAGTTCCAAGTTTATATTTCAGTCAGATTGCACAGTTCTTTAATTGGGATAAGTGGTGTTGTATCTTCCTTGTGTAGTCCTCCTGTATAAACTGCTTTGTTTTCTGGAAAACCGTATACGTTTGATACGTATCAAACGTATGTAGTTGAGGAATTTCAACGAAATCTAATGTTTGCAATATCTAGAGAAAGATTTCATTAAAAAGTACTTTTTTTTCTAATTCTGTATTTCTCTTACTTTTGTACAGAGGATAGGTGTAAGAAATAAATCGTTCTCTGTTTCTTTATACTAATTAATCAGGGTTTATAGATATCGTCGTGTCACGTGATGACGGAATTGATATCTTAGTGCGTAGTTATATATATGTTGTCTTATACCCAGTAAAAACAATAGGAACTATGTATTACTAAGATTGTTGAGATTTCTACTCAACAATCAATCTTCCTGACGACATTTCCCACTAACATCGTTCGAACTAGTGACCCTTCGATCTCTAGCCCGACACTCTACCGAACATTCCGAAGGCCGAGGACAGTGAGTTGGACTGTACTCTCAACTTTTAGGCTGCTTGACTGAAATTACCACAGCTGAGACTTGAATATGACCTGTACTGTACTCTTTCCGTACGCATGCGAACCTGGCCCCACTTGTATAAAATATCACAATTTCAGATTTCCTCAAGCCCAGATTTTCCTCAGCTAATATCTCCTTGAAAATATCTTGTATGAAAATTCCTCAAGGAATTTCAGGACATCCTAGCCGATGACTTCCTCCTGTTCCTTGAGAAAATTTTATACAAGCCGTTTTTGAGGAGATATCAGCAGAGGAAAATCTCGACTTGAGGAAATCTCAAGTTGAGATGTTTTATACAAGTGGGGCCTGATATCAAAGCCGTGAAATCTACGTTTACTTTAATATTAATTCGGGGTAAAAATAACGACAATCACCGTTTCCGTTCTCTTTTATGCTGAAGTTGCATCCCGCTTTCATATGAAACGTGCTCGGTTGAGTTAGTTAAGAAATCCACTGGAGATAAAGGATTGATTATTCTACATTTGAGATATGGTATGATTGATATCACGAAATACATTCGTTATGTTTTCAGCGTCATACATACCTCCATAGTGTAGTGATTCGGTGGTGTGATTTGTACCGGTGTCTTGGAAAGAATCAGCCCTGGTAACGATACCACTTGCATAGTAACAGAAGTTGTTACCGAGCGTCACCAAAGTCATACATAAGTTGTCTGATGTCCTGAAAATGGGACTTTGTTCAAGGAAACAGGAAGACATAATGGGAAGAAATTTTCTTAGTTTGCATGTGCAATTCAAGAAAACTCGTCTAAAGAAACAGAGGAAAAGCAGGGAAAGTTTAAAGAGGAGAGGGTTGATAAAGGCTTCGAAAAACAACCAGCCAGACGAACATACATAAAAATTTATCAGAGTACTTGTGAAGATTAGGAGCTCAATGGTAAACATGTCTTATTATTTCCTTTTTGCGTATTGTAGCGACCGTGTTCCATCATTTGTTGTCCGTCAACATTTTCACATTTTAATTAATTATTTGTAATTGTGAAATTCATACTAGATGGAGTTGGTAAATGTTTAGGTAATTCGTTAATATATATAGAAAATGCCTACAATATCTAGAATATTTTGTTCATCGGAAGTCGAAATATAGCTCAAAACCGCCAGTTTTGGAATTCAAAATTAAAGTAGATGCATAAAGATGGGTCTACAAATGCACAAAATAGTTTTTTTAAGACCCAGAAATGTCATAGTGTTGAAACTCTGACGAAACAGGCTCTGTCTCTTGGGGAACGAGTAATGGGGTATAAAAAAGCATATCAGTGGCCGTTTTAAAAACCTACTCTTTGTAAATGCTATCATTTAAGGACATTGCCAGTGTACATCCACATTCTAAGGACAAAAAGATACCCGCGGACTAGAAGTGTGACATTATTTTTGCTAAAAATAGAACTATATTATAAGTAATTTTACCTTTAGACCCACAATCCTCTCGTTATATGATGTTTACGATAAAGACAAATCACATGGGCACTATACATTGCATTTATGAAAAGTGTTCTATGCAACAGTAACACGAACTGTTGTTTATTTTTATATCTTATATATATACTGGACACAAACAGTATCGTTTTTTTAAAAATAGATTTATTTGTATCAAAAGGCAAACATGAAATATGAAATACAAAAATTAAGTCAAACAATAAGAAAAAAATTTTGACCCACTTTGAATCAATTTCATTCAAGGGTGACGTGTATCATTACACCAAATATTCATAACCCTCTAAAACAAAGTCTCGATATCGTTGAAAATCCAAAAGGCTTCAGTGGTTTCAGCAACACTTTCAATAGTGAGTGTGTCTTCCATTGGCACCAATAATGGCACGACGTCAGCTTGGCATACTGCGAATCGTTCTTTTGGAGTGATATATTTTCAGAAGAACATCTGTTTTAGTTTCTATCAAGAGCATGGCATTAACTGTTTTAAATGCACAACTGAATATATACAATATGTACTTCCGTCATCAACGGGAAATATTTTTTTTCGATTTACACAATAGACACTAACATCCTACACTTTCTCATATCAGTGTTACCGGTTAAGGACTGCACTCCTATCAATAGATAAATCAGACCAAAATACCAGTCTGGTTTCCTGTTGAGACTGAATCACAAACCAACAACCACAGCAGACTGTTGTTACCACTATTGTAATAATTATTACATCACGGGCAGGAACTACATTGTAACTACTACCACTATTGTACTGTAAGAATCTGGGTTCTGTTCTCTGGCCAAGAGATACCAGAGTCATTATAAACTAATCCATTGTGTACAGTGAAGTATCAACAATATATTCAAACTGTATCGTTTAACTATAAAACATAAAATGTGCACGTGGATAAACAACACCAATAATACATTCTTTTTCCTAGTTCATTGTATATATGTACATGATTTGAACGAACAAATAAAGAAAACACAGATTTCAAATTCAAACATTTACATATATACCCTATCCACAGTCCATACAGTGAGAAAAATAGATTTGTTCATCTACACTACACTACACTGCACTGCACTATACTACATGTACTAATGATACGAATTGGTGACGAACAAACTACGTTCTGCTTGAAGCAAAATACACTTCAGCATGTCATATATTACACACAAAAAGTAGTTTTTTGTCTCTTTTTTTTCACAATAATACCACTACCACAGATTCATCTAAATCCTTATTACATGATAGCATAAACATTGGAAACAAAACAATCTCGTAATTCATCACACTTGTAACTGTCCCTAGTGTACTGCAGGATTGTCCTCCTTTTTCATACACATATCAGATCTAACACACATTACGTTATCACAGTTCACTGATGATCAGATACAAAAATTCAGTTTAAAAAGTTGATCTTTATATTCTTTCCAAGTCGCATTGCAGCGGCCATCTTGTTTCAGTCAGTTACTCCTCATTTTCGCGGTACTATTAAAAGAAACAAACCAAGTTTATTGATCTCACTGATACCTATAATCACGGTGCATTATTCTTATTAAAATAAACACTATTCTGTCACAAACACATCAATCATCTGTTATAACAGGAGTTATCTTCTATACTCACACAAAAATCTATACCTTTTCCCTTAATGGATTCGTTGAGTTCTACAATCCCTTGTTACAACAGATAGAAATCTATAAACATTAGGACGGAAATTAAAACGATACATAAAATACGATCAATTCCAAATGACAAAATGGTACGCCCAAATGATCATAGTGCTTTCATCAACAATGAGTTAATCCGCTATATTTACTATATTTCATCAGGTAAGGCCGGTACACTGGCCTCGAATTGACAAGTATATCCACTATAAAGATGTCATCAGGTAAGGCCGGTACTTTGGCCTCGAATTGATCAGTATATTTACAAAAAAAAATATATATACTTACGGTATGAGGAGGTGTCGATTTCATCAGGTAAGACCGGTACATTGACCTCGAATTGACCAGTATATTTGCAAAAAAATGTACTTACGGTATGAGAAGATGTCGATTTCATCAGGTAAGACCGGTACATTGACCTCGAATTGACCATATATTCACTATAGATATACTTACCGGTATGAGAAGATGTCGATTTCATCAGGTAAGGCCGGTACTTTGACCTCGAATTGACCAGTATATTCACTATGAATATACTTACCGGTATGAGGAGGTGTCGATTTCATCAGGTAAGACCGGTACATTGACCTCGAATTGACCATATATTTACAATAAATATACTTACCGGTATGAGGAGGTGTCGATTTCATATAAGGCCGGTTTACAATAAATATTCACTATGAATATACTTACCGGTATGAGGAGGTGTCGATTTCATCAGGTAAGACCGGTACATTGACCTCGAATTGACCGGTATATTTACTATAAAGATTTCATCAGGTAAGGCCGGTACTTTGGCCACGAATTGACCCCGAATTAACCAGTATATTTACAATAAATATACTTACCGGTATGAGGAGGTGTCGATTTCATTAGGTAAGGCCGGTACTTTGGTCTCGAATTGATCAGTATATTTACTAAAAAAAATATACTTACGGTATGAGGACGTGTCGATTTCATCAGGTAAGACCGGTACATTGACCTCGAATCTTTCCTGTACTTCATTCATAATGGCAGCCTCCATTTCGTTGGAGATGAAGGTAATTGCCATGCCTTTCGTGCCAAATCTCCCAGCTCTAGCCACCTACAATAATGATTATGTCGAGAAGTTGTGAACACGTGTTTATAATGAAAACACCTTGTGTGTTTACATGCATTGATACGGAAATCTGTCGTCACCATTTAAATATGTAATAAACTCACAAAACATTTTTCAGGTTCAGATCTGTGTTATTAGTTGTTGATATCCTGGAAACTATGTCGTATAGGACTCCCACGTGGTTACCTTAAAATCTACAAAGGCAACCACGTGGGGTGTTATATTTATGTGTTATATTGGTAAGTCAAGTAAGGCTATGTTAACGTGTAAAGAAAAGATGATCACTATATTTTGTCACAGACACCATTGGAGCAAGGTGTCCGAAATATGTAATCTGTTGTATTAATCCCCTTAAAAATACCGGCCAAGATCACCGCTTTATGCTAGGACCCCCTCGGCCAAGATCACCGCTTTACGCTAGGACCTCCACGGCCAAGATCGCCACTTTACGCCAGGAGCCCCTCGGCCAAGATCACCACTTTACGCCAGGAGTACCTCAGCCAAGATCACCACTTTATGCCAGGAGCCCCTCGGCCAAGATCAGCATTTTACGCCAGGAGCCCCTCGGCCAAGATCATCACTTTACGCCAGAACTCCCTCGGCCAAGATCACCACTTTACGCCAGAAACCTCTCAGCCAAAATCACCTATTTATACCAGAATCCCCTCGATCCAGGTCTCCAGTTCATGTCAGAGCCCCTTCTGTACTTACCCTATGGAGGAAGGTGTCAGAGTCCTCAGCCATATCGTAGTTAAAGACTATGTTAACACCAACAATATCCATTCCTCGACCAAACAGATTTGTGGACACCAAGAGGCGCTTCTCGAATTCCTTAAACTGTTTGTACCGAGATAACCTGTAAAACGTGTAATTTTGATTGCAATTAATTGGAAATCGTCATGATACGAGATCAGAATCTGAATTACACTATACGTTTAAATAATAGTGCATCGCTATCTAACCTATTGTAAAACGAATGGATGTTTCGTGAATGAAAAGACCCGCACCTTTCCTCTTGCTTCATGGCACTATGAATGGTTATCGCCGGGAAGTTCTGTTCCAACAACAGTTGTGCCAGGGTCATGCATCTCTGAACGGACTTGACGAAGATGATCACCTGTAAACAAGAAAATATCAATATAATTGTCACATTAACATCCAGTGGTGTCAAAATAGAAGAAGAAAATTTCAATATGTCAATATAATCAGAATCCAAAGTCAATTCAATAAAACTATGGCAAAATATGAACAAAACAAAGATTTACAGGGAGACTCCTGTTGTTGGAACAGAATAAAGCGAGTAGTTATGATAACTTGAACGTAGGAAATAAATAATTTATGACGATGCGTTTCACATAACACTAACTTACCTGATTAAATTCCAGAGCATCGAGTAGCGTCATAAGTTGTCTGTTCTTCTCCTTCTCTGTGACCTTGACATAAAACTGACGAAGGCCATGCAAGGTCAACTTTGAACAGTCATCTACAAAAACCTCTAACGGCTGAAAAGGAAGAGGACATGGTAAGTATTTATTTCGTGTTTAAAAACTTGTGGGAAAAATATCGTTTATAACATTAAATCATTTGAAAAAAGAATTGTAGTCAAAGGGTTTTTTATAGACATTTCGAAAATATGAAAATATATAAAACTGTTACTCAAACTTTCATCTGAAAGCGTTTACATTTAATTGTTATGTATGGAATAAATCCTAAATAAAACCGCCCATTGACAGGATGACAAAGTCGACAGTGTGATGGAGGTCAGCTCTGTGATTCAACAAGTCCAATTCCTGTTGTGAAAGCAATACTTCCTGATCAAAACAACCCGGTCCGCCGTTGACATATTCGCCTCGTGATCACGTTGGCACAAAGTTTGTCATGACGCAAGAACTTCTTTGATCGAGGAATCCATTTGTATAGCAACAGAAATCTAGTTTGGAACCAATCTTTTTTCACACAACACATCCAAATAACAGGAACAAGTTAAGAATGTTCGAAATTAAACAACATGACCGAACTGAACTGAAAATTAAGCAGCATGGTCGAACAGATATTTCATGTCGAGTAGGAAAAGCTCCATAACTAAGAAGATGGTTTGTTTCTCGGATGTGACCAATCTCCATTAATGAGACGCGTGTGTCGTGACTGAATGGTCCACGATAGAAAAAACGGTCTACAGAAAAACTCCTGGAGTCAGAAGGTACTGGAGGCGTGTAAACAGTTCTTGTACTCAATTAAAGTCACTTGTTACTGTAAAGTTGATCATGTTGGATATAGCGAAACGGCTGTCAACATCAGTCTTCGTCTCTTAGTCACTAGTACGATAAAGCATTGTCTTTAAATGGAAGTCCATATTTCTGGTTATTTTGCCCACAATCTATTTTGAGTGACTGATTGATATTTTCAAAAGTTTTAGTCTTTAATTTCAGAGCTTACTGATACGGCGTCAGCCTTTTATATTCTAATTACAGATTATTTTCCGATAGTTAAACATTCTCTTGTTCTTTTAGTATTACACTTCTATAAGTAGTCACCGAGATAGTATACTGTCCTTTAGCATTTTAACAGATCAATATGTATTGTTTTTCTAATGACAAACCGACGACTGACCGAAAATCTATTGTTCTCCTCTGTGTAACAACCAGTCAATAATGTATTTTTTCTACTTTTTTTCCCTCTCCCATATAACGACATACATTTATAGTCAACTGTTAAATCTGTCAAATGATTAGTTCTACTTTACAACTTTCCATATCACGACGTGTAATAAATGGACTGATCTACATCACAACCTCATTGTAGGCTGTTCTTTATATATATCAGCATGACAATAATACGGTAACTTTTGTCTATTTCACACCCATCTTCAATGTAGTATTCTATATTGCTGTCTATTTTTTATAATGTTATCTCTGCATAATGATTTTTTTGTCTGTATTACAAATTAACGATACTGTATTGTTCTCATTTACCATTACTTATAAGAACACTTCTCGTTTCATTGTTTTCTATTATAGCCTATCAATTATTACCTATAAAGTGGTTTACGTCTCACTGGTTTCTTTTTATCGTCCAGTATATGACTTTATCCAATATGATTCACTATACAATAAGACTTTCAGGGGTTTTTTATAGTCATGTCGTTTTGTAGCTAACTGTCCGTCTAAATGTTGTTCAATAACTCACAAGAATTTCCACATATTGCTGAACAATTCACGCGGTGAATAATTTTTGAGGGGCATGACCCATAGTCAATCGCTCTTCATATGATTATTGCATTTGATTACTTTCGCTATCGTCTATTCATCTTCTCGTGTAACATTACAATTTCTTATTCAAAATGTTCCATGGCGCAAATCATTGCATGACGCTGATAGTTCGGTATTTGGAAACTGAAACAATTCTTGCACCGCGAAATGTCATACTTCATACTGTTGTCCTTACAAAGGCTATAAGAGTTGTGATAATCCCAGTGAACTGATGATAGCCGGATCGTTATACATGTAGAGCAGTTTTGCAGTCTTTCTCTCGTTTTGAAATTATGTTCTCTTTGAGCAAAAAAGTTTTGGTGTCCATAGACGAGAAGGTGCGTTGCCTTCCCGAGATATTTGTTTAAATTCCTTTCGTAATTGATAACTGACGAACAGCAGAATGAAAACGAAAGCCAGATCATCCATGAATAAGTTGCTATGACAAACGCCTTTCATTGAAAACCCAACAGATTGGTCTGACAATAATCAACGGACTTTCCAGAGATAACCAGAGATACAAAGTTTTCGAACTTGATTCTTCTCTGATCACTTCACAATCGGCCAAAATTGGAAATTAGACGACATGGTGCACATCCTAGATGGTTCTTTATGGCAGTCATTGGCACAATGGTAAGATATGGAATGATGACTGTAGACGGCAAGTACTGGGTGTGCGTGATATAACAAAGTCTTTATAATTACATCCTGCATAAACCTCTTGCAGACAAGACGGGATTCCTTCCCCAAGGTTGCGCTGAACATCATGACTTGTTTCTCGTGTGGCGTCATCTTGAATATCTCCTGAACGTCTTTCCTCATGCCTATGATTATAGTAATTAAGATACATATACTGATACATTTTAATTACACAGAGAACAAACGAGGATTTATGTATCAATCTCCGTTAATAGGCGTTAAATCACGTATTGGATAGTTCTTTTTGTCTTACCTTATTGAGATTTGTATCAAAATGTAACATTACAGAACGAAGGTCCGTTTGTAAGAGGAAGGCCAACAACAAGAATATCAAAATAGTGTATAATCACCTACCTAATACTTCAAGCATCTTGTCACATTCATCCAAGACAAAATGGCGGATGCTTCCCAACTTCAGTGCTCCTTTCTGAACCAGGGCTAAGATACGGCCGGGAGTTCCTATAACAATGTGAGGGCAGTTTTTTGACAAAACTTCTTCATCGCGCTTGATAGGAATTCCTCCGAAAAATACAGCCACCTTGACATTGTTCAAATGGCGAGATAACTTTCGGTAGTCGTCTGCGATTTGGAAGGCAAGTTCTCGGATGTGAGCCAAAACTATGACGGAAACCTGAACAAAGAAAATAAGATATATCTCATCTACAACGAAACATATTTACATGTAATTTATTAATTTTCTGTTGACTCCGTTTAAATCTACTTAAAAACTTTTGCTTGGTATGGTTGACCAATTGCAAGAAATATCTGTCATTTTTTTTCTATACAATGAGATGAACATGTGTCTTCTAAAAACAAAACAAGACACCAACCAGAAACCCTATACTGGATTGCTCTGCTTCGGTCATACTGTTTTCATATTAAATCATGCATTGGTCTGAAGAGTTTGCAACGAATAAGGGTAAACCTTTCGTTACCATGGTGTGATTTTTATGTCAGTGATACACAACGTTAATAACAAAACTATAACCTAGCAATATCTACCTGGCCGTCTACGGGTTCTAGCTGTTGAAGAGTTGACAATACAAACACAGCTGTCTTTCCCATTCCAGACTTGGCTTGACACAACACATCCATGGATAGCATTGCCTGAGGGATGCACTCGTGCTGAACTGGGATATATAAACCATCATCAATTATTTATCAATCTAAATATCTACTTTATGAAAGAAATACGGGGATATTTTAACACAACAGTTTATATATGCGTTCCAAACAACATAGAAACTCGCTCTTTGTTATTAGATGCTCAGTTAAACAGTATAATTCAAAGTTCCAAGCTGTATCACATGGATTTCTATTCGTGAAAACATCAATAAAAAAACATTTTAAAAAAATCACCATATTAGTTGCTGTTTTCAATCCCCATTCTGAAGCAAAAGATGTGTAAGAATCCGGTAAAATGTTTACCTTGTGATGGATGTTCGAATCCACAGTCAGCTATTGACCTGAGCAGTTCCGGTTTCAGGAGGAAATCCCTAAATCCGGAGCTATGTATAGAAACATATTCCCTTTTCATGCCGCCCCCGGGGGTGAGGTCGGCTTTCTTAGAGATCGTGGTCTCATCCTCCGGGTCCTCTATATAGTCCAGCTCAGTGTCGCTATTTTCAGCGGGATCCATTATTAGTATCAGATGTGATGTATGAAACTGCAAACAAGTGTGTCGTGATATCAACATCGTCACCGACATACTAGAGACCTACATATCAGAGACCCGCATTAGCGAAGGGTATTTTTAAAGTCGTAGTGAATCAAATTAAAATATTTAGTTGTAAATTTAAAACCAAAATTGGCTTGCTGAAATGGTTCGGTTACCAGTATATAGATAAGTTATCTTATACATGTAGAAAAACTGAGACGACGTGATAATTCAGAGCTGATATATAGTGTACTTGATCTAAACTTAAATATATTTATACTTGCAAACATGTTCCATTTGATTCTGACTGGTACCTACACATAATGTACATAAAGAAATATACCGAAATCAATAGATCTCTGCGATGATATTTATATTAAGAAAGTTTCCCTCCAGTTATCATTTCAAGTGAAAAGTCGATTACCTCTTAACTTTATACACTTTTGTATTTATCAGGCATGTCAAAAAATGTTACCGGTTCAAATGAAAAATAATTAAAGATGGGCAGAAGATCACATAAGTCAAAATAACGAGCGTTAGGTGATACGCGTGGGTCATAATATTTGTATTATGTGTGAAAAACTTTATAAACATAAATAAATACCTGTTAAAGTAAATTCTTGTATAATGTGACTAAAAACTCCCGACTGGAGATATTGCGTCAGGTAGTGTGTATTTATTGTTGATAGATGGAAAACCATTACACACTGATTAAATATAGACGTCGCATGTTTATTGCACCACTGCTTTGCAATAGTACATGTAAGAGTTATCTCCGGTGATATAGGAATTTTGTGTTTAACTATTATACAAAACTGAGTCCTTGAGTGCTATTTATAGGTGCTGTGATCATATTGGGGATAAACAAAACAGTTTCACAATACACCCGCAATACATTTATAGCAATAAACTTCAAAATCTCGCGCAGAATGGATTATTACTTTAAGTCTGAAGTATGAATATATTGTATTTTTGTATACCGATCTAATAACATATATAAAACTTGGACACATATCAAAACCACATTACGTAAGATGGTTGGAATCTCAGGGCCATTATACCTATGTTTACGCTTCTGTTTAATTATTGATATGTTATAACATTTCCTGAAAAAGCGAAAGAAAAGCAAGAAAGAAGTTCAAAACGAAATCTGTTCAGAGTGGGTGCTTAGAACTGCATTACCGGGTATTATGTCTGAACACGGGATGGAGCAAGTCTCAGCGAAAAGGACATACTTCATAAACAGTACATTTTATCCAATAGGACATACCTGCTCAACATTCATTTGGAAGATCCTTTCCTAAATCAAACCTGAAATTAATTTAAAAAGCAAACAAGACATGCAATTGCTAATATAAAAAACGACCCCCTCTTCCATCAACACAGTATAACAAATTCGTAAAGTTGTCAGGAGATACAACATTTCTAAAATATTTTATTATTGTGGAATTTATGAAGAGGGGATTCTGTTTTTTTTTTTTTTTTTTAAATATTCATTTGACATTCAAAGTTTAGTGTCATACATGTTCATTGCAAATTCCAGAAATTTGGCACGTACTCCCAACCCACAGACTACTATACATACTATATATACAGAATGTTGATTGGGAATACCTGCCAAATCCATGTGTTCCTTCTTCCCACTAAGGTACTATCAAATTAGCATGATCATTTGTCTTATCACTTTTTTCCCTTTTTTCTACTTATCATTCAGAAGAAATTGCTTTCAATACATTTGCGCTGCCATCTTGAAAGGCGTCTAGTTAATTTATAGAACTAACATGTAAGCATGTTGTCTAATATTCTACTTGTCGTGTATTATGACTGTGTGCGTCACATTTTATACCCTAGCATTATTCCTGAAAAGAAAAAAATAGGTCAAAGCATGTTTAATCCCTGTGATTGGGTCAGTTATTCATTTCAACTGCCCTGATAGTCTGTTCTCTTATCAAATTATAGTGGACTAATAAAATACCTCATTATTTCTTGTCATTTATCACATGACAGGGTCCTTTACCATGACATAAGCTCTTTACTCTGTGGGTTTGTGGGCTAAAAATGTTGGCCAAGTCCCAAATATGTAATAATGGGCTAGTCTTCCTTGCATGAATCAAGTTTGTTGTTTATCAGTTTAAATTTCTCAGACTGCTATTCAACACAGCGACAAGTATGATATTTGGTCATTATTTTATTTGTAGCTTGAAATTAAAAACATTCAAACATACATGAAACAATGGACATTTCAAAGCTTTATAACATAAAATTAACATTAATTGATAAAAATACAAAATTGTAAAACATGGCAATTATATTATACATCATATAACCATTGGACCAAGGAATTTGATCCCTTTCAGTTTTTTTTCAACATATCTGACCTTTTTAGGCAATTAAAGAAAAAGTCAAGAAAAAACTTCATGTGACTTTTGAAGTAAATTGATGCATTAAATTTCAACCATTGCAATATATGAGACCCATTATCATGAATCATTTTCATCAGAAGTTGCTTTCCATGACTTGAACCAGAACCTTGAAAAGGTGATAAATATCATTTATTACAATGTATCTAAAGTACAAAAAGCAAGCAAAATGTCATGACTTTACAGGCAGACACAACAGCATCTATAAAGTTCAATAAATGACACAACAGGCCAAGTTAGAAGTAAATTTACAAACTATAAAAATGGCACTCCAACCATATCTTTGCTGAATTATCATCCATGCAATATGATTCTATTTGGCAATGAAAATAATAATTTTATACTGTATATTGAAACAGACACATGTAGAATGTACCCTTTATATAGTTTCCAGTATCAAACTAAAAGATTTGAAAACTTCTAATCATCAAAAAAGAGATATTATTATATTGTCACTAACTTGAATGAAAATCACAATCACACAATGAGAAGTAACCAGACTGGCATAACTTAAAGTTTAAAACATACACATTAGCCTGGCAGTAAGTCTGTATCTTACTCAAGTTGTTGCATACTTTTGTTTTTGCACTACTTACAAGTAAAATAATTCAATAATTATATCATAGGGCGAATTATATAAAAAACATTGCCTTGTATAGTTAGACTTATAGTAAACAAATACTGTTTACTGGTAGTTACTATACACAGGTACTGGTCACAATTTAAGACCCTACAAATTGACTACTACAGATATTGATTTATGCAGGTAGTACTTTACTATAGTACAAAAACAGCTGTCTACCTTTAGGAAAACAAATTGTGACTGAATCCTGTGCTACCTATATATATTTGTCTGTATACGAATATGTATGTTCTCCTTAGTACTGGTACAACTTGCATAAATATACTACATACATTGGTTCACATTATGTTAGGCCTAGCTTACTGAAACATGTCAACAAATGAAATCTACTAACTAATGGGATCCCTGATGTTGATGCTCCAACTCTTATCTACTTGTTATTCACATCGATAGAAAGAAAAAGAAATCTAAGTAACACAGATAACATGAGTGACCAATGAATAAACAAGCATTATACATAATCAACATCAGCTACATGGAAATAAATGAATACAGAAACAGCAAGTTTATTAACTATATTAATATACCATGTCAGCACTTACCTTACTTTGTTTCATCATGTAACGAAGTATTAAATGAAATGAGATATCTGATTTTAACAGGATTACTACTTTGCTTGATGCCATATATTCATGTGTATACTAAAATTAATATACACGTAATTCATTCAAAGAGGCAAAGTCTTTGATTACATTCCATACAAACTAATCACTTCTTTCCTCAAATGTATAAATTATCACAGATCTACTTTTTAGATCTCTGATAAAACTAACCTCCAACCATTGTTCCCAAACATAAACAAAGTGCAATGAAAGACAGAAAAATTTGGTGCCTTTTACAAACATTATATGATGACAATGTCAATTTTTTATATGCAAAGTTATAAATGTTTCAATACATCAAGACCAAATTTCCATTACATGTCGACACTCTACAATATATGTTTATCATTTGGCACTACAAATAACTAGCTTTTTAACAACTGATGAGCAATTAAATGGTGCCCTATCCCTTTGTTTAACAAGTTCCTTGCTTACTAGATAACAACAAAGAGGACATTTTACTTGTCCTTAAAACTGTCCCGTTCATGTATGGAAGTTTTAAGCTCCTCAAACTGTTTTAATACATAAACTCAAGCTCCTATTGTTTCCATACACATGCTTATCCCTTGTTCCTTTATATATATTTATACATTGTAATTACATTCATTGTGTTACATACTCAAATATTCCATAGCGACTAGTCCTGAATTCTTGTTTTGAGAATGCACATTGTCTCAAACAGTAAAAGAACTCATCATTTTAAAACTGCAAGAAACTTCTAGATTGTTTGACATCTTTTCCATTTTTTATAGACAGTAAGTTGGTTCAATCATATCTCTGTCCTATCATTTTTTATCAGTAATAAAGTTCCATCCTCTTTGCTTTTTGACTACATGTGCAAGCAATTCTAAGAAATCATATTTTAATCTTGGGCTAGATCTTGATACATCACTTGAACTTAAAGTCTTATTCAACTTTGTCCAGATCATTAAGTGTTATGATGTCCCAGAAGTATCTGTACCATCTGACGAAGACAGAGAAACTGGAGGGATAAGCCATGATTTAAGCTCTTGATTCAGTTGAGCAATCTCCTGGTCCTGTTTTTCATAGGCCTTGACTGTCTGAGTGAATCTTATTACACCTGCAAGAAGATGCAAACCAGTACATAACATTTTATGTAAATAATAATCATAAACTGAATTGTTTAGAGATTTATCAAGCATATCATTATGAAAAACATATTATTCATTAATTGAAACAAAAAAGTATTTACAGACCTTGATCTTTATATCAGTGATATACCCATGTATTGGAAAATTCTTTTCTTTTTTTCTTTTTTTTTTTTTTTTTGAATTTCTATTCTTGTAAATGTTTATAAGTCTTTATCAATAAACACTGTAGACATTTTTTTATGGACCTGTGGATGAGTTATGATAAGTGTTTAAATACCATCACCATCTGGAGTGAAGCCATATCTCTCTATCACATCCATCTGTATCTGTGTGAGTGCTGGAAACAAAATCTGCATGGATCTAAGCATATCGTTTCCAGCACTCTCCTTGGCTTCCTTTATCCTGGAAGAATTTTCCGGGAGCAAAAAGGCTTCGAGGACATCGTGTAAGGCAGCTGTAACACATATGTGAACTACTGGTTTCAAAAGTAAGAAAGTTGCAATAATTTGTTGAATATCCAAGTTTAGGTATTAAACTCCATATTTTACATCAACTGAGCAGTCAACAAACAACTTAATACATTTCTTATCCAACTCACATGTACTGTGCAACAGCAGACGTTTTGGAAACTTGTAAGATTTTGTCAAGTCTGACATTTTACTGTATGATTCGGTGATTTACTCGAGAGACAGAAGGTCCAGCCGATATAAGAATACCATATAACCCCATGTTAATGTCACATTGCCGGTTGTAACGAATTCCTATGGCTATGGGCTGTACCTGCACCACTGCGTACTGAGTAGATATTCAATAAGTAACATCTACGCAGTAATATGAAATAAAGGGAACGAAAAACACGTATAGACGAATTATATTATTTTCTATAATCGCTTTGTCAGACCAAGTCAGTGAAATATTACCTTTACAATCTTGAACAGAGAAATTATGTATGGGCGCAGCCATGTTGCTTTATGCAGAAGGTATACATAGTCCATAAACAAAAATAAAAACAAGATGCTTTACCATTTGTTCTCAATATTGTATATATCAAATTCAAATATTTTACTTAACTTTTCATACAGAATATTCTAAATACAATTTCGTTAAAAACTACTCGTGATTGATGATAGCATATCAAAATTATCGCTTATAATTCTAAAATCTCTATTTGCGCATATGCGGAAGTGGGTATTCCAGTCATGCCGTCTCTAGAAGAGTGAGTATAACAAATTGTGTGACATATTTTGATGAATTTTGCATGTTTTGATCATTCATATGTGTAATCAACACTGTTATATTTGACTGACACGTTCTACTTTATCTTCTAGACCCAAGAGTTTCAGCTGGGCTGAACAGGTGGAACAAGGCGAAGATGGTAAGAGCACACCGGCATCTCCCGGTTTTATATGCTATTGCTAGAAATAGACGTATCTGATGCATATATGTGAAACGTACAGGAAAGTAATATACTACTCTCAACCACACTATGATAAACCAGAAGCGTCCAACTTGTAAACTTAGAGTATAGTTCTTTAAACATGTGGCTGGTAAAATGAAGTAATTTTGTGTCGTGTATGGAGCAGGTTGGGTGCAATACTGCATATGGGCATCCTATGTGCATTAGATTTGGACCCTTAAGAACCATTACTCGCTAGGAACAATATGTGAGGGAATGGGCACCAAACAAATATACAAATAAATTCAAATGTGTTCATACATGATTTATTAAAAAATTGATCTGTGAAACACCAGTATTTTTGTAAAAAAAAAATCCACAGATCCGACCTAAAACACAGAGGTGCTTAAGATAGGTTTCAGTGACCCAGAAAAACACAAGTATTACATAAAATCATCATTTGAAGAGGAATGACATTCTGATGACAGAAACTATAATACAAACAAATTAAATGAAGTTAATTTTTCATCTGTCGCTTAACAATTCGCAAGTTAATTCAAATTGGAAGTGAGTCATCAAACGTGATTACTTAAATATCATCAACGTTTGGACTTTCGTAACTCAGAAATTGCAGGAAGACATGGCCTATTATTCTAAAAAAAACACTGGCTTTCAAGGATAGTTTGATTGGTTATTTCATCATATCTGGGAGGATGTTTGAAATGTAAAAATGTGTATTAAGAAAAATAATACAAATTTACCAAAAAAAAATATGTACTCAAACAGTTACTTTATGGTGGATGGTTCGAACCACAATTTTTCATTCTTTTATGTTATAGCAACCAAAATTATCCTGGTGCAAGGTCAAGCAGGTCAATAGTTCAAGTGATATGGTTCAACTAATTGACTATTCCGAAATACATATTGGTCCGGAACTGATGTCTTGACAATGATTAATAGTTCTGTATTTGAGGGATAGTTATCATTTTGAATCAGTTACTCAAATGCAGGACTCATTAGAAAATTTTCAACAAAAAAGGCCATCATCCTTTTAACATGACCTAATAATCAGACACCATATATTTGATTGCACATGAAATATTGAATTCTGTTGTGCTCAACCTGTAGAGTGTGTTCAGAATGTGTTATCCCTATTATGAATAATTTGAGCAGAAATGTTGTCAGAAACAGTTTTCAAACTGGTCTTGACATTAAATTAGACAACAGTCCTGAAGTCTGAAAGTTAATAAATTGCATTTCCTATGAAATTTGAAAGCATGTGAGATTCTATCCATTCTCAAACTTAAAAATGTAAATGGAAACCCACAAAAGTATTTTTCTATGAGACAAGCATACATATAGTCATTGAAACATCACACTCAAATCTTCAAATGGTTTCTGTTGTAAGAAATTCTATTCTGTTGACGTTATCGACAAGCATGAACTCAAAATATAGTCAGTTTTTAAAGTTGAAGCAATCGTTAATCTCATTGTTGAAATATATGAAACCTTAAGATAAATTTGTTCAATGATTTCAGGTGCCCTTCCACCCTCTTCAGAAGACATTGATGAAGCAAAGGGGTTAAAAGTGATCACAGATTTTAAATACAATGAAGAAGGAAAGATGATGAAGGTATTGTTTATATTGTATTGATTTTGTTAATTGTGAACAAGAATGTTGGCAAATAATCCTATTTCTTCTAAATGCATTATTGAAAGTATATTTAAATTTAAAATATACAAGATAAACAACCACAGCAGCTTCGGAGAAGGTTTCTTCAGTATCTCTTGAATGCGGACAAATAAAGAAAATATCATCAATATATATTCACCAAATTAAGTAGTTCTTAAAATCTGTGGCATAATCAGGTGCTCCTTGACTTGTTGGCCTCCTTTCACAAAGACATGTACCTATATCTCTTCACATTTATATCAAATTAATTCTGATTCAATAGTTGTGACTTTTAATTGCTTACTTACATAATCGGTATCATATAAGTGTTATTCACTGAAACAGAGGTTTTTTCAGTGACTGGTGATTATAAATAAAATGGCTACTTATAGGAAATACATGACATGAGATATAGAGTAAATATTTAACTTTAAACTTTGCATGGATTCAGCATTACTTTGTCATGTTGTATAAAAGCATAACATAGTAACATACCATATTTATCATGCAATAAGCCTAGGGGCCAACGCCTATGACTCACAATCAGGAGTGGGCTTATTACAGAACACCACAGAACCAATATATTACTTCTGATATGGACACATCACAGAAATCCACAGGCCAATACATAACTTCTTATTCACAGTCAGGGAGTGGGCTTTTCACAGGACCCCAGGGGCCAACAATTTACGTTTGATTTTTTAAGCGGGCTTAAACATTGGATAAGAAGTGTTTATGGTTTGGTTTGTTACCAGACATAGGCTTAATACCAGATAAATATGGTACACACATATTAATATATCATAATGTTATTCATTTCTTTGTATAATGTTCTTCATTTCCTTGCATCATTTTATTAAAGTATGTACTTGTTTCTTTATTGTAGGTAGTGAAAACCTATAAAATTGAGCACAGGCGAGCTCCAAAGACTGTTGCTAAGAGGAAAGTAAGTCATGATTAACAATGAAAAGTAAAAGATAACCAATATACATGTATTTACATGTAGTTACCATAATAGACAAATGACTATTGTGAAGCTTACTAGCACTGGCACACATAGTGTACAAGATAGAAAGGAATGGACCTCACTTTTTCTGCTGTAAAATAATCCTAGATGTCCATGTTTTTTAACTTAAGTTCTAGATATAAAGAAAATACTGTTGCATTCTCAGCAGAAGTTATGGTTTATATAGTAAAGCAAATTTATGATTAAATAGAATTGGCGAAAGTTTGGTGCAGCTGAGAATGATCCACCTGGTCCAAATTCAGCTAACACTATAGTACAAGTGGAAGAGATCCCGATGCAGTTTGTCCACAATGAAGAGGTATGTAAAGGAGGAGGTTAACTTGTGTAGTTTTGCCTGTTAAAATAATTATTAGATATACTTTATTAACAATGCAATGTAGCTTACTTGTTTAATACAAACAATAAGAAATTATACAGATACTAAATTGCGAGACTGTATTACATATATCGGATACGAAAAAATTAATTGTGACCTAAGTTCAAATAACTGTTGTCAGTTTCTGAAATACTTCATCATTAGATATATGTGTAATGTTCAACAAGATGGTCAAAACTTAAAGGTCTAGTTCACATTCCAATTTCTGTAATACTTGTCAAATAAAACACTCCTACAAGAACATTGACCTTGAATACATAGCCTTCTGTGTTATGCAGTAAGATCAAAATACTATGTACAAGTAACAGATTATTCAGCAGAAATATTTGACCTTCAGGAAAAATGATATTTGGCACTTGCTATATATTGAAGAATCAGCAAGTTTTATTAAATCAGAATTGAGGTTACAGAGTTGAAAATGTCAAATCAGAGAACACTTGATTTCATAAATATCCAAAGTTTGTTTCATTTGTTATAGGGAGTGTAATAATTATGTGAGTACCAGGTATAATGCTTTAATTGTATGTCACATATTTAATGATGAGCTAACCTGAGCTAGTAGATGTTCTTACAATATTCTTTGTCACTTTACAGGAACAGTCAGAACAGGTGGAAGATCCTCTGAATAAGTTGAAGGCACAAAAGTTGGTGTCTTGTCGTATCTGTAAGGGAGAGCATTGGACTACCAAATGTCCATACAAAGACACCCTTGGACCTCTCCAGGAAAAACTTCAGGATGACAAGCCAGCAACTCCAGATGGAGCAGCACCACCTGGTGGCCAGGCAGCAGCTGCAGCTGCTGGAGCAGCTCCAGCTGGGAAGGGACCGACAACGGGTGGCAAATATGTGCCACCTAGTTTGAGAGATGGAGCTAATAAGGGAAGAGGAGAGACAATGCAGAGTAAAAGAGGTAGGTGATGTTGATCTCCAAAGGTAGATATTTTGATATTGCACTCTACCACCCTTTTCAAAACAATAATAGGAATGTACTGTGAAGCAGTCAGCAGACATTGAATAGTGACTGAGTTCATACCTGGAAAATAAAGTGTGGATATATTACATATAGATAAAAAGTATCTGGGGCTTTGAAGAGCGCTTTCAGACCTTTCAGTATTTATATAATCAGTTAACAAATTATTTAATCAATGTGGATAGACTTGGAAAAGAATTTTGGAGATTCATTTTGTATAGGCTAATTATAAGTACTTCATGGTAATAATTTCAATGAACATATGTGAACCACCCTTTAGTTTAAAAATTCCTATTTGAACCATACCCCAGTTTATTTTCTCTTATAACTTGTTTCTTTTACTTTGCCCTAGTCCTGACTCATGCACTACTCTTTTAGATTGAATGACATTAGAATATAATCATAGAGACCGGTATGGAAACTGTTCAGATTAAGGTACATCATGAAAAATTATATCCTAAAAACCTTTGTAAAATTGCTACTTAAACAGGGATTACTTGAAATGGATGTAAGAGTCGTTGACAACTTTTAACATTGATTTTTGCAGATGAGTCGGCCACTATTCGAGTGACCAATCTGTCTGAGGATACAAGAGAATCTGATCTCCAGGAACTCTTCAGACCATTCGGCCCCATACAGAGGATTTACTTGGCAAAGGATAAAAACACAGGCCAATCTAAGGTATGTATTTTGTTGGTACATGTATGTAGTCATTAAAGCATATATTCTATCTTACTAACTGATAATAACCAACTTCCATCTAGTGAATATAATGAAGTTACTTAATCATGTATATTTTCTGGAGGTCAGACCTTTTGCATTCGGTGTTGATTCAGTTACCTGATCTTTTGAACTTCAAGAATCATCATGAAATGTAGTGTCGTTTGTAAGAAATGAAGTTCATTGTCTCTTTTATGATTTTTATCTGCCTTTAGAAAGATGTGTTGTGTTAAGTTATCATGGGTGTGGGCGTGCAAATGCAGTGTCTGCCTAATAACTTGACTAGTTTGCAATGGCTCAACTACAAACTACATAAGAAAGTTCATTACCTTGATAACTTGGACAAGTTCAATGACAGCAATTTTCAGACAACAGTGTCTGCACAATTTCGCAAGTAGTTACCAACAAACCAACTTACATGATAGCTCAGACAGGTTCAATCACTGTAATTTTTGGACAATAATTCATGAATTATTCCCCCTTACTCAATAACCAAACAGTGTCCGTTCGATATCACACAAGTAATTTTCAATGAATCAGCTTCAAACTTCATAAGAAGGTTAATTACCATGATAGCTCACATTTTGTTTAATTAATTTGGCCTTGCATTCTATCATTTCAAAACATCATTTCTTTTAACCACAACTAAAAATTTTCACCATTTTGTACATGTGCACCTTCACTACAGAATTCAGCACAGAGGAACATTACCAACACAACATACGAACTATTAGTTGATAAAACAATTTGAACAAATCATTTAGATCTACATTTGTCAGAATTTGTCAGATTCATACATTTTCAGATGAAAACAGGATAGCAATGCAGACACAAAACGTTTTATTAGAACTGAAATAACAGAACTCTTCTTGCTTAATTTTGCAGGGATTTGCTTTCATCAACTTCCACCGCCGGGAAGATGCAGCAAGAGCCATTACAGGCGTTTCAGGCTTCGGCTATGATCATTTAATTCTCAACGTAGAATGGGCCAAGTGAGTAGGGTTTGGCTTCTTTTTAGCTCCTTGATTATTATCAAATTGTTCAAAATAATGATGGAAAAAGTTGAAAATGTCCAAACCAAAGACAGAAGATTATTTTTTAATCTCTGAAGTTGGAAATATCCCAACTAAGTTGAAGACCTATAATTGTTTTCCGAGATGTCTTGTATCCTTAAACCTCATTCCTGCAATACAATGTCATTGATTTTTTTTCTACAACAAAAATATTTTGTGTACTTTCAGACCATCAGGCACAAGTTAGACTTGAAGAGGAGAGACAACCTTAAACAACTTTCATGGCTAAAAGAATCAGTGCTATGTATTGTATTGACAATAAATTATGGAACTGGACAAAATTTGTTGTTGTGAAATTTGCAATAATACAGTGTAACTTCTCCAAAACAACCATGCATGCAACATGAATATTTGGCCAGTTTAGGGAGGGTTCGGTTTGTAGATATGAAATAAGTTGACAGGTCTTCACTCCAATATAATTGAACCAATTTCATTCTGGACATTTCTTACCTGCTATTCATTTCTTTTTATATGATATTTAAGGTTTTCTTTGAGGAAAAAAGATTTCATCTTCTATCAAACTTCATTTAGTTGTAATTTGTGCATGCTTGATAAAATTCATTTATTCCTGGTATCTATTTCACAAGATTCTTGACACCAGTACAGTAATCTATTCTCAAAATGGCAAAAAGTAAAACATTTTCTGTCAGCAGGATTTGAGGGAAAATTAGGCCTTCAAGGTTAACTTTAATGGTTCCACTTCTCATCGTTTCTTTGGTTCAAGTTATAAATTGGACATTGCCATGATTCAAACTTGACATACTTTTTTGTCCTTAATAGAGAATGATTCTATTCATTTTCAATGTCAATAGCAAACAGTTATTGTCACTTAACTAAGGAAAATAGATGTTGGCATAGTTCGGAGAAGATCTATGTCACCAAGAATGTTATCAATCTTGGCTTTTCCGTCTCCTTTAAGATTACCAACCTAATATTGATTTTTAGAGTAGGTCAGATGTCAAAAGTCTAGGTCAATTTGAGTCAATGTTAACAGGCTTAATCTCATAAATATTACTTCTCTCTTGCAACATTTGATTTCAGGGAAAAAAACACAGTGACAATGTTTTTAACGTTTATTTGATCTTTATAAAATGTATAGAAAAGTATATATAAATGAGGAAGTGATCAACATAGTGTTATGTAATATAAAACAAACACATTTTAACAAATCAAACAATAACACAATGTTATTGATGTTATTACCTTATCCTGGTAACCATAAATCATTCTAGTGCTGAAATAAAATTTGACAATGTTGTCCAGCACATTTACAGGTAACAAGTACAAGTAGAATTTGAAAATTATCATGAAGTTTGTATCTTGACTAAACTTCTTCGTATCTTATTATAACACTAAAACAGGTCTATATGTTTGACCTATTTGTTATCAATTATTAGACGAGAATAAAACCAGGCACATAGATGCCTTTTTTCTAATGCATAAACATTTTCAGGGCAAATTATTTGCAAAATCATTATTTCTTTTCAGCTTTCAGAAGTTTTTGTCCCAAAGCACCTCTAGACTTCACCCCTGAACCCTGAAGAGGGGGACAGAAGCACCCTGTACCCCTAATTCATTCCTGTGTACTCATCAAATTACTTAGCTATGCATTTGAATTCTGCCATATGTTAGATTCTTTGAGACATGATCTGTGGCATTTAGCCATCCTTGCTTATTCAGGGTCACTTGATGGGTTAAATATGTTAGATTCTTCAAACTACTTGACATCAAAAATTATTTTTTTTATCCATTAAATATCTCCAGTCATAATTGAATTCTTTGAAAACTTTCTACCATAAAATAAGGACTGATAGCTATATTGCAATGAACTTTTGAATACAAAGTATGGAAGTATGAGATTATTTGTTTTTTTATTAAAGAGTAAAATCAAAACAATCAGCAACCTAGCTCCAATATTAATCATGATTAAAGAATAGCACTGCACCAAAGTACAATAATAATTGTGGCCACTCAATCCTATCACAAAGTTTAATGTAAACACTTTATAATTTTTTCACTGTATGAAATGTTGAAATTTTGTATTGGAGATTTCAGTTCAAATGTGCTGAAGTTTTAAGTCAAAAGATCAACTCTATTATTATTTTGAGGAAACATCAATATGCTTACTTCAGTATGGCTGGTTATTTTTGTAGGGATTGCATTTCTTTTATTTTGCTGTACATGAACATAAACACAAAAATTTAATCCCTGAAATAATGAGACACTCCTGTATTTAATAACATTTCAATCTAGATCATTAAGTTTTGATTTGTTGAAATTTTGAAATTATTTCTATCTTGTTCAAGACAAAGTGCAAAAATTTGGACCCATGGAAATAACTAGCTATTTACAATATGATTGTTGCCTTGATTTTTAATTTCATAGATGTTTGCAATGGCAAGTTACCATTGCCATTCCAACATAATTTAACTATATAAAAAAGCATCTTTAAAACCCATATACCAGGTTAACAAACCATTTAACTATTCTTATTATAACAGCTATAAAACCAGCTTTATCAATCTACCCGCTGGATTCTACAATTATCAAAATATGTTCATTATTTCAGATTTTTACAATTATTGTCAGAGAAAACAATAACAATTGCCTGTAACAGATGAAGAATAAACACACTTATAATGCTATTTTTGCTATTAAATCTATATAATTTCTATGTTATTTCACTTTAGGATACAATATGTACCTATAACCTGACTGGGAATTCAAACAACTAAAAATTAGTTTCACTAATGCTTTGGAAAAATGGTTTCATAACAGATAATTGGCCGGCAAGCTCATTGATACCCTTTATTACAAACAAGATTAAGATTGGTTGGTTTTCTGGGTTTTATCGTCCTGTCAACAGCAAGGGTCATTTTGAGATATGGTTTCCTTACAGAAGGTGGTGCTATCTGTCTGAATAACATACAGGAGACATGTCACATACCATCCAGAGCAATGTAGGTCAAGTGACTTGCACAAGCACACAACCATAACTGCACATAACATCCACTTGAAACACAAACCCATGTGGGTAGGGAACACTGAACCACACATTATTTGTTGCATTGACATATATTAAACAAACTAACATGAAATATGAGAATTATCTCATAAGTACTTTTCTAGAAATAACAATAATAAACTTGATTTATCAAAATCCAAAATGGCCACCAATCAGTCATATGTTTTCAGGCAATAAAAACTGAAGGAAACAGAGATATGAAATTTCAAGAAGGAATATTCCCTCAAGAACTTCTCAAAAAACTGAGATTACAAACTATGAATGTCAAATCCAAGATGGCCTCCTGTCAGCCATATTGTTTTTACAGTGAATTCTAAACTATACAATGCACAAGGACCAAGTGCCGCCCATATACAGAATCTGAGAATGATCAATCCAGTACTTCTCAAACAATAGCAGTAACAATCTTCACAGATGGCCACTTATACCACTAGACCATGTGTGGAACCTTTCTGAAATTTGAGAAAGATCAATATTTCTGAAGAAATTCGGTTAAGAAACATTCATGATCAAAATGCAAAATTGTTAGCTGTCAGCCATTTTGTTTCTATGATGAATCACAAAATAAAAAGGCCACCAAATGACAATCATGACAATCCTTCCAGTACATTTTAAGAAATAACAATCTATTTGTCAACCATTTTGATTGTCTGATCAGTCTCAACATTAAAATGGCACTTGTATGGACCATGGAGTACCTTCATATTACCTTCCAAAAAGATCTATTCAGTACTTCTCAAGAAAAAAAGATAAACTTTCGTTGTCAAAATTTCCAAGATGCATTAACAGTGCATTCTCATTTCAAATCAAGAATACATAAGTCTCCAATTTATGTAACACTTTTTTCTCTTCCAATCACTTCACAGATTGTTACCAAAATTTCGCCTGCATAATTACTTTAAATAAAATTTCAGCACTTAAATGAACATTTGTTATCTAAGAAAGTTTAACAATCTCAAAATTACATACATAAAAAAAACTTCCCATTCATATCACTTTGAAATTCTTACCTGAATAGAAAATCATACTGAATAAAACAAAACTGTTCAATGAACATCAAGTATTATCTGGAAACTTAACAGAAAAAAAGTCAGCCAGACTTTGATCAAGTGATGTCTGCCTTGTCAAATTAGGTCCACTGGAGAAGTGACCAGACAGTTGCTGGTCAAGAAAATTGTCATCCACAAGGTCCAATGGATCATCAGATGCTGTGAGTTGATTGTTAGCCACTTGGTGATTTCCTAAATGTTGTATGGAATGACCGGTCTTGTGCGGACCACCTGGAGTGTCTGTTCTACTCATCACAGAGTAGTGGCTAGATTGTTCTGATTTTAAACCCGTAAAACCACTGGTTAGCTGCTGAGCCAGAAGCTGTCCTGGTATGGTTGGAGGCTCTGTCTTAAGATTGGCTTCAGCTAACTGGTCTGCCCTAAGCTGTCCTGAATGCTCAGAATTGACATGTACAGGTGACATATGTTCAGATTTGATTTGCACCGTGGAAGGATTCTCCATTTTCTGGTACTGTCCAGAGGATTTGTGCTCTCCACTATTCTGTGATACAGGTTGGTTTTCCGATTTGTAATGTTCTGATTTCAACAGTTCTGATTTGACATTTTCTGATTTGACTTGTTCTGAATGATGATGCCCAGAAGACTCCTTGTGGTGCCCTGAGTGGTGTTCAGATCTATGGTGATGGTGATGATGATGATGGTGGTGGTGATGATGTTTGCTATGGTGGTGTTTTGATGTGTGATGGCCACTGGTTGTCTGGCTACTAGATGTGGGCGTGGACATCTGTCGCTTTATCGCCATCTCCTGCGTGTGTATAATATCCTGATTGATCTCCTCGTGGCACGGATGCCACAGACGATGGATAACCTTCTCCATAGCCACAGAGTAGACAGTGTGAGAGGGAATAGCACTTTTGTAAAGCTGAAAAATAAACAGAAATAATCAGAAGAGTCATTGTTGTCAAAAGTAAGGTTCAGAATCATTTTGAGCAACTGATGATGTAAACAACTTTTACATCAAATGAACAAGATTAAATCATATGAAATTTATCAAAAGCACTACCTGTAAAGACTGGACAAGATCAAAAAGTGACACAGGCCCTTTGAACACTGGCTGATTGGCTGTGGCCAGCTGTTCTGCAGCTGCCCCCTCTCCAATTTCTAGTGGCGACTTCCGACTGGGAATATGGTTACCTGTCTGTGATATCATTGTTGCCTCACTGAAATAAATGTATCAAAAGGATATAAAATCATTGGTTTGATCGTCATCAAACACAGACATCTGATAATTAAGGATGAACTCCTCTGAGAAGTAGAAAAATTCCTGTATTAAACTTTTTTCTGACAAGAATTTTTTGAAAGATTTCATTTTAAAAAGTTGATTAAAATCAGAAAAATCAATATGTTGCTCCACTTCCGTTTCCGTCACATGCCTCAGAATATTTGTAACAGGTAATAATTATATATTCCTATTAAAGCTTAATCAATGATTTAGAAATGATAGACAATAGCACTAAGTCCTATCTTTGGTCTGGAAAGGAAACATTTTCTGTATTTCAATTTATGGTATTTGTACCATATTTGTATAAAACCTACCTTTCTGTATTTTCATCTTCAATCAAATTTGCATGTCTCAAGTATGGATTTTTTACTTGTGTGCCAACAGCAAATCGAAACTTTTTCTCTCTGAGCTTGTACCCACTCCTTTGAGACAGAACTATTGAAATCAAATTTTTCAGTGTGTTCTGGAAAAGAACAAATTTAAGCTGTTGCTCAATTTCATCACAATACAAACACATGTAAAATGTTGAACAATTCTTAAGGTGAGTTTAACAAGAAAATCTTTCTTAAAAACATTGCATAAAATATACATGTCAGTTTAAAACAAGCTATTCCAAAGTGATCTTAAATAGGGTTTAGACATATTGTTACAAAATGTAATTTCAATATTAGTGTATATCAGATACAAAAATCAGTAATCTCAACTGACTGGTTGTAGGATTGATTTTGTCAATATGTAACATCTGGTAGACTGGGTGTGATTATGAATGCATACAGATATTTCCTAACTGTATTTACAGTGGACAGCACTGACACCTACTTCTCCCGGTTAACAAGTATTAGGCAGTTTAATGGCAGTCTAATAAACTGAAGTCCACCCTGATAAGAAACTCAACCAATGGGGCATTAGATCGTGGCATTTTTTTGACAAGATCATACAGAATAGGGATAAAAGGAGGGGAGTTTTTGGGGTATGGGATAGAGCCCTAGGGACAGAGCCCTATGGACAGACAGAGAGAGAGCCCGAAAGATAGAGCCCTAGGGACAGACAGACAGAGAGAGCCCTATGGACAGACAGAAAGACAGAGCTCACTAGCCCAATGGAGACAAAGAGAGGGGGAGCTTACTCGCCCCATGGACAGAGAGGTTACACCATGATGAACAGTATGAGGAGTGAGTATTTCATTGTATACATTAAAAGTACTGTTTTTATACAAGGACAGTTCTGATACGAGACACAACGCGAAGTACTAGTATGAGTATATGAACTCTGAATGTTGATGAGATGTTCCTTTTGTACATGTAAAATTATTATCATTCAACAATTAATAAATATAGTTATTACCAACAAGTATGTGTGTTTACACCTACTGTGTTACACATGTGGTATCAAAACCTGTATATTGCTGCATCTTGAAAGTGTTTTCAGTTGACAGACAATCATACCTCAATGGACTGCATCACCAGTCTGACTGCCATGTCAGAAACATCGTCAAGACCAGATTCCCAAGCACACACTAACATACGTCCATGTACCATTGTGATATCTGGTAGGGATAGCTCTCGTGCAGCAAACACTGAAATAAAGAAAGTAACATTTCCCTTAAAATACATGTATATAACATTATTAGTAAAATCTGTCATACACATTATTTCAAAATATTTTTTCATACCCATAGAATAAATTTGTAATCAATATATCTAGAATTTGTTTTTAAGTATTTCAAACATTCTTTCAGTCTAAAAATGAAAGCTTAGTCTTAGCAAGTGTCATTATTAAAACTACTTTTGGGTTTAAAATAATTTCCTTGTTATTGACCACATCAGTAAATAGCTTTTAGTTGAAAATTTTGTATGGTTAACAGTATGTTGTAAAAGTTACATGGCTTTAAGTAATAACTTGTGAGCACAAATATATACCAAAAGTGATAATGTGAAAATGTCTTGATAAGAATCTGACCTGATCTATTCCTAAATTGTATAATACAAAAATGTATACATTCTCAGATTTAGCAAATTCAGCCTTTCTATCTTACCAATGTCTTCTGCTCCTTTGAAGTTGACCTCTGGAGCATGAGCTACTGGGTTAGCGGGCACAAATCTTTGCTGTTGGTAAAACCAATAAAGAGAAATAAAGTAATATAATCTCACTACTTCATTTTCATATTTCAGAACAGAATATTTCTTTATCACTTAAAACAGAAAACAGTACATGAAGAGTGAAAGTTCTATGGAGGATTTCAATAAATATTTCTGATGTGAGGAGTGGATTTCAATAACAATCCTGATGTGAGGAGTACAAATTTTATGGTGGATTTCAAATACTATTATTAATGAGAAGATTACAAGTTCAATGACAGATTTAAAAAATATTGCGGAATAAATTGTAAAATCATCAAATTGCCATAAAACATTTTTTCATTGTCTATCATTCATGAAAGGCATATACAGGAACTGATGTTGAATTGTGAAACATGCATCTGTCCCTATGTGATGCTTGCTAAGAAAAACAAATATGAAATACTGTAAAAACATCTAAACATCTGAGACTAAGGCACTGTTTTCACTTTCTCAGACCAGCAAAGTGTGTTCTGAGAGAAAAACAGTATTAGAGCAATATGAAAACTCTGACAATGACCTAAAAATACTGTAGGTAAAATATAGTGAAACATTTTAGTGAATATTGAAAGGTAATAATTTCCAAGTCAAATGTTTAATTGACCTACAACTAACACAGCAGTGAAGTACTGCCAAAGATGAATGCACTGGTCAAATTTCATGACTTAATAAATAATACTCAGTTCATGAGAAAATTAAATTCATGTTTCAGATGGATTTAAAGACAGACAAATGGAGAGATTGGGACAAACGCTTAATGACCCTCTACTCTTATGTGGGGGCATAAAAACCTCAATTCTTTAGGACTTGACAGTCACAAACAAATAAATGTGGATGTCAAATTAACTTACCTGGAATGTGCTACGAGAACTAGGAGGTCGTTTCCGAAACTTTTGTCTGAGTGGTTTGGACTGTTTGGAAGGATCACTGGAGGTTTTACCAAGTAAACTGCCATCTTTGGGAACTGTAACCATATATGTACAGTTGTAGTTAGAACCAAAGTAAAAATTATTGAAAATAAATTGTATCAAAAAAAAAAAAAAAAAATGAAATACAACTTCCAGAAAGGTCTCCACATTTTTTAATACACATAATACTGTGTGGTTACAAAAATTGGGGATATAGAACTTATATATATTTCAGTTTAAAAATAAATATCAATAAATTACGTGATAAATAAGGATATACATATAGAACCAATTTTTAACTGCTATATGTATCGACAGAATTACCAATTCTTCACAGCATTTCAATTGATATTTATACATTTGCAGGTTATCAAGATCTTTCAAAATGCTACATTTAATTTATTGATAGTAATACTTTTAAAATTAGATATCATCCAGTTAAAAAACTTCTTTACAATCCATTATTATACAACACATACCTAATGATGAACTCAGAGTTTGGCAGCGAGCCATGATGGCCAAGAGAAACTCATTATGAAGATTGACTGAATAAAAGAAAAATGAAAAAATTGTTTAATATTCCTCATCTATATTTCATAGATAATCTTTAAATGGGTTTCAGGTCCTTGAATTTCTTCAGTTTATGAATCAGTGATTTCTTTTTATAAGCCTTTTGTTCATGCATCAATGATTGATTTTTATTTTAGAAGACTTCAGTTCATGCATCAATGATTTCTGTTTATCAGAAAATATATGTTTTAGCAATTTCATTATTTAAAGGTAAATACTTCAATGTCTTTACATGATTTAATATCATTACTATTGACAGTCTTGCAAATAAATGTAACATCAGATAAATGAAATGTGGAAACATGTAATATATCCTTGAATGAAAAATACAGTAAAATTTACCTGCATCATCTGACAAAAGACGACGAGCTTCCAAATCAAAATCTTCCTTGGAAATCTGCAAAAGAAATTTGTTTGATGTTCAAAAATACTTCTTCTGATATAAATTGTACGTAAATCAGCTGTCACTATCGAGTTATATACAGCAAACAACCACTTTTGCATAGCCCTGTAAGGAGATATTGAAGATATATTTAACATGAGATGATGGGCTCTCAGCCTCTGTATCCATAAATACACAGATTCTCTGATAGGTAAATAAGACCATCTAATCCTCATCCTTTGAGATAGAAGTTAGCATTTCATTGGTGATTCAAAATAATTTGTGCAGTATAATCACATTTAAAATCTTAATCCAGATTAAGACAATAGCCAGCAGTTACCAAGTGAGGGATATCTATTTATAAGGGACTACTTATATTTCTATACATGACAGATATTAAAAACTTTTCCAGACATATGAAACATCCAAATACTGCAATCAAAGTTCATGAAAACAAGAAGAAAACTTACTTTCTGCTTGAACCATGACTTGAGGTTTTGTAGATATCTGTAAACAAATCAAAACACAAATCACAACAAGCAAATCACTAATTCTTAATTCTAAAAGGTCAACTTATCCCTTTTTCCTTATTAACTAAATCAAGGGTTTATCATCAAGGTCACTTCATCTTATCCAACAATAAAAGAGATGCATTTATTTAACAAAAACTTTTGCTAAATGTACATGTAATGGATATGTAAAAGGAGAATAGAAATTTACCAACTGGATTCATTCCAATGATACAAGACTCATAGTATTAATCAGACAGATCATCCAATCCAGCTACCTGAACGAAGTGGTAATTAAGTCTAATCAACTATATATAGCTTTTCTTTTCTATCCCTTCCATTAAAATATTTTTCAAAATGTCAATTCTCTTCACAACCTTCTGTGTGTTCATTTACTTCAAGCAAAATGTAAGGAGGAGATTGAAAGATTAGATTCCAAGATATATAAAGGTTAAAAAGACAATCTAACCAAATAAGTTATCTGTTTGAATATCTGCTATCAAACTAATTTCATTTCCAATGAAGTGTATGTGTGGTTTATCACACCAAAATAATCATCTTTGCTTTGGGTGGGATGTTTTGTTCATTATCACTCAACAATCACCATATAGCTTACTATATACAAGAACCTTTTACTTCATCGTCCATCAAACAACCTTTCACCACCTTTTTGTGATGAGCATTTCACAAATAAATACCTCATTTATTGAATGCTTAAATTTTAATTTAAACAAATTTGTGATCAAGTCCAGTGTATTCTATCCATCAAGATGTGTGTTGTATATATAGCTTTTATTAGCCTATAATTTGTTGTTATAATAATCAATACTGAATTTTAAATATCTTTCATAAAATATCACTTGTATTATATAAATACATTTAATTCATAGCTTGCTGCATATATTTTCAAGGTTTTACTTTCCACATTTTTAGTTTGGATACAGCATGTTCCTTTTTTATTCTTTATAATGTAATTTGTCTTTTGATCTGATGTTGTGGAGTCTGAGGGGCTATATCATCAAGACATCGATTTTGGACTGCTATGTATTTCGAAATGGCCAATTTATCAAACCATATCACTTAAATGATTGACCTACTTGATCTTGCACATGGGCAATTTTGGTTGCTATAATATGTTAGACTTCCAGAAATGATAAATATTTGTGAATAAAACCCTCCACCATAAATTTTTCAGAATATATTTTTTTAGCAAATTTGTGTAATTTTTTCTTGACACACATTTTTAAATGTCAAACATCAAAACTCCCAGATATGATGATATAACTAATCAATCCATCCTCGAATGCCAGTGTTTTGATGTCGCCTGTCCAGTGAATGAAAATCAATCAGGAATAATAGGCCACGCCTTCTTGTAAAGTACAAACAAGGATGATCTTTAAGTAATCGCTTTTGATGACTCATTTCCAGTTTGAATTAACTAAGCAAATTGTGAAGCAACCTATGAGAAATTAACTTCATTTAAATTGTTTGTGTTGTAAAAAAGAAGTTTACCAAGAAAGACGGGTGGGTCATTAAGTGAAAACAAGCAAAAAATAAAAATTTGAATCAAACACTTTAGAAAAGGAACACACACCAACACAGATATCTGTCATTTCCACACCATTATTTTACTTTTATTTTTTTCCATCATCAGAATATCATTCTCATTCAAATGCTGATTTAACGTTATACATTTTTACTTCTGGGTCACTATAATCTATCTTAAGCATCTCTGTGATTTAGTAATGTCATCTAAAAACAGAAGGCACTTACAAAAATTCTGGTGTTTCACTGATGTTTTTAAATAAATCATATAGTATGAACATGTTTGAATTATTTAATGTATTTGTTTCGTGACAACTCGTTGACATAGCGTACCTATCGAGAAATGGTTCTTCAGGGGTCCAAAACGAATGCACCAAGGATATAATCCAACAACCATTTCTCTATCATTCTTTGTCCCTCTTAATGCCATCCCTTAATCATTGATGTCCGTTTACTTTTAGGCCATATTTCTGGTTGCAAACACTAAACAGACATCGACGATGTTACTTTCTTTAGTACAAATACTGCAGTTTCGAAGAGTATGTTTATAGCGAGCGCAGCAAGCGCTTTATGGTATTGTGTGTGTGTGTGATAATTCAACTCCAACAACCTGCCCATACGATCAACTTTAAACGGAAGTGTGGCAGGAACTTCATTACCCACAATACACTTGCCGCAGCACGCAATGAGAACTGCCGACCCGTTGAATGGATTAAAAATTATTTCGACCAACAAAATATCGTTTTAAGCTCTCATGTAGAAATGAAATCATACTAAAAGTCTTAAATATATCAGATGAATTTAACAAACGTATACTTTAATGGTTTGAAACGTATATAACAAATATCTCGTTGAAAAATTGCAATTTTAACCATTCAAGATTTGAGCTCGATTGTGCTCCGATGTACCTGATTTCCGGTTTAATGTTCGGGACCTTTCGTCACTTTCCGTAAACGAGACAATGTGTTTCTCGTTCACGGAAAGTGATGTAACGTCCCGATTTGACGAAAAACTCGCCCATCTCCTAACTATATTAATTCTGCAAGATGAGGATGGTCTTTCGATAACTAATTATGATAATGTTTTTGAATGTTTAGAAAATTTCCAGCAAACACTTATAAGGCACAATGATAAAATAACTATTAGTGGTGATTTTCTTTTTTTTGTGTGTGGGGGGGGGTCCAGAATAATGCAGTTTATGTAATATATTGTGGCTTTCATAAGAATTTTATTTAAACATATATATATTTATATTGATTTTCTTAATTACAATGTATAACAGAATAGTCTCAACAGGGTTTATAACTTTACCCTCTTTTTGCTAGCAGGAAAAGTAAAAATTGCTTAAAAAAAACGAAGGTTCTGAAGCACTTTATGATTTGTTAATGCACAGAAGGAAAACTCTCAATAGCAAAGAGAAAAGAAAACGGCGGGAGAGAACATTGTGATTTTAATAATGAAAACTTGTTAAATATATAAGCACCACCTTTACTAATCCGACTAAAACTATAATATATTGTCTTTCACCGTATTTTGACTAAATCCTTTCTTTTTTTACAGCAAAGATGATAGAAAGTCCTCTCTGCAATATCTGTAACTCTAAAAGGGAAACTCTTATGCATTTATTTTGAAGATCTTTTTATCAATTATTATAGTCTAGAGATGTTGTCAGTGACTTTTTTAATACATTTATTGTTACCATTGAAACCGATGACCCTCATCAAAATTTCTGTTTTTCTGGGCCAATACTCTGACATGGTAATTGCTCAAAACTGTTTACACTTAATAAGCTAGTAGTCTCTTTTGCTATGGGGAAGATTGTTATTTAAATACTTTTTCTGTTACCATGGAAACATAGGCCAAACCACAAAACTTTTTTTTCAAACCAGTTATCTTAAACCATTCAAGGTAATTACCCGATACTCAAAACATTGTACAGGCATCAAGCTAGTACTCTAGTAGAAGTTCTCTATTTCAATACTTTGTACAGGCATCAAGCTAGTACTTAAGTAGAAGTTCTCCATTTCAATACTTTGTATGGAACAATTAGAAATAACAAATAGAAATTAACTTGTTGTAATATTAATATATATATGATTGTGTGTTTTTCATTTAAACAGCTTCGCGAAGGGAAAGTGTCACATTTTGCGTTATCTTGTCGTCCTTGTTTTGTTCTTCTCTGTCTTCCTTTCTTGGTGTATGTTTGTATGTGCATGACTAACTTACATATGGAAACTTTGTTATTTCAACTTATCAAAATCACACTTGTTGTAAGCAAGAGAGGGGTCTAACTTTGGGAGGAAACCTGTATCCTTTCTATCCCTTCGGGGAATCGAACCCCGAATGGCTAGGTGATAGACAAGTGTGTTACAACTGTGCCACCAAACCACCGCCTGATCATGGTGATACAATGTTTTCTAGAAGAAGAAGATGTATTTCTGCTGATGATGATAATGATATATTGGTACATTTGTAAGTGTCGATGTTTTGTTCAAATCTTGCGAAATATACAACAAATTAAAAAAAAAAACTCGCTTCAGTGCAAACATGGATCAGGCTGTTCAAAATGTGCACTTTCTTGACCAACTTGCGCTCGTTTTTAGGCAGTGCCTACTTCATATTAGTGGAATAGTGGATTGTTTACTTTCCAGATACGGATGCCTGTGCCTTTTCATGCTTTGTGTTATTTAGAGCTGGTGAGTCAGACGCTTTCAAAATGACACTATTACATATCTTATCTTAAAGAAAAAAAAGCAATTCCACCTGGTCTGATTGATGAATACTTACACTTTCATATTGTCGCCTAAAGATTCTTGTAAATTCTTTTTGGCCGCATTGAGATCGCAGGCGGCCGCCATCTTTAATAAACACAATTGTTATCGAACCTACCGGATGTGAATTTCCTCTCTCCAACAGAGGGCATTTGTTTTTGGACGTGGCAGGCTGTTCCAATTAACAACGTAACTCCTTCTACTGATGTTATAATAAATTGAGGACGTTGGAAATTTAAAGGAACAAATAACACATTTTAGCTAAATTTGTTATGAGTAATATTTTTTCCAATATGAAGAAATGAGGAAGTGTATACATATTTGCTGTTACCATTCGAAATTCCTTTTAAATATTTTTTCCCAGCGAGGGAGTAATAATTATTGTGTTAACAGCATTAAATTTCATATTTCCGGTTCTGGTCCACACCGGGGTACGTGGCTTCAAATTGCAGGCACCTCGCCGAAGCCAAAATGCCTCAACAAAGTGAATTGATGGATAAAGCAGAAGATGTTGTAGACCAGGTAAACAACAACAACTGTATAGACCTGTTTTTCAGGGGTTCAATGTGATTGTAAGACCGAAAATAGATTCTTATCAAACAGAAAGTATGTTCTCTGTAACAGGTTAGTCTCAATCATTGCAGCTACAGCATCTCCATCAATGGTTTAAGTGATAACATATATCTACCCCATTCTCTCTCACTCTCTCTTTGTTAAAATTCATGATTGATGTTTATGGATGTTATGATAGAATGGATTTGAGCGTTATGATAGAATGGGTTTGAGCGTTTGAAGCATTGAAGTATGAAGTGGTTAGTTGTAGATTTGTACACGTTTTGTAGTGTCATATGGTTGTTCACACCATACGTCAGAACGCGAGGTGCAGTATGGACAGAAAATATATTACTGCAGATGTTTATACAAAGTGTACATCTTTTGTAAATCATGGCAAGCATTTAAATATATATTACTGAAATTGAGATTTGGATAAAATACATATGCAACGTTTTACAAAATTATCTCTGTTTAATACACTTGTGAGAGCTGTAATTATATAAGATTAATACTGCACTAAATATGTAACCCTCGTTAAAGAGTTTGATTATTATTATACCAAATTGTAAACACAAGTTAGAAACTAGTTCCAGAATCTACAAAGCAATCAAAATGTTGTGATTCATCAGAAAGAGTTGTTTTCCTTTCACCAAGTATTTTATCGCACTGCAGACTATAAGTATTAGATTTTTTCCATATACACATATTATTCACAGGATGCTACAATAAAAATGTAACCTTTTTGAAAAGTTTTTGCATCCCTAGATTTAATAATCTGCCATAATATGACTCCTAGTTCTTGTTTTATCTACATTTAACATTAAAGGGATAATTCTAAACAAAAGTGGCATTTAATTAACTAGTACCAAACTAAGTTGTTTTTACAATTGATTAAAATTATGATATCAATAGTCATGCATATATTTTTCTTTTTTCAGATTTTGAGGAAGAGTAAACATGTTCTTCCACATGTAGCTAGATTCTGTTTGATAGGAACATTTTTGGAGGATGGCATCCGAATGTGGTCACAGTGGAGTGAGCAACGGGATTACATGAATTCAACATGGGGTTGTGGGTGGTACCTGGCCACACTTTTTGTATTAGTTAATCTTATAGGCCAGTTAGGAGGCTGTGTCATGGTACTAAGTCGACAGAAGGTTCCCATTGCCTGTGGCATACTCTTCTCAATTATAGCTTTACAGGTAATTTAAACATTTTGAGGTCCTGTATATGTTTTAAATTTGTTCCGGCAAGCACTTTTTTCAAACTGCCGCATACGTACAAGTGTTTTGAGATGGTTCATTTCATACTGTAAATATACATTTTGTTTTAGCAAGTTTGAGCACATTATAAAAAAAAAAGCAATACAATCATTATTTAGCACAAAACTTTCGGCATAATGAGTGCTTAATTTAGTTCTTCACAAAAATACAATAGTTAAAATTCTGTCAAACATATCAAAGGAGAAATAAGTTCAGATGGCCAGCATACATATTTAAATAACCAATCTCAAACAAACCCTACCTGATGCTTTAATAATAATCAGTTTAAATTATTAGCTCTATTTTGATTGTTTTCAGACTGTTGCCTATAGCATTCTTTGGGATATAAAGTTTCTCCTTAGGTAAGTTATGAGTTATCTTTTAATTGTTGATTTTATTTACGTTGTTCACATAGATTGAGGAAAAGCTCATTTTCTCTGTAAAATGTCACAGTATGACAGAAATTCTGTTAAGTATTGTTAATGGATCAATACTTAACACAAAATGTATACAGAATATGGATTCAATATGATCAAATCAGATAATACCCGCAGACTCAGTCCTTACAGATAAGAGTCAAAACTACTGCATAGGTATCAAATGAGGTTTTGTTTGGCTAATTGGACTGAAAGATGATCACTTGGCAGAGGAACTTATTGCTCTGAATTTCTAAATCGTCTTTTTCTATTTCAGAAATTTGGCCTTGGCTGGAGGAGTACTACTTTTATTAGCAGAAGATCGTGCAGAAGGCAAAAGCCTATTTGCAGGCCTTCCATCACTCGGAGAAAATAACCCGAAACAGTACATGCAGCTCAGTGGTCGCATTCTCCTTGTGCTTATGTTCTTAACCCTCTTACGTTTAGAACTTGACTTCTTTCAAATGATACAGAACTTGGTTGGTACAGCATTAATTCTCCTTATTGCCGTTGGCTTCAAAACAAAGTTGTCTGCCCTTGTTTTAGTTGTATGGTTGACATTGCTGAACTTGTATTTCAATGCTTGGTGGAACGTCCCTTCCTACAAACCAATGAGAGACTTTCTGAAATACGATTTTTTCCAGACACTCTCTGTCATCGGGGGTTTGTTGTTGGTGGTAGCTTATGGTCCAGGAGGTGTCAGCATGGATGAGCACAAGAAGAAATGGTGATGGAAGTTGTCTTACTCATACTGTGCAAAACTTTCAAACTAAGTACGAATCAAGATAAACACGGCAAAGCTTTTTCAGGCAAGAATCAATATACATTTCTAGTCTCAGGGTTGGACTCAAAAAAAGTAAAGTTTAATCATTATGTGTATGTTAGTAATTATAAGGGGTGGGAAAGGGCACATTCTGGCAAGTGGAGCCCATATCTGGGCAAGAGAAAATAATATGCTCTTGATATAGTAATAGGATTGCTGTATGATTCATACAAAAAATACCAGTTTTCAGGCACAAAAGTGTGGTTATCTCTGCAAATAATACATCTTTGGTTTTGCAGGAATCTTTATAGGAATTTGTAATTCCTATTTTCTTTTGTTATTAATTGCTGGAATGTATTGATTAGTGAAAGGGAAACATCAGTCCTACTATTTTTTTTCTTGGATGTAAAGAACATTTTTGTAATAAGCTTGACAGAAGTTTTTGGTTGTTATGCCAATTTAATCCAGATATGGTGCAGCTGTAGCATTTTTTTTATGTTAAAATGGGCTCTACAAGGCCAGTTCAGCTAGAATATGCAGAGTTGCTTCCGCCAAGCTGTATTCAGCTTTCCATCTTTGAGTCACGACAGTTTCCTAATAAAATTCATTCTGTCATATGTATTTTCTTTCTAATATATTGTATATATCAACTAGGTACATGTATAAGTAACTGACAGTAGATTCATATACTGTTGCAATCATTAATACAAATAGTAACCGGTATATTTAGTACACAAACTTATTTTTCAAATTTCACCCTTCAGTGTTTGATGTCAGAATTTATGTTTTCCTGATTGGAAATACTTGTGTTTAAGAAAGGTTTCATAGTGCTATTAGCAATGCAAGTGTCTGGGCATCTTTGAAATCTGAGGGTTTCTACTCTTTACCTGTAAGGTACATTTACAAATTTTCTTTGCACCTCCAGATAATGTTAAGGATAAAATCAAAGGCTCTGTATGTAAGTTGACTTGTCAGGACATGACTGCAGAAACATGCACACCTAGGATCTGTTTGATTAGTATAAAAGGAATCAAGCATTACTTCAAAAATCCAAGGTATTCTTAATTTTTGTTAACTTTTTTTATAGTTGGTAGAACGCCAGAATAATTAGGACTAGACTGAAGATAGCACAATTCTAATTTTTGATGGACTTAAATACATCCTATGATTGGTCATCTTTTAAAATTTCAACAAGACAAATGGCAATCCAGAAGCTTTCAATTTCATCCCAACGTTTTCCATAATTAGTGTATGGTAACTAGAGTAGAACTCTTTAATTTCTGAGATGGTGTTTGGGAAACTAGTTTTCTTCCAGTATCAGTATACCTAGTCCAAGTTACCGATAGATTTACTACCAGCATTGAGACCTGGTAGAAAGATTTCCACAAGGAATGTTCAATATTTCATAGAACACCTTATATTGTATAATTAATATAGGACAGATGCCTAACACATTTCAGTTGTTTGCTTTATTATTTTATTGTGAATACTTGTTAGCATTGTTGTAAATTTTTTCTTGTAATTTAAATGCAGATTCCTGTGAATTGAAAAAAAAAGAAATAGTTTACATTTCTCTTGCTGTACAAGTTGTATGTCTCAGCAGACCGGGGAAATTTTACTTGTTTCATTCAGACATTATTATTTACCAGGTAAGATCAATATATAGATTAAATAGGGACAATTATGGACAATTGAATGTTTAGAAAATACTTAAATTATTGAATGAAGTGTTTATTATGGTCACACAACCTTGTTCAAGACTGAACATTCTTTCTTGCCATTTAGACTGATTTAAAAAAAAAAATCCCTAATTAATAGTATAAATTTAGCAAAGAATGATAATTAAAAGCTATATTAAGTACTAGAAAGACTGGATACATTGATAGTAATGTATGATCATCGTTTTTGTTGTTTTGCCTTGGTTTTTCTTTGTTAAAATATTTTTTTTTCAAAATGCACAATCTTTTGTTTGGTAGAGAGATTAACTATTAACCCGCCATGGAAGTTTCTAGCTTTAATTTTAATGTGAAGAAAGATGAATAGAAGTTGATTTTTTCTGCATGTGTAAGCCTTTATATTTTGGGTACAAGTACTGTTTAACTGCTTTTCACAGGCCTTTTTTTATTACATAAATGTGCGAGTTCATGACCAGATCCAAGAGCCAAATTGTGATGTACATTAGTAATTCTGTTTACTTGTTCTAGATGATAGATTTGGCATAGAGCTCACCCTGGCCAAGGTAGCAATCCACCTCACAATATCTTTAATTAGATTATGAAGTGACATTCACAGTGGTGTTACATCATAATTGAATTCAGCACATATTTAATATTCCACAAGTTTATTCTAAACACATTGAAATTATTTACTGTTTAATTTCATCTTTGTGGGATTACTGCTGAAATTTATCAAAAAAATCAATTATTCATATTTCATTTGAATTTCTTAGAATTTTAAGGTATATTGATGAGAGTTTTTGTTCGCTAATTTACAATGAACCAATCAGGATGAGCCTTATCCAACTTTGTCTACTGGAGTTGTGTAGTTGTATGTACTACTGTTGATGAAAGTGACATGCATCATTCATAGTTTTGAACTGTGTTGTCATATATTCTGTTGTCATTTAACCTGTATAAAACATTGTGCATGAGAGGAAATAAAACAAAAAAAAAAGAATTTAGTAAAGAAATATTTGTCTTTTTGCACTTTTGATGTATAGAAGTGATGTTACTGGCCCAGTTTTACAATGAGCTGAATACTGATAAGGAGTGAATACTTAGTTGTTATTGGTAACAAAGAGGTTTGTACAACTGTACTATTAAATTTAACTTGGTTGCTGACCTCCAACTTTGATTAACAATTTCAAACTCACCAGAAGGCATTATCTACTTGACAAGTGTAAAAAAGTGAGATTTCTATTTATTGTTGTCAGGTCAGTGAATCATTGGTAACTTCAACGAATAAGGCAACACTGTAAATGGGATTTAAACACTCTCTTTAGTGCATCTAAAGAGATATACACTTTACTATAACTTAGGGGCCATCGAATTCAGTATTAAAATGTTGATACACGCTTTTATAAAAAATAAACCATGTACTCGGGAGTAGTGTCCCCTTTTGTATTTGGTGCCGTATTCCGCCAAGCGATACACCCATCTTGGCGATAACTCGAATTCAACACTGCTTTGCCACGTAAAACAGCGTTTGCACGTACACATACTGTATTTAAAAATGAAACGTCGAAAATTGTGTTGAAAAAGTGTTGAAAGATGACAGGCTTCTGGAATGGTTCAATGTGGTATGACATGAAGGCAAATAATTGCACGCTTTAATATCAGCCATCTGTTATTCTGTTCTGTCAATGAACCAAATCGGGCAAGATGACGGGTGGCCAGTGTGCCGTCAAGAAGCGCCTTCGATCCACTGGGACATGATCACCGAACATGGAGTATTAGGTCTATGCAAGGAGTCCCCAGGTCTGATGAAAGCTGCTCTTTACTTAGTCCGACCGAAAGCAGTCCGTGTTGGGGATGTTTTTTTCAGTTAACTGTAAGCTAAGTCTTCATGGGACTTTTAATGAACAGAAGTACCGTGATCAGATCCGTCGACCTTTAGTTGTTCCACATTTCCGATGCCTTCCATTGGCAGATCGGCCGATCCTAATGGATGACAATGTCAAACCACAAAGAGCCCTGTTAGTGCAAGACTGCTTCAAAACGAAATGATAGAGACGTTTTCATAGCATGCAATTTCACCACGCATGAGTCCATTTTGGCCTTTATGTGACTATCGGGCAAAAACTCCAAACTGGAGAATTACGGGCTGCATTGATTCAGATGCGACAAAAGTTTCCTTGTGTGGGACGGCAAGCATAAGAATTGTACCAGAAGCGTGGTGGCTAATACCCGATGTTTACATTATCATACCGAATATAACTTGTTAATTAGTTCATCTTCTTGATAAAGTAATATATTCTGGTGATTTGATGACGTATCTGTTAACAAGAGGCAATTAATTTTTTTCTTTAAACTTTGGGAATGCTTTTTTTGAGCACTTCTTTATTAGATTATTAAGAACTCCTGAAAATTTATTCTCCTATCGACTATGTATTGTTTCGTTAGATGTCTAAATCATTCCCATATATCCTGTCGTTGATTCTTTTTTCACACACGACGAATAAGATTAAGTCCAATATGATATATTGGTGGTCCAACTTATGAACAATAGGCTTAAGATAATTTGCAAATGTCAACATCCAAAATAGCTACCAATCCATCATCTTATTTCATTCAGTAAACAAGAATGAAATAAGGTGCCTTCGAATGATTTCGTGTATGAGAACAAATCATTGCAATCGTTTTGGGAAAATTGGCTATACAGAATTTGCATCGAGGAAGGCTGCTTGTTGGTAATATTTACCTATCTGGACAGTCACAGCCAAGCATCAACAGAAACCTATGAATGTAATTTTAAAGAAATCCTAATCTCAGAGAAAATGCAAAAAATTGCTTAATTTCCCAAAAACGGGATACCCGCCTGCCGGCAATGTTGTTTTTCCAATCAGCTTCAAAATTGATGAATCACAACTAAGGTGAGTCACGTTTGAAATTTTAAAAAAAGCCAACCAATTCTTCCAAAACAAATTGTTTGCTTTCTCCGTCAACAATCAGGGTCGTGACTGAAGCTGATGGTTACCTCACTGAACAGTATACGGGAGAGCCGTTGCTTGTCTTTGTGAGTATTACGTCTTGCCCAAGGACACGAGGTCAACACAGACTTGTTCGTTTCTAGGGTTCCTTGAGAACACAGGTTTAAGTTCCATTCGCCACCCACTGAGCTATCACAAGAAATGGCAAAACAAACTTCTAGTTCAAAAACCAAAGGTGGATGCTTGTCGGTCATGCTGTTATTTGGACAGTGCCACAACAATACATGAACAACTAGGGACCAGAGAATCTACATCTGAGAAACTGAAGATCACGTCTAATACTCGTGCTTCACATGCGTGAGGAATACAACAAATAGAATACTGATATGTCAATGCTCGGAATCTGAATTCAAACCAAGATTTTATGAAAGTGTGACAAAATGCTAACAAAGGAAATATTAACACAGAGACTCTTAGAATTAAGGAGTCCCGAAATGGCAAAGGTGTTTTAGCTGTGCCATCTGAATCTTGGTCAATTCAAGTAAGTAATGTAACAAAAACGGAATCACTAGTTTTACCTACCATCTAACGTGTGCAACTCATGTCGTACGCGCCGAAATTACGACATTTCCAAAATGGGATAAATTGACGACCGTAAAACTTTCCCATAGGTCAGTAAAATGAGTCGATATCTTGCACAAAAATCGTGATATTTGGAACAAGTCAGTAACTTGTAAAAATAGTTTGAAGGAGAAATATACTGTCCAGAAATGTAAAATTCACAAAAGGGAAATTGAAATCGGCAGGCTTATCTTAAAACTTTCAGGAAAAAGTGGAGGTAAGCGGAAGATGTAGTCAGTCGTATCCTTTGTTTCCAGTTCTGTGGATGAATTATAGCAATTAAAATCTAAGATGGCTGCTTGTCGGTCATTTTGTCTCACAAAATTGAACAGCCATAGTTAATTAAATTACCGGGGAGAAATTCAGAAAAAAAGGAGAAAAATTAAGAATGATCCATACAATACAATGAAAATATCAACATGTCAACATAATTATAATCCAAACTTGGACTCACAAAATCAAGAATAAACTATGAACAAAAGAAAGATTTACCAGGTGTCCGGAAGTGTATGCGTCTTCTGCTTCATCGACGACATCCATTATGGTCAATTCAAGTATGTAAATGTCACGTTATCAAGCGAGAACAAATGGTGTAACAAACAGACAACTAAAATTTTTTTTTTTACTTCTAAAACTCCAGATACATTCATCAGAAGATAAACCACCTTCGTCACTGGTCCGTTGTGTGACCTTAGGCAATTAATGTTATCGTTTTTCATTTGAACATTTGTATACGACCATCTTCAGTTTTAAAAGTAACAGCAATGAACGGATATTGGTGAACTTTCATTTATGAGATAATTACTTTGTTACCTTTGTAAAAGCACAAAGTATGTACTTTTTGTTAAACACACGTGTAATAAAACTTGGCGGCTTTATTGATTGATGATCTCCATGTTATAATTGTGACATGGAGATATATATATAACAATGTGACGTCAACAAAGCGGAAATATCTATATAGAACAAGAACAGCGTCTGATTTTCTTTTCCAGTTTTAACAAGCTTTTTTTTAACGATTGTGCTATATAGCTTGGGCGTAGAGCAAATGAGCTCTGATCAAGGCCATTCTTTAAAATTCTTCTCCATATCTTTAAGTTGTCACGTCCTGCAGTGGGATGTTTAAGAACTTTCACGTTTATTTATATTAAATATCTAATCCAAATATAAAATTTCTTTACGGATATTTACTCAAACAAATTTGAAACAGTCTTGCTAGAAGGCCCCGTATAACTATCGTCGAGCACTTCAATCTTAAGAGATGATCGGATGTGTGTGGTCCGATCGAACCCAGGACAGACTTCCAATAAGGGAATTTGAATCATGGATCATTATGTGTTGTTGTGTCTTCGGGCACATCTACTCACAGGATCAGACGTTATATGTATGATAGAGAGGTCCAGAGGATAGTACAGAGTCTGCTTGAAAGTTTTGGCATTGATGTTGATTTGCTATGTAACACCACGGATCATTATACTTATCTATGTAGGTAACAGGCCACATCTCGGGTTTCTACAGTTACATTTTTATCACCATTTCTAGAAAAGCACACTCTATGGATCATTCTCAATTTTATTTGGTAGTTTCCCTCGACCCCTGGCTGTTTTGGAACTAATCGAATAAAATAAGATGACCATCCTTGATTTTGAATGGTTGTTTTTTTTTATTTGTATTTTTGAGAATAATTAGGTCCCGATTGGTCTCTAGTTTTTTTTTTTTTTTTTTAACCTGATTGAGGAAAACAATCTCTTAGTGGCAGCCATCTTGGATTTTGACAGCAATGGTTTGTAATCACTATATCTGGAGAAATACTGTATACACTATTCTCATATTCACGAGTATTATGGATTTCAGGACCTGGATTTTGTCTTGCTCACAGTGTTATACCTGACGGTGTCATTTCGAGAGCATCATATAATAACACAGATTCCTCGATAAATAACAGATCTGGCCCCACTTGTATAAAACATCTTAACTTGAGATTTCCTCAAGTCGAGATTTTCCTCAGCTGATATCTCCTCAAAAACGGCTTGTATAAAATTTTCTCAAGGAACAGGAGGAAGGCATCGGCTAGGATGTCCTGAAATTCCTTGAGGAATTTTCATACAATATATTTTCAAGGAGTTATTAGCTGAGGAAAATCACAGGCACTCGAGGCCAGGATATTATTTTTTAAACATTGATTTTTGTTTTAGCACTCATGATTGACGTTATTTAAACGAAATATCAGCAGAATTCAAGTTTATGTGCCGGTTGACAAATCCGAGGTCCACGGTCATTAAAAATTTTAATGACCGTGGACCTCGGATTTGTCATCCGGCACATAAACTTGAATTCTGCTGATATTTCGTTTAAATAACGTCAGTCATGAGTGCTAAAACAAAAATCAATGTTTAAAAAATAATATCCTGGCCTCGAGTGCCTGTGGTTCACTTAGGAAAAAATACGCGGCTAAATACATCTTTCGAGGTTTAAGAATATTAAACGAGGTCCAATAGCTTTACCGGTCACATGAGTTACAATGTTTCTTTTAACACGTCATAGAAATGATTTTGTCAAAAAAGTAAGATAAATTTAACTACATTGTACTCAAAATGCAAATGTAAACTGTGCATAACATTAACTGCTGTCTGATGCTAAGGCTTCTAACCAAGTTTGAATTAAATGATATTACACTAAAAAATATAATTTTCCCATTTAAAATCTTCCATCCATAAACAGTGAAACTTCTTTGAAATTTCAGTCAAGTTGACTTTATGGTTTAGACCAATTTGTGTATCTAATCAAACTGTCATCTTAAACTTATTAATCTAACCAAGTTATAACTATTTCTAAAAGAAAATAGACAAATTATGTTGAATGTAATTTTCCTTTATACACAACAGACAACTTTACCCCTTCCCCTGGGGGAAATGTGAGACCCTTGGTTCATAAACTTACAAGACAGTTCCAACCATGTAGAGTATTTGGTTTCTATATTATATTGGTATCAAGAAGGTTTTTGAAATTTCACCAATTTTACACATTTTGGCCCCGTCAAATAGCCCCTCGGGGTCAGCCGATGCAAACATATGTACATTTCATCAAAGCGTCATCCTATACTAATAATTCTGTTAAACCTGAAACTATTTTCCAATGGAAACTTAACAAATTTTACTCAAAAATGTTATTTTCTTGTATAAACTGAGGAACTTTAACCCCATCCCAATGGGAAATGCGAAACAAGGGGTCATGAAATTTACAAGGTTGGTAAAGTATTTGAAAACTTTTTCATTTCTGAAGAATATTTGTTTCTACCTTACCTAGGATTCGAGAAGCTTTCAGAAGTTTCAATCAATTTCACCCTTTTTGGCACCGCCCCTCAGGCCCTTAGGTGTTTGGCACCATATGATTTATAAATTTTGTAAAATTTCATTGAAATCGGTCAAAAATGTTAAACGTTTACAACGCAAGACGCCGGACGAACGGCGATCGCAAAAGGTCACCCTCTAAAAATGCATCTGAAAGTAAGTTTTAGACCTCGATTAACTTTTTTTTTCTTGAAAAAATGTCCCTTTTCTGTCATCCGTCCGTTTTCCAAGTTTTCATTCATTGGGAATGCTTGGGAGTGGGAGTTACAATTTTGTAATAGCTAGGAAGGAGTAAGGAAAAACACCATGCCACCGCTGGGGTGTGGACTAGTGACCCTTCGGTCTCTATCGCCGAGGCTGCTACACTAACCCTCCTCAACATAGTCTTTGCCTCCGAAGACAACAACAATCCAGGTTCAGTATCTACAAGGAAGCATCTCATTCTCTTATATCTTCTACACTTGGAGTGGTCAACGGCACCAAATCTATAAAGTTTTCATTAAAAGGGTTACCGTTATTTTTTGCTATAAAATTGGGCTGGAATTCCTTTACTCGTTTGGCTTGGCAATAGGTTCATTCCGATTGATTTTAAAACGTATTTGGGCTTACCTTTAACGCGCAAATCACCTGTATCTTGATACTGGTGTGACTGGCGAGTTTACAATCTGAAATCGTCAAATGACAACGGTAAGACGTGATTTTGGATTTATATCAGAAATTGATGTTCGCGTCGTTGAAATATATCGAATATAATATTATTGGTACATTCTGCCTGTCTGTCGAAAAGGTATCTATAACGATTAAATCTGTCTAGATGAAGCATTTTAAAGACAAAAATAAAGAGACAAAGTGCGACAAGAAAATAATGCGGTCGGTATATATTACGTGCAGTCTTTGTATCTAAGTGATATAATTGAGTATGCTACCATTCCTTGAAGTTTTGTTTATTTCTCTTTATATCAATATATATTTCTTATTAGCAATCCACATAACTTGTTATACCTCGGTACTGCAAATACATCAATATTTAAATGGCATCGATACACAATGACAGATCACGCCACCGAACAACCCTTCTTTTCGAATTTTAAACTAGAGAAAAGAACCATTTTTTACAAAAAATAGTAACACAAAACGATACAACCCTTTCTCATTGCAGGATTGAAGCGTGAAAAGGTCAGTGCGTAACCAACGAAACAGAAATGTTTCTCGTTTATATTAATTAACCTGAAGCCTGTGCGAAAGAATTGCATGACTATATCAAATTAGTATCTTTCACTGAAGTGTTTTATAGATACAAAGTTCATGACTGTTTGAAAGCTGCAGGCTTTTCTTTTATTATAGTAATAGTTTGACATTTGACAATTGGTAGCAACACATGGAAATGATGCCTCTTCATATGCTACAGTGAAAAGGTGGGTGGCGGAATTAAAATGGAGCAGACAGAACCACGGGAATGACCCCAGTGCTGGAAGGCCCCTCACTGTTGCAACCCCAGAAATGGTCAATAATGTCCATGATACTGTTATTGACAGGATATAGCCAGTGCAGTTGGGATTTCACAAGAAAAGAGTAATTCCAATCTTTTCTGCAATGAGAAAGCTCTCGGCTCTATGGGTACCAAGACTTCGGACAGTTGATCAGAAGCAGACTTTGCTACCTGCTAATTTAACCTTTAATGATGATGACGTTATCCATGCAGTGGAGGACTCTCTGAATCGTCAAGAAAATGACTTCTTTAAAAGAAGCATTGAAGCCCTTAAACATCATTGGTATAAGTGTAAAGATACTGAAAGGGATTATGTTGAAAAATAATGCACTATGTCTGCCAAAAGTCAAACTATTAAATATGAGGCTTACAAGTTATCAATTAGCTGTAAACATTGCACTGGCTCTTTTTAATGCAAAGATTACATGAAATTTATGTCACCTTTGTTGATATCTCTCACTTTTCAAAACAACACAGTTCTAGATTTTGAAATTTTTAATGAGTCTTTATACAGTTTTGTACACACATTATGTAAACAACTTAAAAATGAACACATATAGACACAACAGTTATCGTGTGAACAGCATTATACAGATTTTGAGAAAAAGCCAAATCTTTTCCTCAGCTGCCCCTTGACATGTATTATATGAACATTCTGCAACAAAATATTTAGATCAAACAGCAGTCCAAATCTGACCTTACCATAATATCAGACACACCTTAATTCGACACAAAACATTAAACAGGTTCTTTTACCTTGGTTAATTCTGTATAAGTCCCCTCTCTTAGTTTAGTTTGTTATGGGGAATTCACCCAACTAGTCTGAATGTTCAATGTGACAGCCAACATGTTGAATACCCTAGTATCTTGGATACTTTTTTTATTCACAATCTTTGACTACAATATTCATCAGAAATATGATCAGAAAACTGAAATGTTAAAGTACCTGATTATATCTTGTGTCCTTAAAAATTCCATGATCAACGAATGTCCCTAACAGTTCCATGATAAATGAATGTCCTTGATAATTCCATGATCAATGAATGTCCGTATAGTTCCATGATCAATGAATGTCCTTGATAATTCCATGACGAAAGAATGTCATTGATAATTTTATTATCAATGAATGTCCCTAATAGTTCCATGATCATTAATATCAGTTTTATTAAAGCTTCAATCTATTTGTTTATATCTTACTTCAGCATTCTTGTATATGAGCTACTTGCACATATTCTCACATAGAAGAAGAAAACTGGTCTGGTACATTTTTCACCTAATCATACATATAAAATTTACCATATCTTTTTTTCTGGACATGAAAGATTTTTTACGTATCATTATTTCCAAACTATGTTTACATGTTCTTCTAATACATGAAAACTAATTACTATATTGCTGACGTCGAAAAACAATTGATGAAATTGAAGTAAAAACTGTCAAAAGTTTCCTCTGTTGTATGGAAAACATAGTCTGATCGAAAACATATTGTCTAAAGTTATCTTCTGAAATTAGAGTTTCAACACTAGAGGCACCCGGTACCCAAAACCTGTATGGTCTTGTACTAATTAGTAATTGGTAGTAACTGTTTTACAACCTTTTGTATAAATAAGAACTGTACCTGTAACTTTCAGTTAAGGATATCTTGTTGGAGATAAATTCTATCTTCTATTGTCAAACTATTTGAAGAATAATAAAAATTGAAATCTTCAAATATTAAAGATAAGTAATGACCCCATATGAGGTATTAAGAACATTTCCAGCATTATCTTGTCACCTATCAAATACAGCAATAAGTTGTTAGGAATGTCACATCTCGCCAAAATAACACTTAAACAAGGAGATCATTCAAGGTTGACAGAGATGAAAATAAGATAAACTGTATTTTAAAAATTTGTTTTTACATAAAGTCAAATGAGAATACATTAGAGGGACTTATTGCTTGCATATAAACTAGGACATTTATTGAGATTTCAACACCTCCTAGTTAGAAGTGGCTATGTACATGTCAACAAACCATTGACATATGTCAAGGAGACAAGCTTAACAATGTGTAGAGACATGGTGATGGAAAAAACCGTAACCAACCAACCATGAGTTTCGATGTTATAAAGAATTAATTAAACAAGTTCAATAATCAAGGTTTGTACATCAAAATATTCAGCCAGTTTGATAAATTCCTCATTACATGGATGCAAGTGCATCATTCTATTTATCATATAACTCGCATCTCTCAAAATGAATTTCCCTATAGGACAAATTTGGGTTGTAGGTATGATACTGACTAAGGATACAATCCATTGACATCATCAAAATACGACTTATTTATGATATTACAATTACACATGATATTTATGATATTGCGGTAGGATATGACACAACAGGCTGTTTATCTGATAAAGAAACATTGTAAGTATCGGAGTTTCAAAATCAGAGTAAACTGTATTAATTAATAAACTTTAAAAGTAAATAGATAACACATCAGACTTGATGTCAGTCTTAAAATGTTACCATAGTAGAAATTAATATAGAACAATTTGTTTCCAGAACTCCCTTCCCTCCCTCAAGATGACCGAGAAAAAAAAATGGAGACACCTTTACCTGCACAGTAGGTTGGAATGGGAGCTAAAAAGAAAACATATAAGGAGGCTTCAGATAAAACTGGGTCGTCCCTTGGCCAAACTGACCCTATTTGACACCATTAATCAGCACACAGGAGAATCAGGTCCTAAACAAGAGAACTTACGATACCCAACACATACCAAGGATGACTGATCAAAATCTAGCTGAAGCCTATTAAGACATTTTGATATCATTTCATGAAAATCAATTGCTACTTGTATGATGTTTAACCTCAACATGTTATTAAGAAGACTAACACCACTAGTTGGTTGAATCTTGACATGTTGTTCGGAGACGAAGAGATGTATTTTCAAAATAAGGTTTTTGTCTTCAGCGTCATTGCCGGGAAAAGTACCACAATAGCCTTGCTTTCGCTACTCTTTTGTCGCAGGTGAGACCAATATTGATTTAACTTATCTTAAATATAAAATAGATGAGAAACTTGTCTTTCATTTCAGCAGTGACCTTTCCAAATGCTGATCTTAACATAACTTCTGACTGTTCTGTGTCAAAAGACAAAATGTTGTTTGTTGCTGTTGTTAGTTGTGTGATGAGTGACCATGAATAAAACCAACACATGCTGGTTGATGGATTATAAAGGTACAGATGATGCAGCATCACACGTCACTTTTCCACAGTTTAATTGTCTTATCATTCTCTAGTGCTGCCGAGGCAATAATGTTTTCTGTTGGATGACATGCACAACACAGTGACACATCTGCAAGAAAAGAAACCATTTCTCATTCTCTTGGAGAAAAAAGCATGGAGTATGTATCATTAAAACAAATTAGTTTTATTCCAACAAGTAAGTTACTTGATGGAAATGAATTTACCAAAGGCTGTCTGATTCCAGATGATTTATCCTATCTGATCAATAGCTGACCTTGAACTCCGTTTTAAATTTAAAGCCCTTTTCACCAAATTAAAGGTAAAAGTTTTGGACAATCTCAGGGCAAATAAGAGGCACTATTGCTCACTATAGTTTGACAACTTATGTTGCAAAAACATCAAAATAAAATGATCTAGTTCTATAACTGGTATATCTACTCTTACCTGTATGGCCTTGCAGCTTCTGTACAATTTCTTTTGACTGGAGATTCCAGATATACACCATGTTATCTTCAGATCCTGACACAATCCACTGAAACATGAAACAAGTACTTATTGATCATACTAATATATGCTAACTTCTGCTGATACACATGAAAACTACCGTGCTCATGGATCCTGGTTCGTCGCAATATCCAGCATGAAGGAGAATAAAAAGAACAATTTCTAAACAGTTGAACAAGTTAGTGTTTCAAAAGACAATCATACAGTAATCAACATATTTTGCAATGTCCCAAACGGGGCACTATCTTTGCCGATTGTTATTTTTCTGCCTTGCTGTTTGCTATCAAATCTTAAACACTTTGTCCTGATATTTCATGATATTACTCAGATAGTTTGCATTAATATACACAATAATCATCTGATTTAATATTGTTGTTCATAACTAAATGTCAAATCCTTTTTGTGTCTGGTTTGTTTTAGATAATCCCCACAAGCACAATGATTGTGGCCTCACAGAATCTTTGATTTTTCCATGAAAACGAAAAAAATCCAAAAACTGCATATAATATGTAGGTTTTTAACAGTATTATCCCCAAACAAACAATTCATCAACTCACAAGTTCAGCTTGATTTTCTATTGTCAAACAAGGATTCATGAACTTGATTATGAAACACCAAGTATTGGTACCCGGTGATCTATCTGATATTTGACACCAAGTATTGGTACCTGGTGATCTATCTGAGATTTGACACCAAGTATTGGTACCCAGTGATCTATCTGAGATTTGACAACAAGTATTTGTACCCGGTGATCTATCTGATATTTGACACCAAGTATTGGTACCTGGTGATCTATCTGAGATTTGACACCAAGTATTGGTACCAAGTGATCTATCTGATATTTGACACCAAGTATTGGTACCTGGTGATCTATCTGAGATTTGACACCAAGTATTGGTACCTGGTGATCTATCTGAGATTTGACACCAAGTATTGGTACCTGGTGATCTATCTGAGATTTGACACTAAGTATTGGTACCCGGTGATCTATCTGATATTTGACACCAAGTATTGGTACCTGGTGATCTATCTGAGATTTGACACCAAGTATTGGTACCTGGTGATCTATCTGAGATTTGACACTAAGTATTGGTACCCGGTGATCTATCTGAGATTTGTTAACATTCATCAAACACTGATTTTTAAGAAAATATCAAACTATTCATTATCTGATACAACATAAGAGCCATTATAAACACAAATTCATCATGCACTTTCAAATCACTTCTTTTACTCTTCAATTTAGTATACTTACTTTCCCTCCAGTGACTGAGAAATTGGCAAATATACAGTACTTCTCATTCTTGTGCCCTGTGTATGTCTTTAAACACTGTTAACAAAAGACAAAATCCATACATTTAGGAAATTTAGAAAATCAGAGAAATAGAAATTTTTAAGTTTTGCTAGGAGATAATTTTTTCTTTCCATCAAACAACCTACTTTTGTAATGCAAGAAAGATACTTTTTTTCTAAAAGGTTGGGAAAAGTTGGACAAACCCATGTGAATTTGTCAATGTAAATATTACAGTTTTTATTATCTAGTTGGTCTCTAGAAGATATAATAAACCCTTAATTCATCTGTGATTTTGATTAAAAATTCAGTAAAATTAACTAAAGTGCACCCCTAATCCATTCTTAAGAAATGGAGATATACTATTGGAACAGATATACCAGTACAAAAATCTATACTCATAATGAGCAGCAACCAATGTATTTTAATCTTAATCTGCAGTATTAAAAAAAGGAAACAATTTAATTAGGTATTTAGTATTTGTGACAGAAGTTGTCTTGAAGAGTTGCAATAATTTGAGGTATGGAGAGATCCTTTTGTTATTTTTTATTCATGTTAAATGTATGAGCCAAATTCAGGAATTTTGCAGAGGGAGAACTGTCCACTGGGTTGATTTAATTAAAGAACCAAATATGCTATATCGTAACTTGTGTATAGTGCAGGTATCTAGAGAATATTTCCAATATACTATTATTAGAGAAATATTCTATCGAAGACAGTGATATAATTTAGCATCTCGTACATTAGTACTGTGAATATAATATTTAAAAAATGCTGACCTAACATAAGAAATGCAAAATGTCATACATTATATTAATCAAAAACAGCCAATGTCATTTTGTAAATATTTTCAACTGATACATTTCTGTATTTTTGGGCATTAGTGGTAGCACAATATACAACTTTGGAAAACAGAAATATGGCAATTTCCACATCAATGCTCTGAAAATGTATAAATGGTACCAAGCTTTGTTCACCCTTGAGTCGTCCGTTTGACTTCAATTAAATTCACTACTAAGATGAGTAAATAATGTGTTGTGTACTTGTGGTCATCCTGGTGAGAACATATTTCACTACTTTATTGTCATCATTATATCAATTAAAGGAATATTTTAATCTAAAATTTTACTACTTTGAATGTTGCGTTCAATTAGGATACAAATTGGTTCAGAAATTCTCATCATACTGCAGAGCTTTTAATCAAAATATCTTCAGATATGTGAAGTTCTTCATCAAGTCTACACAGATTTTTATTTTAATAATTATAATTATTGGAGATATATGCTTGTTTTCACGAGAGTAATTGTTTCCATATGTAAATGTTATAACTATTGGGAGAAGATGTGAAGTTTTAATAACTTGTGCCTAATCCTATTTTCTAAGATTGACAATAAATATATTTAATCAATCAATGTGTGAAAATTCTGGCAATTTCATATGGCTGTTTACTGCCTCAAAACTATAAATTCATTTATTTGCTATCAGTGTGAGTCACCCATGGGCTGATTAATAATAGAAGCACAGGTGAAAATTGTAGATTTCACACCCCAATATCTAAGTAATGGTCTGGCCTGTTTTGATGCAGTTTTTAACCTCTTTGATTTTCAATCAAACATAATAATACTATATTCATTTCTATCTTCACTCTTTGTACACGTAAGAAAGAACAAGGTCCTGAGAGGCAATTATAAGCTGAATGATAAACTACAACTTACCTTTCCTTTGCTGTAGTCCCATAACTTTAAAGTGCTGAAAAGATTAATCACATCTATTAACAGGTGTTGGGTAAAATTTGGAAAATGTGGACGACACAGTTTAATTGATACTGTTAACCTTCACATCAGAATACCAATACTGGCTATGCCTGGTAGTTTATATATTTGCTTGACTTTTAGAAGATCTATTGATCCACTTTAAAGACAAAATCTGAAATGCTTGTCATATTGCATTCAATGATCATTAACAATGATTTCTCTTTTGTGCATAATTTTTTTCTTGTTTACATGTGCATTCAAATTTTCTCTCCACTTTTCAGTAAGGCCTAGTGATGAGATATGATATATATCATACATTTACAAATATGGCAACTCCTGGATTGACAACAGCCAATGCAAAACAGAAAAGCTTGTCTCACAACTGTTTGCCATTCAGAGAATTACAGCCCCCAACCAAATGTAAAAATTATATGTCTAGAAAGCACTGCAATTGGCCGATCGACAGTTTTTGATTGACAGCGCGGTTTAGCCAATCAGATTGCTGGTAGTATTCGCCTCTTTGTTTACATTTCGCTACTCCGACATTCTCCGACAATGGTGAAACGTTGCTGCTGTGGAACTTGCAACACCGATTTCACTACCCAGAGCGATTATAGGGAGGTGTTGTGTTCATACCTTTTCCAAATCTCAGACGAAGCATGAGAAGTGCAAATCTTGGCTCCGATTGTGCAGACGGCCTAATTATCAAATTAACGAGGAGATCCTGCGGTGTCCTTCTAAAGGAAAGCATTTTTTCTTAAAATTTTATGTCTACTCATAAGTGCGTAAATATTCACAGACTTACGTGTACAATATTTCAATGAACATCAGTATTTTTTTCACTCAAAATTTTGCTAGCATAAGTTTTATAATCCTCTCTCATGTGCTAATAAGCAGCATGTTAATGTGTGTATTTATAAACAAGCTTGATTTCGAACTGACCATTTTCGGATATTTATTGACTGAAGGGAAATGAAATTATCTGGACATGTTTCTGCTCTCTTACAATGTTTTACTTTGTGAATGGTCTGTGATAATATGAGTGTTTACTGCTATGGTTAAACAGTTGAAAAAAATCTTAAAGTCTTCCAATAAGGTATTAATTATATTCTTGATGAAAAAAAAAACATTAACATTACATACATGGAAAAAAAAACCCCAAAATTTAAGAATTTAATGCCAGTTTAGAAAATAACCATTAAATCAGTGATGTATCTTGGTGGCCATTTTATAAAGACTTTATATGACTGTAAAAGCAAACTTGTTTTGTTTGTTTTTTTGGGGTTTAACACTTCATTCCCACTTGAAACAGAGGTGAGTGGTGATTTTTTACGGGAAAGATTCAAACCCTCCTGGCCCTCTGCACCCTTCTGGTCGTGGAGCCTATGTTTCTACCAACTGAGCTAACCCTGCATGGCGACTGTTTTTATTTTTATTTCATTAATTCTGCTCCATAGAAAACTATCACACCAATTGAACTTTGTTTTGTTTTTGCTTTTTTTTTTATTATCTTTTTAATTATTAGTAAAAATGTAAAGAGGATAAAAAACATAAACAGATTCAACATTGTGTGGTGTTTAAAGGGTATCCTCAGCGAAAAATATTTTTTATATATGAAAATATAGGTTACGGTGACCACTTTACAAGAAATAAAAATTTTAAAATATGAACCATAAAAGCGAAATTGACTGTTAAAATGGCAAAATGATCGATTTCACGGAAACAGTTGAGTAAAAATCTGAAAACCCAACAAGTGACCAGTGACGTCACAGTTTACCAAAAGAGACTGAAACCGACTCGATTTAGCATGGCGAGTATAGGGAAATGAAAGTACTCGACTACTTAAATGGACTGTAAGTCATTCAAGGAGGAAAATGGCTAATATATGTATATTAGGTTATTAAATTCCCCAACGACCGGTATAATTCTTTATTTAATTATTGCACTGCTACCACATATAAACTTAGTTTAAAAAGTAAAAATCCGTCTCAGAAATACTCGTCTGAAAAACGGATCGTAGTAATGTGGCGACTTACTCGGTTCTGGCAATATGCGTCAAATGAAAAAGACAGTTTTTACTCTTTCAACAACGGAGAGGGCTGTAATTCATAGACACAAATTTAGTATTATGAATTCCCTATTGATTGGTATATATATTGTCTTTGAATAAATGCAGTGATTTGCCATATTAACCTTGTTTGAAAAGGAAAACATCATAAATATTCGACTGAAAACGGGTCGAAGATGGTATATATACCCAAATTTTTTCCCTGACTGGGGAAAACATGGCCACTAATTTCAACTGTATCATCGTCTCTTGTTTGGAAGGACACTCATTGAAAGTATGACACAGACATGAAACCGTTCGTTTTTGTTTTTTTCTTTAACGATACGTTAGAATTATAATTAAGTCCGATATCATCGGAAATGACGTTCAATGCTGATGACATTTTGTTTGTCGGAGATGGTGAGAGTAGCCTCCCTTGATTTTCGGTAGGCGTGGTTAATTTTGCGTTGTCGATCGGCCAATTGAACCTAGGCACCAAATATGAAGCTTTAGACAAAAGTAGTGTTGAAGTCTGGACGAGATAGAGAAAGGATGAACGGTTGGACATAATGCAGAATCACAGTTAAAATTCTGATGAGGGACTAAGAAATAAAGAAAAATATAGTTGTAAACCCAACAAGTACCCTGATTCCAAATATCAATACCCTAGTACAATCATTGACTAGCGATATACTGATGTCTTTCAACACTTGCAAAACTTTGTAGAAGTAGGCAAAAAACATCATTTAAAAAGCAAATTGCGAAAAAAACTTACTTGTCTAATGTTGCTGCTAGAATGTATTTTCCATTGGGAGAGAACTTTACAAAGGACACCGGGGGATTATCGTCATCTGTAAATGAAACATTTCTACATAAAATAACCTTTATTCATGAATTAATCTAGTTCATCAAATAATGTGGGTTTAATGCCCAATAAGAAAAACAAGAAAACCTACCTATTAAGGTTTTGAGGCATTGTCCAGATGCAGTATCCCATATCCGACTGCAATATAAAATGCCTTTCATGTAAAAACAATACAATAAGGATACTTAAGATTAAATTGGTTTCAACAGTGATAACCATATAAGATATCTTAGACAATAAACCTGTCTCTGAATACAGAATACTGTGGTATGTGTGTATTGTAACTTTGACTGGAATAATTCTTCATGGCAGAGATATGAACAATCATTTCAGGAATGGTATGTCAAAGCCAAAACTATTCCCATAAGATTGTTTATGTACTAACTTACACATGTGAAATGTTGAATTATCACACCAAGTTATTACAAATAATCTCACAACCTCCAATGAAAATTCCTGTAAAACACACAAATCAAATACGATGGTTGCTTTCACCTCAAAAAATGGCTGGACTGGCTGAAACTGCAATAGAGTTGCCAGGCACAGACCTGTGATCTATGTAATATTCATATTTTTGTAATTTGAGGGCGGCAGCCGTACCTTTCCAAACTAACTTGATGTATATTATTATTTTTCAGAATTCATGCATAAATTTTATCATCGGAGTGGTGAATTCATTAACAGCATTCAAATAAAATGGAGCAAATCTTATTATTAGTTTATTGTTTTATGTCTAGCAGGAAATTCTGAAACTTTGCACTTTGAGTTGAGCATATAACATTTAAAACATCTGTAACGGGTGTGTTTGTTTATCATGGAATAATTCTGTCCAACCTGGACCATTTTATGTTACAGATCATTTATCTATTAAAGTGGAAGTTATCCCATACCAAACCCAAATAACTTTGTTTTATCAACAGTTTCCTATTGGTAGAAATAACTTCAGTTGATCAAAAACATGAAATATGTTTGAATAAATAAAACAGGAAAAACAGGTTTGTTTATATACTCACCATAAGCCATCATAACTACTGGATACTATCAAAGAACCATCTCTGTTGAAATGCACCTTGAATTTGAACATGGAGCAAGATATTAAAATATCTTGAATCATATTGTCAAGAAATAAGAGTATGTGCAAATTGTTGAAGTTAGCAGCAGAAATCATTCTAAATTTTAGATATTTTATTTCTCAGCCAAGTGAACCCATTTTTTTTTGTAAAAATTTCACTTGAAAATGTACATGTATTATTATCAATAGAAAACGTGGTCATCAACAATCCACCAATCTGATAAAAACATGTTTTCTACACAGATAACTGTTCTAGCAATCTTCATTTGTTTAAGCATGTCACTTAAAATGCTTACATGTTTGACAAGTGTTAACATCCTAATTTTTAGTCTTTGCTTAAAATCAAAATATCTATACTTACTGCAGTAACTGGATCTGAATGAGCAGGTAATGTTTTCAAACACTTGCCAGTTTTCACATCCCATATTCTTACACTCTCATCAAACTGAAATCAAACACATAGCGATGCATTTCATTTTCAAGGATAGCAATAATCAGATGCTATTATCAATACATCACTTAATTAGCATAACAAGAATGCTTTACTTACCAAATACTATATACACAATTATGAAAAGCAATGTCCAGTTCCTAATTTATTTTTCGATTTCAATAAAAAACTGCATCCATGGCAATGCACGGAACCCATGTAGCTATTACTTATTGTCAGGGGACATATTTCAGTAGTAATTTTATTTAAGTTCACCTTCTACATAAAGCATTATGCTAAAACAAGATTGCACTTATTCCTTGTTGTGTTTATATAGTAATTATTGTGAATGCATAAATTCATCATTTCATCAATAAGTTAGAAATTGACAATGCAGTAAACCTGATATGTTTATCAAGGACAAAATAATACCCCTAATCTAACAGAGGAATACCACTTACCGATCCTGAGACAATCAGGTTGGACTGGGGGTTGAAATTGCAACAAAATACGTAATTACTATGGCCTTTCAAAGTCTTCATACATTTCCCCTGAAACAATTAAATGGATCAGTAGATTAAAATTAATCTAACAGTCATGAATATAAATTGTGGCTGTAGACTGAAAGTGCAGTTTCGTACATGTGCATGTAATAGATGATGTGCTATTACTCTGTAATAATAAGCCCAAGTGGCCAACATATTATGTTTGACAAGAGATCGGCTTACAGGAATCATATGGTACTCTATCAAAAAATTATCTTTTGAATGATTGATTTTAGAAAACAATAAGAAAATAAACCACAATGCAAATTGTCTTCATATGATTAATGTTTACACCAACTTTCATTATCCTAGCTAGAAGCAAGCAAACTAATGTTCTGGACAAGATATTGGAGGGGTCAAGGGCCCTGAATATGGTACACTTCACATCATCTTTACATGATCAATGTATACACCATGTTTCATTATCCTAGCTTAAATGCAAACAAAGTTATGCTCTAGACACCAATTTTTAACAAAGGGTAGTAACTCTGTAATTTACGGGTCAAGGTTCCTGAATATGGTACATTGCACATCGCCTTATTATGACCAATGTCACAGAAGGATGCATGGCCATAAATGATACACCAAAATAGTTTTGGGGAGCATAACAATGGTCTGTTTTAATTGGTAATAATGCTTTCAATGAGTCTAGAAAATTCTAGTACAGGGGGTAATACCTACTGTTGCAAAATCCCAGATCTTGAGAGTTTTATCATCTGATGCACTGACAAGAAGGCGACTGTCTGTAGACCAGGCTACATCAGATATACCCTGTGAATGAAAGTTTCATATTAGACAAGGTTATAGCTTATAAACAAGGCTACACCTGTTATAATTATAACAGACCATTTAATATCCACTGATATTTTCTAAAATCTATGAAATCTCTTGTACAGGTTGAACTTTCAAAGATCTCTTTGATTGCAATACCATCTTCAATATTAGCACCTCATATCACAAATTGCACTTACCAACTTGTGTCCACTTATCGTTTTCTCAAACTTTCCATCATAAGCTCCCCAAATCTTTATCAACTTATCTGCAGCTGTTCAAAAATACAATAATATTAATTCAGATACGTATTCTAGATACATGAAATCTTGAAACTGAACAAAACTTTTCCTGTTAACCACTACATTGTTTCGAATGAATCAACATCAGTTATTCCCTGTTTTTTTTTAAAATTTGGATGTGAAAGATGATTTCAGAAGTCTGTTACCCGAGTACATGGGCCGAAAATGTACTTACATGAGCTGGCAAGCCACTCTCCACTGGGACTGAACTTAACTGATGAAACTGCTTTGGTGTGTCCAGCCATTGTAAACTTCAAAGTGTAGTTTGGCTTCTAGACAAAACAGAATTGGTTGCCCAGAACATCAAAATAGTAAGAATTTCAATGAAAAATAAACCTTAAAAGACATCTCCATTAACTTCAAAGCAAAAGTGGAAGGGATTCTTTGTCATTTGTGGTCCTCAGCTCTAAAAGTATATTAAATTACCACGACAAATATGAGACAATTAGTAGCTTCATGGCCACAAGCAAAGTATACCATTAGCGTCTGTCTATTAAATGATACAATCACACCTACTTATTTAAGTAATTTTTACCATAATGATAAAATTTGTATACTGAAAGAAGTGCATCAGTGGGCAGAACAACATACATTGTATGCCCATCAAATGCGAAAGATACACATATCATTGTAATATAATAAATGCAACTTTGAAATGATAAATTTTTCTAATCAAAATACCACCAAGAAAGTAAAATTTTGCATCATTTTGATAAAACCTACAAAGTTTGAAAGAGAACCTTCAAAAACTGAAAGAGATCTCTGCACAAAATCAAAATGTTGAAAAATGCAAAGTCCATAACTAGGAAACCAACAAATTGTTGAGCGAGATCAGGTGAAAATTAAGGGATAGGACCTCAGGAAATGATCAAGATTATGACAAACTAGAAAATGTCTGTAAGACATGAATGCCCCCGCCCCCCCATGTGAAATAATAGTGAAAGGTCCGAAAGAGATGATTTTGTTAATTTGTATGCAACTATGTACAACTTAAGTTTCATACTTAAATTGACAAGTTGATTTAACGTACATGAATTTGGAATTTTGTTCTCTGGAAAAAATGAGTCAGTATATTAATTCCTTATGCCTTAAAACCCACAAGTACCAAATTATGTAGAAATAAGATGATGTTCCTCTTTTTTGAGTTATCTCCCCCTGGTAGCCATCTTTTTTAGAATGCAGAGAAATTCAACACTGCATGAGGTCTTTCCATACTTGATATTTGTATGAAGTTTCATGAAAATTGCCTTCCGAATGAAGTTGTTAGGTGGTATATACTGATTTGGGACGGGATGGGACGGGACGGACGGACATGGGCAACGCTATATGCCCCCAGCCATAAATGGCGGGGGCATAAAAACAGATTTGGAATCTTCGATATTAACGGAAATCTACAGGGAACACCTGAAGATTCTATGTGGGTATAAATAAAATATGATAAATCGTATCCAAAGATTTATTTGCTGAAGATGAAATACAGGAAAATTACCTGAGGTGCCTGTGAGGAAGGTTTTGGTGCACTGACTGTGCTGGTTTGAGCTGCTCCTGAAGGGACTGCCCCTGTGACAGGCTGAGTGGTAACAGGTGGCTTTACATCCCCAGATTCAGGCATCTTGCTGCCTTCTGGTGCAGACATCTACTTGATATTCTGCAAATAAAACAATAATAATTCAGATTTGATGTTAATTTCATTGAACACATTCATCATACCCTTGATCTTTCTTATTCTACATGAAAATCAAAAGAATATGAAAATCACAAAGAAATAGAACAAAATCAGTTGTCACTATGGCAGGGAAGTAAACTGGGGCTATTAATGGAAGAAATGAAAACGTGCAAAAAGGTTTTGTCATGTTATATATATAAATATAATAAAAAATCAACAGCTCAGTGTCCGGTTCAATATATGAGAATAATAATCAGAAACACGATGTGCATTTAAGTGTTAAGCATGAGCGCTTTCATGTATTAATCTTTAGATGCTTTACATCCTGTACTGTCAGGCTTACATATAATATGTCAGTAGATTGTGCTTTGGTCTGTAAGGAATGACAGGCAGTTACCGTATTTTCCGAGCTATAAACTGCACCTAAGTGTAAGCTGCAGAACTGGTTTTTAGCAATTTTAAAAATTTGGTCCACGTATAACACACACTGGAATATAAGCCTCACTCTTTCTTAGAATATGATGACCACTACTACTGACATTTGATATATCGGTAACAGATAACAGAAATCAGATCTTGTGAAGTGATAACTATTACATTGACCAAAGTCTGTTGATATATTAGACAATGGAGGGCAATTTATCAACATAGTCAGTGAAACATTTAATGTAAGTTTCAAATGAATTATACACAGTCCTTTATTTTATTGATATGTTTGAAAAAAGTAAAACAGCAATTATCTAATTCTTTTGGCTCGAGAGCCTTCAAAGATTATCTACACACAGATATAAGGCCTGATGTTATGTAGTTTACTTGACAATATCTCAATTTGTGTCTGTACTGTTAATTACTAGCGAAGGCCCTTGCATGATGACAAAATTCTTACAGTCCCATATTATTTCTTGAAAGTTTAACAAAGCTATTCTTATCATAAACAAGCATGGCAGTCATTCTAGAATTTGACCGAACGACAAATCCATCCCAGGAAGCCACAGGCTATTGAAAACTTCCACTATGACTTCCAACAAAACAAAGAAAGTACAGAAGAAATTATTGTGATTCATGTTAAAAGGTATGACTATTAAATCCACAAGAATATCATTTTTATTTCAATCTTAAAATCATCCTGTATACCGTTGCCAATGACACGGTTCTAGATATATCTGATTCAGTCACAAACATGTGGACAGGTACTGGTAAAAACTTGGTACCAAAGTCTCTTACTGGTATCCTTGGTTTAAATCACTATTTTTTATTCTTTCAGGAAGTGTGATGTGTTACAGCAACCCATATTATCAGGGTACGAGTGCAACTCAATAATGCATGTGGTATGCCTTGACAAAATGGCCATTCTGAAATACGCAACGGTCCAGAACCAATGTCCAGATGAAGCGTTTCATTTATTTTTTTCATTCTGCATTTTTTTTTTCTCATCCACATATAAGCCACATGCCCGACTACCAAGTAAAAAAGCTGCTGCTTATTACTTTGAAATGTGGCATTCATAAGGCACTTGATGCCAAACCCACCTATGTGAAAGGGACAAAAATGTAGTTAGTGAATTACTTATGTGTTGTAGTCTGCGCTATCAAAGCAATGGATATTCAACTCAAGTCATTACAATGTATAATGGCAAATGAAAGTATATCTTGATGTATTTTACCAAAAGTTTATTACTCAGGTACTTCTGAAGATTAAGTAAGTGTACCCAAACTCATTGAGGTACAAAATGTATCACAAAAGTTCAGATTTAACATCACCACAACCCCTTCGACTATCAAAAGAAGACAACTTTTGAGAAAAATAAGAAAGGTAGACAAAGAGAAAGAAGAAGAATGACTGTTGCAATAGGTGCAAGTAAAATCAATTGTGGTTTCTTTAATTGCCTCTCGTGTTAGTTGTTTAACATGAAAAACATGTAGCCTCATGGGATACCACAGGCTTAGTTTGCCCATTTATCTACATGGATGATGTCACAGGCACCTACATATGAAATTTTACTGGTGCAAATTATGTATATAGTGGATCTAGACAAAGACATAAATCCAAGATCTCAACTGAAAACTCTTAATAGATGGATACTAAACAAATTAGGCTTACATACCTGCTCTCCAATGTGAATTAGACCAGTGAGTTCCACGATCAAATGTATTGGTGTAGTACTCAAGATGTATGCACAGCCACATATGAACTTAACACACTGTCAAATGGAAAGTTTAAGCAAAATATTAAAATAGATATACCGGTAAGTATTCAGACCAACTGAAAATGTTAGGTTGCCAAACTATTTCATCTTTAATTCAATAAACACCCTAACATCAAATGTAAGAATGCAACATGTCCACATTTTAGACATGCTACCTTTTCCTGGTGACCAAGAGATGTATATATTTCTTTTATACAGACGTAAAACAAAATAAATAAATACACAGGGACTTGGCACAAATTCCTGACCCATGGTCCATAGATATATGTTATTGTGACAAGGGATAACTCCAGAGAAAGTAAAACTGAACATATTTGATCTTTCCAATGAGTGTTTGATGAATTAGATTGGCAATATATTAACCAAGTTGTGACCTGACAAATTTTGAAATATATGAAGAAATGGAGAGGTAGATGTTTCCTTGTCTGGTTGAACATGTTCTTGTCTCTAATGGGTACCTCAAAAACTATGCTGAAATCGCAAAAAACAACATTCACAGAATGTCCTTTAATATAAAAGGAGCTTATTTGAGTTTGGGTATCAGGATGTCCAACACAACCAAAAATCAAATAAATTTCATTATTCAAAAAGATAATATAGACCTATCATGCATTTACAAATTTGCCTATTTACTTGCCTATATTGCAATTGCCTTTATCCCTTGAGGGATTGATCATTTATATGACTTTCAACAATATCCCTCATCCTTCTTAGGAAACCCAGGAGTCCTCAAGGAGGAATCCCAAATAGGATTAATCAGACGTTTGACAATGTCCCTTGTTCCATAAGGGACATCATCAAACATCCAATAATATAATTGCATCCCAAGGAGGAATAATTACACAAGGGATTAGTCATTGCCTTCACTGACTGGTAGTTTCTTGTCTTACCAGCATGTTTTCGGACAATCAACTCTGATAGTTTGAATTCTAAAAAGTTTACTTTCACAGGCTCTACCTCATAATGTTTGACCATGTTTAACAGTACTTCAAATACTGACAACTTCCCTATGAAATAATGAGCCCGGAAATATTTCCAATATTCATTGTTTTTTAAAAACTTGTAATTTGTTGAATGTTACCAGCCTGTAATTAAAACCATAGACATGGTGAAGTACAATATCACAAAAATTATATAACATATAATGAAAAACGACAGTCTATTTATGTACTCAAATCAATGCCAACTGATTTCGCTAAGAAACCGACTCTTAATTAACTACTTCAATTAAAATTCAATGTGTTTGTTTCTGAGCGGTAAGCCTACTGCATCATGTATGACTATGATGTAAACAAGAGGTACCCATACCTCGTGTTATATTGTTTATCAAAATATCATCATAATGCAACATGTTTAGTAGCATAGAAATTAACTTACAATAATGTCTGGTAAGTATTGGAAATGGAAAAAAATCGTATAATAAACGTTTGAAATGTAAAGACGGTATTCCGAGAAAACCCGCTATCTCTTGTTCTCCATTGCACATGGGATATGATACAGCGCATGCGCAATCATTTCACCTTACCGGTTTGTGGTAAGAAATAGTTTAAGTTAAAGAAATGAATTTTCCTTTTACATAGAGACATTTTTAAAATACAAAACATTTTTGAGTTAATTTTAGTAAGTGTCATAGCTGTTGGAATACTTTGAGAAACTTTAATATTATCATGTGATTTTGTTGACCAATCATGTACGACCAACTTTGGTATCGGACGTAGTCTACATTTGTGCGCGTGAAAGCACCGAAGTTTATGTCGAATATACATGGGATAACTATCGAATTTGGCGTAAAGATTAGAGTTAAACTTTCATGATGACTTATATATAATCCGTATATACTAAAACGTGTTAATTTCGGAGAAATAAGGATATTTTGATACATGTCAAAATCATGTGACGCGTATTGACCAATGAAATTGTCGCATTTTCAATTCTGGCTATATAAACTATTTAGTCAACGGGATGGTTGGTAATGTTATTGACGGATGATAATGGATCCTTGCTGAATCTAGCGGATAGAATGGTCTTGAAGAGCCATCCGACACTGCAAAGGTTTCAGCAGAATGCCCCGGCCAACAGTTCAGGGTACTTAGCGTAAATTTTTGATTTTCAGTGTCTCTGGAACTCGTTGCAATGGCTCTAAAAACGTGACTATGACACTCTTGTGCAATGCCGCCATTGTAAAATACAGTCTCGCGTTTGGGCTCCGTCGATTTTATCAAAAATAATACTAGAGATCGGTAAGAAGCACTATTATTCTTGACCCAATCATCTTTGAAGTATCTATGAATCCGCTGTCATGAAAACAAAACATTGAATTACAAAAATCAAAGCTTAATTTTGAAATAAACATCGTTCCCTGTTAAACGGAAATGCGAACGGTCCAAATAGAGCTGGTATTGCCGACTTAACCGAACAGCGAAATTGTCTAGACCGGTATCGTGGACTGTGTCCAACTAAGGGTACTATTTTGTAATTTTGAGTCATTAAAGCATAATTGAATGTATCCGCATAGCCATGCATTATTTGCTGTTGATCTTTTATTTAGAAGTTGTACCGAGAACTTGCCCATTGCATTACTAGTTCCGGAACCACGTGAGTGTGTTTCTGATTCACTAGCACATGATCCAATTTGTATTCACTCAAATGTTGTAGTATATGGGGGATTGAAGTCATGACAATATGTTGGATTGTGTTTATTTTGTATTGACCAGGTAGAATCTTCGTATTTTTTTTGGTATTTGATTTTGTCGATGATGCTTGATATTTGCTTCCTCTACTCCTAGGGGTTCATTTCACATTGCATGCTTAGAAAGCGAAGTCATAACTATAAGCTTTAGATTATTATGTAGCTTTTAATTGAACTAAATATTTTATGATTAAACTGAATAATTGTTGAGGGAAGTTATTATCTAGCATCAATTAATGGAAACAGGAAGTTTTAAGGAGATAGTTTCCCACACATTGTTCAGCAGGGAGTTGCTGAAGTAGGACATTTTGCTAAGAATAATGCTTTCTAGGCAGTGAATTTTAGCCTCAGTTTTAACTTGATACACTAATGGACACATGTTTAAAGCATGTTCTAAAGGAATCCTGATAGGTATTGTTTTTACCTGCATTGTCCCATGCTAGTATGCAAGGTGTTTAGCCATTCGCTGGCCCTTTTTTACATTAAAGCTACAATTTTTCATAGTAGCTCAATTTAGGGGATGGTCAAATGTTTGTCACCTTGTTTTTCACATTTGGTAGTTAAAGCATTTGCAATATGTGTGAAGATGTATGAAGAATGATAAATCACCTAACCTGTACTGAATAGCAAGCAGCATCAATTCATTTCCAGGTGAAAATTGCACTAACGCTTGTTTATCCTTTGATGATAACTTGACCACTACAATGAAGTTGCCATGAATAACTCCTCAGCAGCATGATCAGTTTTGCCTGACGCTGAAGGAATTATTAAATCGGTTTTGAAAACCAAGTAGTAACTAGATTCTCCATATATTTGTACTTTTTTTGCCTCACATTATTAAATCATTGTTTCAATAACTGTGAAGACAAACAAGTGGTAAGCCCTCAAAGGATGTATTTAAGATGTAAGAGAAACTGGAATACAGTATCTTGTTCTTGTACACAGTCATAGATGGTAGCTGCACAGGACTGTCCAAAATTCCTCTTTTTTGGAAATACAGACCATCTTGTTCAGAAATGAAACTATATATGTTGAAGTTTCATTTGAGATTTTTAAAGTTTTGTGATCGGATGCATGAGCAATTGCTGCCTCATATTTTTTAAGTAAAAAATACTGCTCTGTATGGCTGTTAGCTGAAATTCAGATTAGGATGTTTTCCTAGTTAGCAATCCTTCATTAAAAATTTCATCAATGTTCCCTCACAATTTTTCATTTTGGCATTTTTGAACCCACTATGTTTGAAAGATTAAGCCCCCTTTAAAAAAAACTTGTATGACTATATCTGAATGATTGCTGGAGTGTTATTATATGACAGACACTGCAGATGTTTGAAATAGAATTCATCATATTTCACATTGAGTGTTGCTCACAACAAAAGTGATTGCTATTACCCCTTGCCTTGGAAATTCACACAATTGACACAACAGATGATGGTATTATATATAGTTGGTGCAAGGTGATTTATTGCCATATCTGAAGTGAAAATCAGAATGATTTTTTTTAATTTGGCATAACAGTGTTGGATACATTTCACCAGAAAGAGAAAAGAAGTTAGTTTGTTATATTGAAAACAACTGCTTGATTGACAGCAATTGTAACTGATAATACTTAAAAATACATATTTACTGTGATGGTACCTTTCAGTACAAATCAGTAGTTACCTTTGTTGATTGATACTTAGATATTTTTGCTCAGAAAAGAACCTTCATGTACCTAATACCTATTTGCAACAAAGTGAAAATAAGCAACAAACCATTTTAGAAGAGGGTATCCATATGCAAATCTGATCCCCATTTATAATTTGAACTTGTTCGTATTTCATCATTCCATTTGTAACTGTTACCATTAAGTAACCTGAGAATCATTACATAGGCAATTAAGCAATTAGTACTCTATGGAAGTCACTTAAATAATGCAAGACAAACAAAGCCGCTTCTCTGCTAAGTTTCGTTACTTGCACTTACTTCTGCATTGCTAGAAGTAATGATTTCATTAGGGATAAATTTTTTACATTCACTTTGTGAGAACAAGCTCATTTGTATTCCATTATCATGCACATATAATGCAAACTTTTTTCAGGAAATTTTCGCTTTCAAAAAAGTGATGTACACTAGATTTGGAAGGCATTTTATGATAGTTCATTCTCAGACTTGGACCCATATATAGAACAAATCAAAGCTAATTTGTGTACAATGTTGTCAGAGCGATGTAAACACTTACAAGTAAAACATTTTTCCATGTTTAATGTGTTGGAAGTTTTATCTTCAATTCTGGATTATTGTAAATAGGGCTTATATGTTGTGAGCAAACATAAGCAGCATTTCCGCTGGAATTGAAGTCCTGCATCCGAAAGTCAGTTAATATATGTTCGTTCTGAATAAGCCCGTTTAAAAAACTCAAAATCTCCTCAATCTATTGACAAAGTGAAATACAAATAGTTTGCAATGGCTTGTCCTATTTTTGGAAATGCTGAACATACAAGGAAGTAAGTTTGCTGCATAATTGCTTGATCAAAAGGATGCATATTGTGATGTAAACTATTAAAATTACACATTATTGATGGCGTAATGTTTAGAAATGTTGCTTGGTCATTTTAAACCACGGTAGTGATGTTGTTGCAGAAACATGTAAAATTGTCCCCCATTTGGTGTTCAGGGCAGGTCCATTGTCAAGGTAAACCAGTTTTGTGGTTTTTAATTAGACACAGTTTTGTTGTCCATTGGATATGGAATGGAATATGCTGGACAAGTAGACTTTTCTGGTGTCGGATATTATAATCCACGCCGAAAGATTTGGATGACGCATGCAAATCATGGTTGACATATGTATCTTTCCTTTCTTGATTTTAGTGTATTTAGACTCGCCCAGGATAAGGCATAAATGACACTTAAATCAATTCATGTACTCCAACATTATTTGTGTATATTTCTGTCAGTATTATAAATTGCAACCAGAGTGTTGTTTCTCTGAAGTACCTTCTACATGTATTATGCAAAGATATGGAAAGGAATCAAGTGCCAGTAGGTTTTTAGTGCAGACTTTGTCTTGATTTCCCATTTATCTCTAATAGTTACTGTCCGCTCCAACAGTCATGACAGATCACAGTGAAGGTGTGAAAAGTTAGTTAATATCTACCTGGTAATTACTTTTTGAGATTACACCTTGTTCTTTTCAATTCATGGAGCACAACTTGTGAACACAACATCTTTTTCAGATCATGAGACCCATAATTTGACCTAGCAAGTAGCTATACTAGGTGGCAAGATTTATTCACTAGAAAGATTTTTCCAAAAACCACCTGTATATTAAACAATAGTTCACACGATAGGCAAATATTAACAATATATTCTGTTTTGTTGGCTTACTGTCAGCAATCTTAAAAATGTAGGCAAGTTGGACATTTAGCATTGATCTGCCAACAGTGAATGCAACAAACTTAGCCAATCAGTTTCTTTAAATCATCATTTTTCGTGAAATAAGTTGTCAGGTCTTGTTATTGGGGCAAGTAACTCACAATTTCTGTAGTGTAACAGAAACTAACAGTTGTATAACAAGGTACACAAATTTTGCTTTTTAAATTAATCTGTAGAAATGGAATGATAAATTTAACCACAGTATTTTTTTCTGAAATTATACAGAATAACTGATTATAATATATATATAATCATGCTCATAGACTTTATCATGCACAGTGCTAAATGAACATCTCTGAAATTGAAATGGATTTAATCGGCGAGTCCAAAGTTACCAAGAAAAAAGATGAAAACTTTATAATTTAGTTATCCTGCAATTTGCCCAAGGTGCCAATACATAACTAGAACTCGGGACAAGGCTTATTACAGGACAGGAATTTGATCAAACCTTTGTTTGCAAATAAAATTAATAAGAAATGTCAGTAAAAGCTTGTGGACAAAATAATGGCAAAGTGTGTTATAGTGGATTCCGTTTGACCATGCAATGATACCTGATAATGTGATTGTTTTCAAAGTCTGATTGGTGTATAACCAATGAATAAGTTATGTAATGTCCAGCAATATCTTAATTTCTATTTCTTTTCTCTTTTTCCGTTGCAGATAGATGATTTCACAGTTTTCCACAAGCCTTATGTGACTTGTGATGACTGGGAAAATAAAAGTTTCCCGGGAGGAATTCAGTGTTCCTGACAGTCCCTTTTGTCTGACAGGAAGATAATGCAGACAGACATGACTAGGTAAGTGTCAGTTACTCTAAAATGTCAAATACTTGCAAAGGTTTAATAAACTTGCAATGTAAATTTGTTACAATAGTTTGTTTTAGAAAATTGCGGGATGCACGTTAACTTGTGGTATCCTTTTATACATTTATCTAAATAGCCATGCAAGAATAAACAGGTCAGTTAGTGGCATCTATTTACAACTTTGTCAAGGTAATATATTGCCAATTAAACATTTTATTATGTTGTTTCAGGGAAGGAGGCGACTCCATTCTTAGCCCTGGCAGGCACAACTCTGCCAGTGAATGTAATTACACAAGCGATTCAGAAAGATCTACCGACATAAAAATGGAAAACAACCTGGTATGTTATTTGTTATTATTCCCCCAGTTATTGTTGTTAAGAGATTACATCTGATCCATCTGGTCTGGTAGCTGTTTGTTGATTGAAACTTGTGGATTATTGGGAGTTACTTTATCTAGCATTATAAACTTGTCCATTGAAGCTACTTTGTTGCTTAGAGTTCAGTTTGTGCTGGTCAGCATAGGTTGGCCAGCTTCTTGCACAATATGCATTCATGATTTGGAAAGAAAATGAATCCGTTTTGAATTTTTTATTTCTACACATAGAAGTTATATAGATAGGGGGATGTCACTGTAGTAGTAATTTAATCTCCTATGTTTGCATCGTTTGATGTACTCTTTCACAGAACGATTCCGACATGAATGATGGAGCATCACCAAGTTCCGTAAACCAGAACTCTACTAGCAATGGACGTAGTACCAATCAACTGCAATATCTTCAAAAGTCAGTCATGAAGGCTCTGTGGCGGCACCAGTATGCTTGGCCATTCCATAAACCTGTAGATGCAGACTCCTTAAACTTGCCTGTGAGTAAAGTAAAACTCTATGTGCCAAACCTGAAATATATAATGCATGCCAGTCAAGTTCTTGATAGTCTCATTGCTACTTCTAATTGTAAAATACTTGAATGACAGTTTCTTTTAGTAAGTAGGGCATATTACATGAGTGGTTCTTAATGAAATTTAGATAATTGTGAAATTTAAAGCAAATGAGTTTCTGATATCTTCATCCTTAGGCTTTTCACAATTGGGAAGTGGCCTCAGTGATCCAAACTGAAATATGGTCCAATGTGGGTTGAAGGATTGAGATATTCAACATGAAAATGGAATATCCTTATCCTTTTAATCAAATTGTGAAAGAGGATTTGTATTCACCCAGCATTTCATGATCAGGGCTTTTTTTTGGGGGGGGGGGGGGGGGGTGGCAGTAATTTTACCATTGTACATCATGGTTACTTTTGTCACTGGCTTGGAATGGAGCTTTTTACCTCATTTTGGGGAGGACATTTTCAGTGGTCATTTCACTGAATAATTTTAGTAAGAATATGAGACCATAATTGGAGAGACTTCCTGAACTTGAATGTAAGTTTGAAAACATATAGCCAATAACATTTGAAGTCTCCTTGGTTGCTAGCTGAGACATCAGCATTGTCCAATCCAACACAGTTTTTTCTATTTGATGACTTTTGTTTATATTATTCTCACACACAAACATACTAATATGCACGAGGGGAACATTTCTCAAAGATTGTCCAAGTATTTATAATGTTTTAGAGAATCATACACTATCTAAAGTACTGTGAATTTTTTCGTTAATCATTTAAAATTGTACACTGCAACTTTCACTGTAAGAGATACCTATACCAATATCCCATGAATTGTTGTGGTCAGGAACTCTGGTCCAGTATGTTGTACCAGAGGTGGTAATCATACAGTGCAACACTGGAGGAGGGTTAAGTCAAGTCAAATTGCAAATGGTTGGTATACACTTATTTCACGTATGCTTTTAAATATGTTCACAGGATTACTACAAGATAATCAAACATCCTATGGATTTAGGATCAATAAAGAAGAGACTGGAAACCAATTACTACTTTTCCGCCACAGAATGCATACAAGACTTTAACCAGATGTTTACAAATTGTTATATTTACAACAAACCTGGGGAGGTAAGCAAAGTTGTTGTCTCTGGTAATTTCCATGGTTAATCAAACTGATTATTACCAATCATTGTAATTGACATGATAATCAAGGATTCTGTTGTTGGAAGCGAGTTACGTCACTCATTTGCCATTTATGATAATTCCTAATTTCTAAGGAAACATTTGAAATTGTCCCATTACTGATGGTTTAGTTTTTAGTTGGCTTATGTATGTTATTTTATCTGCGTGCATGTTTACTTGCAGGATATTGTACTCATGGCTCAAGTGCTGGAAAAAGTTTTTCTGCAGAAGGTTGCTCAAATGCCCTCAGAAGTAAGAAAAATCTTTGGCTCATTACTCATGAAGGGCTTTTAAGGTTACTGGTGCAGTGTCCAATCTTTTTAGGCAAAATGTACATATTTAAATTTTTAACTGATCTGAAAAGATGAGACATGGCCACCTAATTTTGACAGCCAAAGTTTGTTACTTTAGTTTTCAGTTTCACATGTAGGTTCATATGTTGAACAATATTTCCACATGATTCACATTTGCACTCTTAAGAACAAAGAACCATGAATAAAGGGAAATATTTAATATTGATAGAACTAAGGAAAAACAGAATTGTGACTGCCAAAATATTTCAGGATCTGTTTTTTGTTAAACAAAAAATATATATACATTTTATATTTGAACTTTACCTTTGCAGGAAAAAGAGATTCTTCCTCAAGCAAGGAAAACTCCGAAGTCTGCCAAACTGTCTGGTGCTGCAGCCAATAAAGCTCTCGGTGCCAAGCCGGTTGATGCTGAACCAGCTAAACCTGTGCCGCCACCTCCTTTACCCACCCCTTCTTCTACTTTACAACCAACCACTGCAGCCGTAGCCCCATCCTCCACAACAGCTGTGACTGCGGCACCAGCATCAATCTCATCAACAACAACCACATCAACCAACACTGTCATGGAATCAACACAGTTCAACACAACACACAATGCCATAGAGCCAGCAATTGTTCCTCCATCACAACCTATTAAGGTATCCCATGGTTTATCAGTTTTGTTTATTATCGCCAGTCACAGCTACAGGGTGGTAGTCTGCTTTTCAGAAGCAGAACTTGGAGGGAAATCTTTCAGTGTAATGCACTAGATACTACATTGTCTATGTATTTGTCATATGGATAATCCTGGAGGGGGCCATGGGCTCTTGAGGTAAAACATGTTATGAGCATGTTAATGTTAACTTTTGCTATTTTTTGTTAATTCTCTTGTTATTAAATAGTTCAGAATCCGCCATTGTTTTGCTGGTGGCACTATCACTTAAGAACTTTCTACTAAATTTTCAGACAAAAAGAGGAGTAAAACGGAAAGCTGATACAACAACCCCAGTTGTGTCCTCCTCACCATATGATCCTGTGTTTGATCCAAGTCCCAAAGTAGAAAAACTGGTTTCCCCAAAGGTTACTCCAGCGAAGGTTTTGTCTACTAAGGTCCTCCCAGCAAAGGTTACACCTGCGAGGAGGGAAAGCAATAGGCAAATAAAAAAACCAAAGCGAGATTTACCATCCGAAGAACCAGTCGGAGAGCAGGTAAATTTCATGATTTGGTTTCATGGGTTTCTTTTTGCTTCTATTTCAGAAATGACAACAATAATGAGAGGCCTTAGTTTCTGACACTGGAACCATTCCAGAATATCCATAACGGACTTTGTTGCGTATACTTTATTATTAATGTTCCAGATCCGCCCATAAAATGTGAAGACCCTTCAAATCTTCAAATCAGTTTGATTGGCTCGAACAAGCTTCAAACTTCCGTATCAAGGCAGTGTAAGGTCAAAAATTTGTCTAGTTTTGATATAGATGGCAGAAAATTGGATGTTTTTTTCCCTCGATGAAATGACAAGTGTCAAACCAGAATTTATATTGCATGTTTTTATTTATTTGTTCATTTTGCAGGCACAGCACAATTTGAAAAACAAAAAGGGAAAACTCTCTCCACAGTTGAAGTATTGCAGTAATTTTGTCAAGGAATTGTTTGCCAAAAAGCATGCTGTAAGTTAACACAGTATCAAATTATTTTTTAACGGGTAGATGTTATTAATGCAGTTTTGCTATTTTTTTGTCGCAACAAGTTGTAATGTAATGATAGGTCAACTTATCAATGTATTGTGATAACTCTCGATAACAAAAGGACAATAAGAAATTTTCAAGTCTATAACTGTGGCAATAGTTTCTATTTACTAAAAAAATGCCACTTGAAAGCAAGATTTTTCATCAAGTTATTACCAAATGACTGCAAGCTAGCCTTCGTATATTTATGAAAGCATCCTTGGGACCTTGATTTGGGGTAGCACTAAGTACAAAAAGGGTGCAATCACCTACTTTAAAATGGAAATAGAATTTTAAGCATGAATTGTTGCATCGATGAGAATTTATATCTTAAGTGTTATATCTTTGTTTCTAATGTGATCTAATTAAATTTAAAAACTATAGTTACTCTGGGATCCATGATTTAGATCCTTCCTTGAAATAACTGGTTTCGGTGAACAACATGGCGCAAGGTAGCATTTTGAAAATTGTTCGCACTAAAAAGGACAAAAACAAACAGTAGGACAGCATTTTGCTTACATGAAAATTAATGACAAAAAAAATGTCTCAAAATTGATCACAATTATACATCCCAAAAGTACATGTATATTTGGTAAATAGCTATAAATGTTACCCTACTTTTACTAGTATAGGCCTAATGACGTTTTTTGACATTGATCTGCCAATGATATCAAAAGTATGTCAAACTTCTTGTCAAAGCCAAATAATGATTTCGGTGTTGAGTTCATAAATCAGTGTTAAATTCATTAATCACCTTTTAAAATAACAAACAAATTTGAAATAAGAAGGAAATTATACTAAATTTTACTATTACACTAGGACTTCAAATAAAATGATATTGTACCATCTTGAGTCTGGCAGAGTATGAGTTGCAAAACAATTATCACCAAATAGCATGTTTATGTATAGAATGAATAACATGAAAATATAAAATAAAGTGTAACGAATATCGCTGTGTAACATAATTGATTGTAAATAAATTGTAAATATTTTAACATTTAAGTTAATTTAGCATTTATTTCAGAGTTTAAAAACATTTTTTGAATATGACAAACTATTGCGATAGTATCGTAATACTAATATGATAGCTTTTTTGGCCTCAATAGTCACCCCAAGCAACAAGGTCTTGTGGGCTTGAGAAGGAAAATTCATTTTAAAGTTTTAGTAATTTACGGACAAAGATTTGTAATCTTATTTAATCACTGGTGTATTAAAACTTATTCCAGTTATTCATTATTCAGACATTTTATGTAATATGTAAGGTGTTTGAATTCACATGTATTCTTTGTATTTGCAGAGCTATGCTTGGCCATTTTATAAGCCAGTTGATGCCAATCTTCTGGGTTTACATGATTACCATGAAATTATTAAAAAGCCTATGGATCTAGGCTCCATAAAAGTGAGTACATAGAATGTATTTGAACTAAAACAGGTCTTTATAATTGACCATTCTTAGACTATGTATGTATGAGTATGTGAAATAGTTTTTAATTGGAGGTAGGGGTTGGCAGGGATACCACCATCCTGACCTGTTTCATCTTGTTCTCTCCCTTATTTACATTTCCTTACACAGTTTTTTTGTTTTTTTAACTGCGGACTCATTTCAAAAGTTGAAATTGGTCTTTGATTTGATCTTAATATTAAGGGAAAGCCATGTAGGGGATTCCAGAAATGAGTTCATGGTGTTAAGGTAAAGGTCATTGTTAACATTCAAAGGAAATACCATCCTGTTCAGTGACATAACTCTTTTCTTCCCATAAGGAATTAAAGTTATTGCAACAAAACAGAGTGGAATATGTTCAAGTGTCTTGGTCTCTATGCCTGTTTTGAAAAGATTTCACAATCTGACATACAAAAACATTTCTAGTTGTGGGACATTTTCAGACCAAAGTGTCTTGGATAACCTGAAAAAATTGGGCAAGGGCCATAGCGTTATTGCAATGATTGAGTCTTTAATCAATCAGGTGAAAGAAAATGCCATGTATAATCCCAGTTTGCTTTCTAAAAGTAAAACTGTTTCATGCCATGGCTACACATTATTTACCATTTGTTTATTGAATCAATAAAGAGATTGTTTTTTTTTTCCAAAGCAGTGGAGAGAATAGAATTGGGTTTTGGGAATTCGTTCCAGTAAACATTGAGATTGGAAATGATTCAAATGTGGTGTAAATCTCTGAAACATAATGCTTTTTGCTTTTTTCCAATTTTTTTTCACAGAAAAACTAAAATAATTCAAATTGAGTTTTTCTCCTTTAAATCAATTTTCGCCTCTGATAACACTTATCCTACTCCATGAGAGCATCTCACTGAGAAGGCAAGAAACAAGTTTTGCAGATATGCTAGGGCTGAAATGCTTTTGTTTCATGGCCTCTGAATTGAAATTACATTTATTACGATGTTAGTCGTAGGGATGACTTTTCCATGAACTTTGTGCGGTCTCTGAATAACTAGTATGTATGAAGTGTATCTCTTGAAAATTTGTCGGTATACATCAGATGTCCCTAAGTTTGGTTGTAAAGGAAAGATTTTATTAATCTGAAACTTTGAAACTGGTTTGTAAATATCAACCGTCATTATTTATGTGCGAGGTTGCACATAGTGCAAATCTGGGTTATAGTATGGTGAATGTTGGGCGGGCGGGGAAAAGGGGTACCAGTTTTGTAGAATCAACTCCTCTAGAGATTTTGACGTAGAAGCTTGATACTTTGTAGGATGTTTATATGTATGTTGAAGATGAGCACCTCTTATTATGGATTAATTCTGGACATTTTTCTGAATTTTCCGGGCTGTGGAACTCCGTCATTTTCCACATATAAATCACCTTGGGGGCCCTAGATGTCCATTATCTATTTTTTGAACATCTCCGAATCAAAACTGGCTGCAACTTCTTTCATCAAATGCCTTTCTTCTGCACCAATTCATATAAACACAACCAAACTTTCTCTCTTGTAACAAATATTCTACATATGAAACGTTTCTAGTTGTGGGACATATTCAGAAGATCAGTGTCTTGGATAACCTGAAAAAATTGGGCAAGGGCCATAGCGTTATTGCAATGATTGAGTCTTTAATCAATCAGGTGAAAGAAAATGCCATGTATAATCCCAGTTTGCTTTCTAAAAGTAAAACTGTTTCATGCCATGGCTACACATTATTTACCATTTGTATATTGAATCAACAAAGAGATTGTCTTTTTTTTTCCAAAGCAATGGAGTGAATAGAATTGGGTTTTGGGAATTCGTTCCAGTAAACATTGAGATTGGAAATTATTCAAATGTGTTTATCTCTGAAACAATTTTTTTGCTTTTTTCCAATTTTTTTTTCATGGAAAAACTAAAAAAATTCAAATTGAGCTTTTCTCCTTTAAATCAGTTTTTCACTTAGAAGGCAAGAAACAAGTTTTGCAGATATGCAAGGGCTGAAATGCTTTTGTTTCATGGCCTCTAAATTGATATTACATTTATCACAATGTTAGTCGTAGGGATGACTTTCCCATGAATGAACTTTGTGCGGTTTCTGAATAACTATTATGTGTGAAGTGTATCTCTTGAAAATTTGTCGTATACATCAGATGTCCCTAAGTTTGGTTGTAAAGGAAAGATTTTATTAATCTGAAACTTTGAAACTGGTTTGTTATTATCAACAGCCGGTATTTATTGTCCAGGTGGCATGTAGTATGGTGAAAGTCGGTCTGTAGAATCAACTCCTCCTAGAGATTTTGACGTAGAAGCTTGAAACTTTGTAGGATGTTTATATGTATGTTGAAGATGAGCACCTCCTATTATGGATTAATTTCGGACATTTTTCTGAATTTTCCGGGCTTTGGAATTTAGTCATTTTCCGCATATAAATCACCTTGGGGGCCCTAGATGTCCCATTATCTATTTTTTGAACATCTCCGAATCAAAAATGGCTGCAACTTCTTTCTTCAAATGCCCTTCTTCTGCACTAATTCATAAAAATACAACCAAACTTTCTCTCTTGTAACAAATATTCTAAACTCTCATAAACTCTGCTGACACTCAGATGTCAAGAAAAGATTTCACAATCTGACATACAAAACATTTCTAGTTGTGGGACATCTTCAGAAGACCAAAATGTCTTGGATAACCTGAAAATATTGGGCAAAGGCCATAGCTTTATTGCAGTGATTGAGTCTTTAATCAATCAGGTGAAAGAAAATGCCATGTATAATCCCAGTTTGCTTTCTGAAAGTAAGACTGTTTCATGCCATGGCTACACTTGGTAAGTTTTTGTGTTGGTTAATTATGTGAGAACTTGTCATTTAGATTGTTATAATTGCAGCAGGTTACACAATTTTGTAGGTAGGGTACATTGTACCAGGTATTAAAAGTATGAAGTGAGACGGGGTCAAATTACCTTCAGATTTTAATACTTAACTTCAGTTGTAAGATTATTTAGGTTAACTGAAATACAAAATTTTTAGTACTGCAAGTATAAAAAAAGATATGAATGAGTCTTAATCTCATTATGGACAGAATACTCATCGATGAAGTGTTCATTCTTGAAGAAATAAAATCATGTAGTTTTCTAGCCTTGAAGAAAGGAAGATTTCACTGGTAATCATCCTGTTGTTTCGGCTTCTGCTCTTTTGATATACGGTCAGTTGAATGGCATTGATTATTATACAAAACTACTAATTCATGTTGAATGTGAAGTTTGAATTATAGAAAACTACTGATATAAAGTAAGACCAATGAAGGGTTTCGAGTCCTTAATGTAGGAAAACGTCTTTCTTTACCACTTTTCTACCTATTTAAGTATCCTTATACACGTATGATTGTTGTAGCTGGACTTGGGGTTATGGTGATAAAATGGGCCATAAAGAATAGTTCGCTGAACTGGAAGCAGGACTCTCATTCTATTCTTCAGTGAAATGATAATATCTTGCTGTCTTTGTACAACTGGATAAGATGTGCTAAAAAGGAAAACAACAATACTGTATATATATTTTTCTTTTAATTTTTCAGAGAAAATTGGAAACAAGGGAGTATTCATGTCCTTCAGAGTTTGCTGAGGATGTGCGGTTAATTTTCACAAACTGTTATCGTTACAACCCCCCAGATAGTGATGTAGTTATGATGGCAAAGAAGCTACAGGATGTTTTTGAAATGAAGTATGCAAAAATGCCTGAACTTCCTGACTTGCCAGAAACAACAGGGAATGGGGGGTTAAAGAGTGATAGTGAAAGTTCATCTGCAGAGGAATCACCTACAGATGATGATGACAGTGAGGAGGAGCGAGAGCAGAAGATCAAGGAACTGCAGGAAACAGTAAGTGATCATTGTTTGGAAAGATTTCAGAACTAATGTTGCTGTCCAAGAACAGTGTTTGCATTTTAAAATAAATGAAACATGAATGTTTTTTCGAAGAAAAGTCTTTGTTATAACAAAAGGCTTAAGTGGTTCCCTTCATCAAAGTTAGATGAGGATTTATTTTGTGGCTAAAGATAAAAAGGTAATTTGAAATTAAATTGTTGAAGTGATGAAACTCTTTTAAAGTTTCAGGTTTGACTGCAAATAAAGCGCCCTGTGCATTATAAGTTTTTACAATAACAAAGCTTATTGTGTTCAATTTCAAATCAGACTGATTTTCCCCCTATTTCAGATGAAGCAGATACAAGAACAGTTGCAACAGTTAACAGAAGAACATATGCAAAAATTAAAGCAAAAAACTGAAAGACGTGAAAGAAAGGAGAAAAGACTTGTTAAAAAGAAATCTAAAGTCAAAGAAGATGTGAAAGATAAAGTGACAGAACCTTTAAATGTGCCATCTCAGCCACAACTTGTGCAATTGCCGGCTGCAGACACCTCTAAGCCTGCTAAAAGTGTCAAGACAAAGGCAAATAAGCAGAAGTCGCCTTCTGAATCTAAACGCAAGCGAGCAGGTCGCTCACAAAATAGTTCCAAGAAAAATAAAAGTGCAACGGTGGCTGTATCTCAGTTACAGCCACCAACTCCAGCATTTGATAGTGATGATGAGGACAATGCAAAGCCAATGACCTATGATGAAAAAAGACAATTAAGTTTGGATATAAATAAGTTGCCTGGTGAGTTAAGTGAAAGTGGTTGAATTTTCTTCTGGTGAATTTGCTATATTCTGATAGTTATTATGCTATCGTGAATTGGAAGAATCTTTGTGTAATTAAGATATTTATAAGACTTGAGCAAATCTTTAGATGTAAGCAACTTCTTGAAAATTTTAGACATAAGCAAAGTCTTTGACATATTTGAGCAAATCTTTTAAAAAGAAATCCTCAAAATAGTGTTTTCCTGCAATTTTCAATAAATCAACTATAATACTATATTATATTGTATAAGGATGTCTGCTAAGTTCAAATTTCACTATTTTCAGTGGTACTCTCTCCTTCTACAAATTATGTAGAAAATTAAACTCTAGACACGTGTTAACTATTAATGCATTAAGTATAATTATCACCAAGTCATCGACCATTAAATTACATTGCTGTCCTCAAGTTTGCTTTTCATAAAAGAAAAAAAAAGGCTGGTCATGAAAGATCAAATTTACCCAACTTCACAGTCATAACAGATGCATGCATATTTTCACTAGTTTTCTGAGACCACCCTTTTAAGATCATTCACTTGATTTAATAAGTATGCAAGAATATTACAAAACAATAATCTATCAACAAAATTAAGATGTTGATGTCAAAAGTTAAATTAAGCAATAGCTTGTCTCAAAGAAAAGAGCTTCACAAAGTAAAATTCAAATATTTTTCTTTTCCATAAAGATTTTGGTCATCTATATATAATTTTGATCACTATCAATTGATCATTATGTTACAAGCTAATTGGTGATAAGAATATATATATTACTGTATTTTAAATGCCAGTGTCCGCAGTATTGGGAATAGGGGTGGGAGGGACTTATCAAAAAGTTCAAAAAGAAAATTAGAAAATTTATAAATAAAAATTGTCTCCGCAGCTTCAGACCCTCCAGTCATATGTAAAATCAAACCACCACTTTATCAACTATTTGCCCTACAGTTCTGTAAGCAGGTGACCATTAAATAATTTGGTAGTTGCTTGCTACTTCAGGAAAAAGTAGGTGATAAGTTTCTGGTGTTATTACAGTAGTAAACTATAGATTGATACTTCAGAGTCTTTCAAACTATTTGTTAATAAAATGGGAGGCCTTGAGCAGATTGAACCTAAAAGTGGAGCTCGAAAGCTTTCAGCAAGTAACTATTCAGATTATATAAATATTTAATTTTAAAAGTTGCCAGGTGTTGAACTGTGCTGTGCCTTGGTAAAGGTTAAGATCCCTACTTGTAATGATTTGATTACCGGGCAAGAAGATACAGAACCATACACTTAACTATCAAAATTTGTCACCGAACTTGGTTGCCATCCTCTTGCCATATAGGTACCTATACATATATACTTTCTGGGCACGAAAATAAAACATACTATGATATTAAGTTTGCACTAGTTTTGTATTTTAGATCTCTATATGATTGGCATTATCAACTCGGTGTAATTGTTCTGTCATGATAATATCCTTACTTGTAAAATTTTGTTTTACAGGAGATAAATTAGGAAGAGTAGTGTATATAATACAATCCAGAGAACCGTCCTTACGAGATTCCAATCCAGATGAAATAGAAATAGACTTTGAAACTTTAAAACCTTCAACATTACGGGAATTAGAAGCTTATGTGATGTCTTGTTTAAAAAAGAAAACAAGAAAAACATACAGTAAGTATATGTATTGTGCAGATGAATGAGTGAGCAAAGAAATGTAGTTATGTTCACAAGGTGTCATTTTATGTATTGCAATTTAAATGTCTATCAAAAGTTTAGTTTCAGTATAAAAATGAGTGTTTTTTAACCATTGTTTTGAAAGTTGTCATTCAGTGCTGAATTTTATGCATATGTAGCATGCATATCACATTTACTTTCATTGGACTTTGATGAATCAGTGTTTCCCCTATAAATAATAATTTGAAATTTGGTGTAAATCAGCGAAAAAAGGAGCTGGAAAGTCTCGTGAAGAAGCCCAGAGTGAAAAGAAAAAGGAGCTAGAAAAACGGTTACAGGATGTTCAGGGTCAGCTAGGAGGATCGCACAAGAAAACTGGTAGCAAGAAAGGTAAGTCTACATCTTATCTTTCAAGCGGTAGATTGCTCAAAATATTGTCCATTAATATGCCAAAAATTTGGGGTTTTTTATTGGGGAAAAAAAAGACCACCAAACTTTGTGAGTGTGTTGGAATTAGTTCCAGTAATTTTGTTTGGGTGATCTACTTTTGAATGATCAGTGAAGCAAGCTGTCTCTGAAGGAATTAATTCCTTGTTTGAACGGAGAAACAGTGTCTTTCAAGGAATATTGCTTTTCTTAACGAGATATTTTTCTCAGGTGCATCAAATACCAAGTATAATGAATTTTCTTGATGATAAAGCTTCTGAATTTTTTAAGAATTACAGGAACAAATTTAGAGAATAAAGTTAGCTAACTTGTCATATAGCTAGTTAAACCAAAGAGCTACTTTTAAGATCTTGTCTAGTTTCACTTAATTTGGATTTGTGAAATTTCTGGGAATTTGGAGGACATGTAGGTGTAGGAAGAAGTTTCTTTAACATGGAATTTGACCTTACTAATCAGTCGCAAAGTTACATAATGATAAATTAATGTATTCAACCATTTATATTTATTATATGGCAGGAGTAGTTGGGAATATAGAGGTGTCATACTTGTTAATAACAACATAATTACAGAAGTAGATTTAAGTAAAAAAAAAAATCAGCTGCTAAACCTGTTGGTCAATATGCTGGCTCAACTGGTCCAAATAAGACTTTTTTATGTCCAACATGTGGGTCAAATGTCCTTGAAAGGGCATGGAGGCATTTGCTACAGAAAGAGCCATGTAAGGGGGTCCATGGAGGTCTCCTTGGAAACGTTTTTAAAAATTTTATGCAGAGACAACATTTCGGTACTTCCTTTAATAACAATTGCCACGTATAGTGATGAAAATAAACATGTTAGTCTAAACTTTAAACTAGCCTGACATCGAGTTAATGGTAAGCCTAACTGTCACAAAGCAAAATAAAGTTACAAGGCTGATGGACCATATAGCTAGCAGCACAATTTACTCCTGGACTATTATTTTAGTAAACCCTACATAATTATTTAAATGACTGATAATATAGACAGAAATCTTTGAGGAAATTGTTTGTAATACTATAAAGTTCACATGACATGGCCACATTTGTCCAGTCTGCAGGTAATTGCATTATCAATTTTTTGTATGGTAAGGCTACAAGTTTATTGATTTACCATTTTGTATGGTTACTTAGATGATGGCAACGCAGCAGATGGTGGGGCCAGTCGCTTGAGTGCCAGCAGCAGTAGTTCATCCGGCAGTGACTCCAGTACAGATAGTAGCTCATCCAGTTCTTCCGATTCCAGCGACTCTGAGTCAGGTTAGACCACCTCTATCCAGTCTTGGCTTGCTCTAGGGGTCATGAATAAGGGGTTTGTTGATGGTCCTGCCTTTCATTGTGGTAAGGCAGGTGAAAGGGGATTGGGTTAAGCTGCAGGATGACATGTTTATCAAGCAATGCTACATAAGCCTGCAAGGATGGAATGGTTAATCACCGAGAGTGGTTTTGGTTATATGCCTCATGAAGTCTCCTCTAATCGAGTCATAATCTAGATTTTTGATTGCAGAAGACATTCAATTTTACTGCAGTCGCGCACCAAGTGGGTCTTGAAATCCGTTGTCGTTGATAAATAATATTGCATCTATTGTTGAAATGGACATTACAAGGTGTTTGTATTTGGTTTGGCTAAGAGTGCAGAATGTGTTTATTGTTGGGGCCAGTTACACAAAACATGCTGGTGTTGAATACTTTGAAATGCCACAGAACATTAATCATCCCACTCATTCATTTTTAAGAGCCATTGAACATAGTCAATCATGTACAGAATGCAGGTTCAAAATGTACAAGTTTTCATTTAAAGATCATATTATATGTAAGTGTGTGTCATTGAATAAGGTGCTTATTGTGTTCATGTGCGGAATAATTCGCAATTGTAACCTGACTGTTAGTTGGCATATGTGAGAAAAAAGTGTATGGTTGTTCAGATTATTTATTGTGTGATGTGATGTGACATACTTTTTGTGTTTGTAGAATGAACACTTGTCATGATTTGTTACTTTTAAAAGAGCAATCAAGTATTGATATCTGAAAATTTTTTGGAAGATGAAAAGATGTAAAGTTCTTTCTTTTCTTCGCATTTCTTATCAATAATGAACAAGGCTAAGATATGAAAGTAGTAACTATGTTGATGAAAAGTGCTGCATTTTTTTTTCTTTTTTTTTATAATTTTTTTTAAAGTTTGTTTCCTTTTAATTTATTTATTGAAGAAAAAATCTATACATTGATATTGTTAAGGCACAGGCCCCATTATTTCATTTAAAGCAAAGTGTCCAAAACATCTCTCATTTATTCTCATTTGTTGTGATAGCTCATTGGTAATAATCTTGGGAGAATTTTATTCCCTGCCAAATATGAATCTCGTTCATCCTGCAAGACTTTTAAACTGCTCTCATTTTGAAGTAATTATAAATCATAGCTGTTCTTAGTTTGATGAAACCAGGAAACACATATGTGAAAAACAATATCCTAATTTGGGAAGGAATGGAAATCTAGTTAAGTAATAAAAGTGATGTTACTTAAGGAAGTCTTGCATGACAGGAACAAGATGAGTAAATGATGGGAAGAAGCATAAGTGAGCTGGCCTCATCTTGAGCAATCAACACATCTTTGCACTCCATGGCTAGAATCATGCTATTAGCATTCCTTTCTGTTGTATTACAATATAAATTCATAGATCTATCTTTTTGGTAAAAAAGTGTTTGGAAAACATGATGCATGAAAGATTTTTAAATGGTTTTGTTTAAAGGTCTCTACCAATAGTATTGATTATTGATAATATTTTGTGGCCCTTTCGTAGTTTTACTGTGTTTGTGATGTGCTCATTTTAATATTTTCTACAAAAGTTGTACATAGATTGGTGATAACTTCACCTAGGTATACACAGGTTCTTTTTGTAATTTTTTTAAGCCATGTAGTCCTGCGTCTCATCAATGTACATAGTAATTTGCATATCTCATCTTGTCTTTAGTACATATTGACTCATGTGAAATAAATAAACATTTAAATAAGATTTTTTTTTACTTTTTTGTCCTTCTTCATGAGCAGCTTGTTTTGTGGCTGTGCCTCCATAAGAAAACATTCTGCACTCCATGGTTGATCTTCCTTCAAACTGGGCTACGGTTAGGCTGGGTTGATATTTTGTTGCGATGTACACAGGTTTATAAAATCTTCATTATTGTCATATTGAACAGAGAACAGTACCGAGACGATGCTTGCAGCATGTGAATGACACTCTTCATAGAGGGATGTTGCATACCTTTTGTCTGTTGTCCCTTAAAGAAGTTTCTATATGGTGCACGAAAAATGTTTGCATGCACAATAATGATGAAGGAAAAAAGATCTTTATGATTTTCACAGGAATTGAAAATCTTCATCCTTGTTCTTCAAATATGAATGCATGTTTATCTATGAAAAACAGTTCATGTGAGATTTAATAGTGTTGCGTACATATTTCAATTTCCAGAAATGAAAGCAATTAAAGTTTGATTGGAATACCATGAACATTGATAAAAAGAAAATTGTGAGGTGGAATGGTTACATGTCTTATATCAAGATATTAACTTAGGCTTGGACAAAAGGGCATGCAATGTTCTAAGTGGAAATTGGCTGACTGCTTGAATACATTTAAAACTGAACATTCCTTCAAGCTATTAAATTAGAATAGCTTGATGGTACACTACAATTTTCTCATTTGATGTATTCATTCAGAAATCTCGTGAAAGAGAGGAATGGTGTTGTCTTCCAGCAAATACTTTGAAAAAAGAGAGAGAGAAAAAATATCAATCTGCAGCAAGTAGCTTATACAAAAAGAAGTAGGGGTTGGAAAATTTACAGGGGCCAAAAGAAACTGATGAGGCAGTCAAATCGGTAATATTCACAAAGTATGCTGAGTGTTGATTTCACCTAAGTTTCAGCATTTGTTTCTATTTTCATGATAAATAGAAGTGAAGTAATTACAACAGATGCATAGGTCTATTGTACTGTGCAAAATAATAAGGTTCACAAGTTGTAAAGAATCACTTACCTAGTGTTGCCAATATTTGTCTCATACGGAGTCAATATAAGCTTGTAGCAATTTCCTTCTCTGACAGATTTTGATCAACCTTTACACAAAGGTCTATAATATTATAAGTGCACTTTGGAGATTGTTGTGTTTCAGGGGGTCAAGGTCACCCTTGCTATGTATAGAAAATCATCAAATGATTCAATTTAAACACTAAGCAACTTCAACTTCATTCTTTCACAGATTTTGGTCAAACTTCATCCAAAGATCAATTAGGAGTATACTTTGAACATTGTTGAGTTTCAGGGGCCAAAAGCCACCTTTGCTATATATAGAAAATCATCAACTGATTCAACACTGAAACTTATTTTATTTTGTGGCAGGGCATTTATGTCTCGTAGACATTTTCTAGTTTTTCCTTAGAAAAATAAAATTGTTTTCAGTACCAGGGTACGTTAATAAATATGCCATATGACATGCTATGTCAGGTTACTGAGTAAATATTGATTGTGTTTACAAATTTGATAAAGTATTGAGAGTTAGCGACTTGAGAACATCTGGTATGGACGAAATATTTCATTAAGTATAAAACAAGGCAAAACTTGGGAAACCATTTAGTTTGTCTTTAGGAACTGTCAATTACATATCTGAAGACAGCCTAGCCATATCAAAGTAAACATGAATACACAAAACTGATGCCAAATCAAAGTAAACATTCACTTAGAATTGTAATCTTGCTTGCAAACCTCTCTCAGAGTCCTATGAACCTGTACACTTGTGCTTCTTTTAAAATACTCCTAGAGAATAATAGGTACACTGGTGTCCAATGTAAAATGAGAGGATTTATCTCTGAACATTGGTCAGCCTCTAGCTTGAGTCTGATTGGTTGCCATAAACATGTTTTAGAATCCGAAGAACATTTACATGATTGCTGTGGTCTGTTTTCTTTAAGAGTCCAAAACTTGTAAATCAATCACACTAATACTCTAACTTTGTAGTGAAGTTCCTGATAGTGTTCTTGTACACACAAAATGTGCACAAACTGTACATGAAGTCTTGGGAACTGGCATTTTATCTTTGTCACTGCAAGCTAAGTCCTAAAGGCTTTGACATTGTTTAATGATTGAACATTGAAAGCAAACTTTTTAAAAAAAAAAAATTTTTTTAAGTTTTCTTGGAGAAAATATTGCCAAATTTCTTCTAGTATACATTTTACTGGGCCATTCTGTTAATAAGATGTTCTATTTTGGAAGCAAAGTGCTATTAAAAGGAAAACAAAAGTTGCAAGAATACATGTTGAGAGAAAAATTCAATATGTCTTGATGTCAAGTTATTTAGTTCTATGTACAAATCTGAATTGTAGTTAGAAGTTTCGTGTATGACAAAAGAGAACAAAGTGTCATCTTCGAAAATATTTGCAGAAAGATGTGGAGCACAAGATTTTCACAAAGAAATCTCTTTGAAACTTTTGAATTCAAATTTAAAAAAAAAAAAAAAAGATCAAATACTTTAGTACACAACAAATGCATCTTGTTTACTCTTTGGATATCCTCTTGGATGTCGACTTCGAACATTTTAAGAATCCAGCTCATTCAATGAGAAACATGCCATGGAACATAGAACCAATGCTTTATTTTTGGTTGAATAAATACAGCAAGAATAAACCTGCTATTCTAGGATACAAGTCTTGATCTTTATATTGAAGAAGACACCATAATTCAAATGAAGAAGACACCATAATACCATTAAAGTAATTTCTATTATAACAAAAATAGATACAGTGGAAAAAGTAAAACTGAGAAAAACTCAATTGTGACAAGCTTATTTAGGAATGGTTAGAATGAATAAAGGTGTATGACTGCAAGCATTGAAATTCAAGAAATTGTCCAAAAATTTCAATTTACATAGGGTAATGCACCGAATAACATCGCTACACACATTGACAAGAGTTTTTTAGTGAGAGATTCTCAAATGACATCTTAAAATGAAAACGCGCATGAGAGATACACAATTGACATTTTAAAAAGACAACACCACCGTGACCAAACTACAATGCTGTAACCTCTTGACAGGGTTCTATTCTTCAAAAGTAACATCAGAAAAATATTGCAAACAATGAAGTGGACTCTCTGGATTACTACCTGAAACCTAGCGTTGTGAAGGAAACCCATGCCCATGTTACCAAGAAGCAATCATATTCACTATTTTAGGATCACCAAACAAGAAGACAAAAGGTCATTCAAAGAGAGGCGGAACTCCAAAACAAGGCAAAGGGAAATTCAATAAGCGGCAGGTAGGTACAGTGCAACATGTAGTTGAAGACATTGAACATTGTAGCAATACGAAATAAGAAATAGTCATAAATCAGAAGCAACCCTCGAGTGATTTGTGCCAGATGTTTGCTGCAAGGCCAATGTTAATTGCATAAGAAAGACAGCTGTTTAAAATGATGCCAGGTATATTCATGGGGAATAGCCATAATTCTGTAAAAACATCAGGCGTTGGTCTTTGAATATTGATAAAGGTTTAACTGTACTTTTCCAGCTTAGTGTTTGATGTAGCAGGGGGTAGAGCAATGCAGCTGGTAAGGAAGAATTGAATTGTCTAAATTCTGGTTGAGGATCGTTAGAAAAAGAGAAATGGTCAATAGGCAGTCATCTTGGGACTTTAAATATTTACAGTTTGTTTATATCATTTTTCAATTCTGATGTGCTTTCCTATTTGTCCAAAGTTATGCTTGATCTTCTTTATATGCCTTCCTGTCAATCATTAAGTGTTATTAGTGCTTGAGATTTCCTCTGGCAGTTTTCAATTGATTTCTTTCAAAATTGGTAGCTGTAATCACCATTACATAAAGTTGTATTTTTCTTAACTTAATCGATTCAGCTGTATTTGAAAATTCCTGAATAGCATTTTGGTTTGACTGTTACTTCCCATTGTTATCGTAATGTCAGTTTTTTGCCCTTTGAGGTTTTCACATCAAAATCTTGTCCAGGGATCAGCTCCATCAGTTTTCAACTTTGTAGACTATAGAACAATGATTGAAATTGTGTATTCTTAAACTCAAAGTTCAATACAAGGGTCTCCTCACTAAGTTTTCAACTAGTTTCTCTTAAACTTGGTATTCTTTTCAGTCATTACATAAAATTGTTTACCTCTATTCTATTGTGATTTTGTTAATACTTATGTATGGTCTGAATTAAATGAAACTTGGTATGTAGGTCTAATGTAACACTTTAAAGTATTGAAGAATGTAAAGGTGATGATCATTGGATGGGTTTTTGGGAGATGGGATGATTCCTTTCTTGCTTGAAATTGCAGTTCTGATTATTATTCATTATTCTTCTTCTACTTTCCATTGTAAAGGTTCTCTCATTTTTCTCCAAAACTATACATTGGATTTTCAACAAATTGAGGAGTGAAAATATGGCTTCTAGTTTTCTAGTTGTGCAAACAACTTCTGTTTTCTGGTATTGCAAGATGGCTGCCATTTTCTGGCTCCTAATTGGCCAGTACCTTTCACCTGTAACTTTGCTCTATTCAGGGCTTTGAGAGGAGAGTAGATGGAAAAGATAACTATAGAACACTCTTAAAGGTTTAAGTCAGGGTTCCAGGACAATGTCAAAGTTTATTGTTTAAAATCTTTCAAAGGTTTACTCTAGCCTGTTCCACAGACCTTCCTATCATGTATTGAAATTCTTGAATAATGGAAGGGGTAGTTTGGGGAACATATGTTACAGGTCCTATTACATATAATACATGTTAAAAAGAGTTATTGCCCTTGGTTTTTTCATCATTTTTATCTTGTCTTAAAATGTGTTCTCCAAGTTTTCAACTGGTCTCTTTAGAACTTTGTATGCTTTTATCATTTAAACATCCTGCACTGTTATCCCTCCAGGCATTTTGAACATAAAAATATTACCATCACCGTAATTCTGCATATTCAGCAAAATGATGAATATTTCTTTAGATCGGATATGCATGTATTGTTCTGCCCTGGGATCTTGTTAAAGTGATCAGCAAATACAATGTTGCAAAGAAAATTCAATGTTTGCTTCTCTTTCCAAATGCCATGCGCAATGGGTAGGTTTCTTTTGTTTAACAATGTTACCATATCATTTAATCATTATGTCGATTAAACAAATAAATAAACCATAAGTGGAAATGAGAAAGAAGGAAAAAGAATCATTTTAAAGGTCTATGAAAACTGGAACATGATAGACATCAAGATCTCTGGTTGAGCACTTTTTAACGGGTAATACAGGTTAGCTTGAAAATGTGATAAAAGCATGCTTACAGAGTAAGCTGAAGCAATTTCTGACCATGTTTGGCATGGCATCATTTGTTGTCGAGTGACACGTGTAGATGACTGACCTTTATTTAAACTTATGAAAAAGCTTACTTTAATTACTAATAAAGGGCTCAAACAAAATTTGAATATCATTATTTTGAATATCATTGTTATTCATATTTTAGAATATTTCAAAATCAATTATCATTTGTCAATAAGGGAAGAGATGAACATTTTGAAGTTTATTAATTGTAATTGGATGTCAGCTCCTCATAACAGTTAAATGACCCTGGCTGTTGAACAAATAGACATGTGCCATATTTGTCTGCCCCAGAAATGAAACATGAATTTGAATATGTAGATGCCACCAAATGCTTCTGGACCCATGTCGCCACCAGTGAAGATTACAATTGGTGCAGGGATGATGTCGCCAAAGCAACCACAGCAACTGCAGTCTCCACCCCCACTGGTTCAGACACGCCCCTCGATGCCTCCAGTGATTCCTCCAGGACAGCAAACTCTTCCACCCAATGACCACTTTTCATCACTTCCTACAGACACTGGTGGGTATGGGCAGATACCTCCCAGAATGGGAAAGTCTGACCCTCTCCAGTTACCTGCCTATCCACCATCTACACAGCATCAGATAGCTCATCAGCCTCAACCAACCCATGTACAACCTACATCAGTGGTGGGCCAGCCAATGTCAGTCATACAACAGAAACCAGCTTCCCCTGGCAGAGGTATGTTCACATTAATTTTTCTATAAATATAAATGAAAACTTGCATGTTTTTAGTGGAAATTTATGAAATATAGTACTGAATTTTCTTAATGGAGAATGATTTGTAATGTTCAAAATGATACAAAAAGAGTTATTTTGCCTTTTTTCACAAATGTACTCTTTTAGTTATCTACCAAATTTAGCAGAAGCCTATCTACAAATGATGAAGCATTACGTTATCCAAGTTATTTGAGAGGTCATAAGTGTTAGAAATACATAGCTCCAGCTATGCAAGGAAACTGTTGTTGAAGCTGAAATCAAATGTCAATATAAATGTAGGTGTAAATGAAAGTGTATTACCAAGACCCGACACTGTCTTGCCTATTGTCATGGTTTCATATATTTATTTTAGTGCAAGTTGTGTTTTGTACATGGGTAGTACTGCTTTGGGTGACCTGGTCTGGTTGATAGTGCCAAAGATTATTTGAATCTGTTAAATGCATAAAAGCTTTCCTCAACAGTACCCGCACCATCAAGACCAGTGACTCATTCGCTGCCACAGCAGCCTAGTCGACCTAGTGCCATGGCCACAGCAAAGCCTCCGTCAAGACCCATAGCTTCTAAACCAGTCTGTAAGTATGCACACAGGAGCATGTGATAGCCCACTGCTAAATTTAAAGAACCACTGCATATGTTTAAGTGTATTGTTTTCATACAAAGCTAACATAAGTTAACATAATGTAGACATACTCAAGTGTTACTATTACTTGAAAAAATTAGTACCTGTACAAGCATGCTTTTTATTAGCCTGTTTGAGTTTGGGACTGATCAGAAGAAACAAAGTGGCTTCCTGGCAGCCATTTTGGATTTGGAAGGTAAAGATTATCCTCGCTTTTTCTGCAAAGGAATGTTAAATATTTTATCATTAAGAGCGAAAACAATGTAGAGAAGAGAAAAGAAGGGAAAAGATCCAACTTTCAAAGAGCCTATAAAGATCAAACAATGGTGGGTGCCTAGATCCCTGTGGGGTCTCTTGTTTGAAAACAATATCTTGTATAATAGCAGCCACCATGCCCAGTGCAAGAACATAAACACATTTGGATCGGTAAGATGATTAACAGTATTGGGTAGGATCACATCTTGTGCGACCAAAATACATGTGTAAGAAATGTTTTTTGCGTGAGCCATTAAAAATATTTCATATTTTATGTTTGACCATTTCAAGTCAAAAAAATGTTCCATAAATACCATTAAAATGATTCCTCTCTTCCTTAATGCAGTTAATCGTCACCCATTGCTGTAAATAGTCTAACCCCATTTGGAAAATTACTGTACCTTGTGTTATTAGGCAATCTGGGTTTTTCATAAGAGCCGGCCGCCGCCCAATTTGACCGGCTACTTTGATCATTTGGCTGCCTACACTAACCCAGTTCCGTAATAATGTTCCGTGCACGACTACACCTACACGGCAGACCAGCCTCCTACTTTCACTAAACAGCCTACTACTAACAAAATTATGGAAAACCCTGGGCAATGCAGTGGACCCTATTTACACTTGCTTTACACCAGACATAAAAATGGTTTCCCAGGACAATACATATTTTCAAACTTCTAGTTCCACCAGTGGGATTGAGCTGAAACTTGCCTGAAATCATCCTGACCAAGTTTTATGATTTTTCGGGTCCGTCTGAAATCCAATGTAACCCCCATTGTCTCCATCTTGATAACATATTTTAGATTTCTCCTTGAATCCACTGGTGTCAATGAGCTGAAATTTTGTGGGAATGTCAAGACACTGAAATCAGGAGTATGCTTTGCCTTTACTTCTAAAATAATCCGAACTTTGAACCATTTAATAACTGTCCTTACTTCAATATCTACTATCTATATACTTTGAACCATTTAATAACTGTCCTTACTTCAATATCTACTATCTATATACTGACCTATGTAGGTCTTAATAGTCTGATGACTGTTGAGGCCCATGATCCTACTGTTTGATAGTCCAGAAGTCAAAGGTTACAAAAAATAATTTTCCTCCAAACATCAAAAAGACTTCTGGACATGATATTTTACCAAAAGCAATGTTGGATTGAAGGATTATCAAGTTTGCTCAAATGAATGACGTTGACTTTTTTCCACATTGTAAATACATTGCACCTGCATATGATATATTTTTAAAATATGAAATAGATGTTGTTTGAACTGCAATTTGATATATCAAGATCATCAAATTACTTCATGTCAGTAACCAAAAGGCCCAGGATATTTGCCCAAAAGTATACTCCTCTAACGTAAGAGGGCAATGGTTTGCTGATTTCTTAACTCGCCTTGCCTGAAGGTCATAGGGGTTGATTGTCTTAAAATGCTCAGATGACACCATTGATTGTTTAAAAATGCTCAAATGACACCAGAAGATGAGCATCATTAAATACTATATGTAGACTGGAATATACCCAGTACTGTGAAAATTATCATATAAATGATAACAGACTGAAATCAGATGGGCAGTAGACTGGGTTACCAGGTCAGATGACAAGGTAACAGTTTAACTATTTTATTGGCAAAGATTTTGTTATGCAATTATTAAGCAAAGGACACCAGAATCAAATTATCAGAAGTTGTAGGTGAATGATGTTTAGTCTCAGGAATGAACATGTTTGTTTAGGAAGTCGCTAGTTGCATAATCCAGATAAAAGAGGATTAGGAAACTTAAACTTTCACATCTCTGCTTTATATTTAGCATTATGTTCAAAAAGCATGAAACGGATTCATTTGATTATATGTCCTACATATTTTCCAATTTCCAAATAAACATGTGCTTGTACTTAACAAAAATGTTTGTTTACAGTACTTCAGTACTTTGATTCTGAACAAGGCCTTTTTCAAACTTTCCAAGTTCCACCTGTGGGATTCAGCTCCAGCATGCCTCAAATGGTTCTGAGATGCCAAAATCCAATATTGGTGCCATGAACGTCATCTTTTAAGCTCACTGTTGCCATTGAGCAAACATATTGGAAGAATGTAGTGAAAATGAAATGAACTGTGTTTTTGTATGTGTAACTGATAAAATATTTAGCATTGTTTTGATTATTTAATTTATCACTGTTCACACTACCACTACTGACGACAGTATCTTGTCATTTCAGCATTAGCAAACCATGTTGGAACCTCACGTCCATCACCTATACAGTCACCTCCCATTATTGTGAGTTCACCTGTCAAGGCATACCCAGATTCCAAACCACTGTCACCCCCAATGATGATGGAACGTTCACAATCTCGAGGATCAGAGCAGATGACACGTTTTTTCCTTAGTGATGAAGACTCGAGCAACAGTCCCAAGCATAGTCCACCAAAGAATGCCCCACCAGCACCTCCAGGAGCAACTATTTGTGAGTGTTCTCTGTAACAAAGTCTCATGGTGACTTATTGAAGCATACGTATACGAAGCATAAGTTGAAAGGAACCTAATTTTGTATTAACCAGAGTCTGATATCAGATGTGGTACCAAATAGGGCAAATGCAAGTTCTAAAAAATCCTTCTTCCGTACATGGGCGTTGTCCCAGTTTGGTCTGAAGTAATTTTCATCAATGATGAAGCTGATTTCTGTTTTACTGAAAGGCAAGGACCCAATAAGGAATTGAATTTCATAAGTTGTTTGTCATATTTGAAATTCTTTGTTAAATGATTGAAAGGAATTAATGATACATTTATTGAATTTTGATATTAAATGTTCACATAACAGACAGGTTGTACTAGAATTTATTTGTACATTTTAGCTGCGAGTGGTGTAGGTATATCGTTTGGAGTGGGCAGCAATAACACAATGCCAGGTGGAGGTGATCCTGGACGTAAGCCAGACAAAAACATGCTTTCTCAGGTTAAAAAGGTGAGATACAAAACAATTTGAAAAAATTATATAAGACTGTTCAAATTTCAATCCATCCTTTAAACAATTCTTATCCTTATTTCTTGTGAAGTACTGAATGGATCTTTTGAGATCAATAGGGAAAAATTGCAAACAGACGACATCTTGGATTTGACAGTTATATGGTCACCTAGCCCATAACATGGGTTTTCACAGGATGCTTGGGTTTTACTCTATATGAAGACCAATTGGGGATTTCCTTCCTTGCCCACAAGAATGATTGATATAAGTTGGAATAACTTAAGTAAGATAAAGAAATTAAGGTTAAAAAAACAACATACTATTAAGGTTGCCGGACCAACAGCAATAAAATTTGTCTTAAAAAAATATGTTGATCCATTATATGAACTATTTATATGAAAATAGGATTACTGACCCTAAATTGTATTACAAAGATGTGTCCCTGAACATAATGAAATCCTATGTAATAAACGGTGTTTCAACGATCAACAGAAAACTTAAACCAGCAAAATAAAAGAAGAGACTTTATAATTGAAATACTGTATGGTTATCTTCTAATGATGTAATTAAATTGAGCTATACAAGTGTGATGAGATATTCCCAGATGCATTATCACTATTGAATTATGAATGATTTTTATAATGCACATGCAAATGTAATTCTTATATTTTGATTCTTTGTTTCAATGAAAATCTCTTGCACTTTACAGGATCAGTTAAAACTGAAGAACGCGGGGTCTTGGACCAGTTTAGCAAACATGGGAGCTGCCCCAGCTTCATCAAAGAAGTATACATCCCAGAGTTTTGAGATCTTCAAAAAGCAAGCCAAAGAAAAGGAAGAAAGGGTGAGGAATGAAATATCTGTTAAATTACTATTAGTATTGAAACTTTAACTTTGTTACAGAAGAATGTCTGATTTGCGTTTTGTTCACTTCTGTTGAACATGGAGCTGAAAATTATTACAGCTGTGTATATTGGTGTTACTGAAGTTTGAGTTTTCTTAATTGCTTTCTATCCTGTTTTAAGTTACACATGTCCTTTCAACCTCATCATCTTTTAATGTAGCAAATGGTTCTGGCTTTTAAGATTATGTGTTGAGCTGAAATTTATTATTCTCAACATTGTCTCGGTGTACCAAGCATTTTCTCAAAGATTTCTCACCTTTTTCATAGTTTCCAATTCTTGTCCTATACTGGTAAATGTAATATATTGTTGATTAAGATTATAACGAAATATTTTAACAGGAACGAGCATTTAAAGAGCAAGCAGAACAATTCAAGATCCAGAAAATAAATGCTGAAAAGGAACGCCATCGGCAGGAACAAGAAAAAATCAGGTATGTGACAATATTTTGGATTGCTTTTTTGTTGATAATGATTCATAACAAACTTCATTACTTAAGTGGAGAGGAGTAAAGGAGAGTAAACACTTGAAGGAAATAGGTTCAAGTCTAGTTAAACAGAGGGCTATCCGGTAAAACATCTACTTGACCCCAACTACCAAACTAAATAATTTTGATATATGGTTTGGTTTCTGGCAGATGATGCACTCCTAAGCAAATGATCAATTTAACTTTATGGTTGGTACTGTTAAACAAAACTTAGAGTCCAGGGGAGGGTAGATGTTTTACTGTAATAGCCTTAATTTTGACTTAAGTAAATAGTGAAACTTTTAAATGGGTAATTTCAAAATGACATGCATGTAACATCATTGAAAAGGAATTGCCAAATTTTCTTTGAAAGGAGGTGCTGACTTTCAGGGGATGTGCATTTTTCGTCAAAGGTTGATTTTTTTAAGTATGGATATATCTGGAGTACTATGCAGAGATGAAAATCTTAGATTGACTGATTTCAGCATTTTTGACTGAGAAAATAGATAATCCCATATATAGTTTCCACTACATAAAATTCAGCCTTTGCGAAAATTTTCTATTTCCATCTCGAGTTTGTCAGTATAGGTCATTGTGACTCTTAAGTCATGAATGCTGTTTTATATATCAGGGAAAGGGAAGAAGAGGATGCTTTGGCAAGTGCAAGACGAGCCCAAGCTCTGCAAGAAGAGATACTCAAACAAAAAGAAGCAGAACGCAATGCAGCAAAGCAACGGGAACGCATGAAGGAACAGGAACGACGGAGAAGAGAGGCTGTAAGTTCTACTTGATAAGAATTTAAAGTTGGAAAGATTCAGTGTTGTTTATCCAAAGTTCAATTGTTTTAGGTCATCTGACCAAAGGTCATTGTGACCTATACCAATAGTTGTCCGTCCGTCATCATGAGTCAACCTTTTTCTTGTGAATATGAACCAATTTTGATTAAACTTTCTATGTAACCTTAGGTGAGTTTAACAATGGAACGAATTAAATCTTAATTTACAATAATTGCCCTTGCAGTTTTATTACTTTGGACATTTTTAACTTAAGAATTTGAGTAATATGAACATATGATGATGAGACTTGGTATGCAGCCTTATGGCAATAAGATCTCAAGAGGAGTTTAACAATGAGACTTATTTGACTTAACTTAAGTGTTATGGTCCTTACCAGCCGACAGTTTTGGCCCATGGGCCTCTTCTATTGCCTGTGCATAGAGGTATGAACACCATGCTGCAGTTTGGCTTTTCTTTGTTATGACATCGAAATTATTTCATTTCCGAAATCATATGTATGATTTATATGGAAATACTTATTTTAAGTAAGTATTTCCATAAATTCTTGAACTGAATTAATTGTGAAGGAAGAAAGTATCTACAAATAAGTTGGATACTATGATAAAAAAGTAATTATAACTACTGAGTAGTCTATAAACGAGATTATCTTAACACTAAATAAAGGATTGAGCATCAACACCAAGGATTCCGTGATTGGTAGTTTTATTAGGTTGACATGTTTCGGCTATCTAGGCTAGCCGTCATCAGAACAGTGGTCTAGTCTAGCTAGCCAAAACATGTCAACCTAATAAAACCACCGATCACAGAATCCTTGGTGTTGATGCTCCATCCTTTATTTAGTGGTTAGTACCTATCGTCTATGGAGCTCTGCTAGAATCCTTCGGATCCACCTAGGATTCTTCTACCGATACATCTACCTACTAGTACCACTCACAGGACATTGGACTCCTTCACCTCTTTATTTTCCCAAGATTATCTAAATGTGAAACAAACTCTTCATAATTACTTTAAAATTTCATTTAAAGATTATTGAAATCATTCATAAATACTTTTAACTGTCTCTTCTTTTCATGTCATGCACAAGGCACATGACTTCTTTGTGCCTATCAATTAGCATGTTAAATCTGTTTTTGATTCCATATTTAATCATTGTGATAAAAATGAAGTTTTCTCAATTAAATATGTATCACTATTATTGATCCAGAGGAGTTGAAATGTAATGAGAGTTAAGTTTCCCCTCTAATGCCTTGCCTTAAACAACAAAATAAGAAGGATCAATCTTGCTCCCTGAAGAAAAGAATCTCTGATTCTTGTATTATAATTAGTCTACAAAAGTTTTGTCTTACTGATCCTACTTGAACTTGCTAGTAAGGTTCTAATGTCATGTGGTTGTTTAGCAACAGTCTTCTGAGGAATCAGCTGTAATACTCAATGTTTTATCTTGATCTTGTAAATATTTTCTAATGAAGCAAGACATCTCGTTATTGTACTGAATATGGATCTTATTGGTTGATTGTGATAATGAAAGGGGTCACAATAGCTCAGTAGTCTGAGTATTGGCCTAGGTATGTGATTTGAGGCACCCTATCCGTGACGGATTGTGTTTCTCGGGAAGCTGATAATTACAGTTAGAATATGCAAAAATATAATAAAATGTTTTGAAACTTGTTAATATATACATTTTATTTGTAGTCTTAGTTTGGTATTTTTCATAATTCATCAATGCACTAAATTACCAAAAACATTGTGATTGCACCAATTGAAGTATATTTTCAGTTAAAAGCAGCATAAAAGAAGAAAATACCAGAGTTTAAAAATTTAACATGACCATATATTTTCCTTTCTTTATTTTAGATGGCACATAGGATAGATATGAATGCACAGAGTGAGCTGATGGCGTCATTTGAGGAAATGCTGTGAGGAATGCTGTTGACATTAATATTGGCACTTGACAATGATGTGAGCTGCTGAGATCATCAACATGTTTCAGACTCAATTTCAAGCTTTAAAGATTTAAAGCAGACAATGGATGCTAGATTGCTCTTCCTGTCAAAGCAGTGTAGTTCATGAAGAGAGTACTTGGATGTTGTGCAGTTTTACTGGCTCTTGTACTGCCCCAAGATGGCTGTGACAATGGCCTCTATGGACAAAAAAACTTGATCCATTGCCAGTGAATGAAATACAGAGAGTAATATTGAATATCAAATAAATATCATGATGGCAATTAAGCACCGTCCATCGTGGTAGAAGCAATACTGAACGCTATGTGTGAAATTGTAGTTTCTCTGTGAAACAAGGCTGAATCTGTTGGTGTTGAAAAAAAGAAGTCTGCAGTAGAAATTTTTGCCTGTTTGTTAACATGGACAAAACATAGTTATGCTGTAGAACAGACGTATATGATTTTATCGTCTTTTAACAGAAACAGCTTGTAAACTTGATGCTGTATATAAGAGTGGAACATTTGATGAGGATGACATGTAATGAACATTACTAATATATCAGTGATGTGGTTTGTTGAAGACTAGATAGATATCAAGAATGGTGCTTTTATAACCTGGTTCAGTCTAAACTTCATTCAGTGTGATTACACATGTTGTATGTAAAAGTAGATAAAAAGTCTTTATACTATTGTAACTCTGAAACTTGAGTGTCGTAAACTTTGTCCTTTATTGTATATTTTCATCGGAAGCTAAAAGCGACACAAGTTCTTATCTGTGGAAAATATGACTGTCTTGTGTATGAAATACATTTAAGGCATTCATGTTATGAATAAGGAAACTGTCACTTAACATGATGGAAATTATATTATAATGTAATCTCTGGGAAGGGCATCTTGCCAATTTATTACATAAATGAAGCAACAATTACGCATATTGTGTTCCCAAAGCAAAAAAATAAATGTTGTGCATTCTTAAATCCACTAGAGTCATGAACTGTTAATCTGGTCACCAACATTCCAAAGAAAAAAATCTGGAAGAAAATGTATGGGAATGGGCTTGTTATGGGAACAAATCCACAACCAGAATCATTAATCAGGGAGATATGTAGTCCAGATTTTGTTTGGAATGTACAAGTGTTCAAATTAATGAGTGCAGACTACATTGTAGGTTTTCAAAATTCATATCTTGTGTAAATCTTAAATGTTGTCATCAGGTTTTATATGTGTGTTTATGTATGTTAGTAGATGGATGGCTGGGTCATTGAGCAGAAGTGGGAACAGGAATTTCCTCTGGTTCAGGAAACTTAAATATTATATATGGTCAGATTTTATTAATTAGGTTGTTAAACTTGGATCGTTTGAAGTTTTGAAAATTGGTATGATTGAATTAAAAATCTCTAGAGAGAGATCGATGTGTACAGATTAATAAAAGTAATATATGAAATCTCGACCTCTGAGTATTGTTGTGTAATTATTTCTGGTAGTTCTTGTTATACCTCCTTTGTTTAATGCCAAAATCCTGTTTTTATGATAAATGATGGCACATCAATAATAAATTCACTTCAAGATTTTTTTATCTCAAATGTCAATCAGCAGTTAATAGGTTTAAATTGTTGAAAGAAATTCATATTTGTAATATTTGTATGTTTTTTAACCATCAATTTGATGTGAAATGTACTCTCTTGGAACTCATCATAAGGGAAGTTGGTTGGCAGGCAGATATTCAGTCTCCAACTCATATCAAACGTTTAAACCAATTCATATGAAGATTGGTTAACAGATTAAAGATTTCAATAAGTTTGACAAATGTGTCTACGTCTATTCAAATAATTGTGGACTTTTTACAACAAAATTACTGAATCCCTGCATCTTTCTGTTAAACTTCTGTTACATTCTGTCTCGATGGTAGCAAGCTTTGTCATTATGGAATTTGAAAGGTCATATCATGGTTTGATTTTGTACTGAACTGTGCTGCTTTTTACTAGTATGGGATGAGAGAGCCATCTCATTATTTCATTTGTTGAATAGGAGGAAATTTTGTTCCTTTTGTAAATTATAGCAACATTTTCATGCCTTCATTTAAATGTTTCTCTTAAATTTTTTTCACAATTGCATCATTTCACATGTGAGTTGTCAAGTCAGTTTGGTGTGACTGTTCATTCATAGCAGTGATGTAGATATTTCATGAACATCTTCATATTATCATAAGATATTATATACATAGTAAAACTAGGTGTAAATGAATCACAAAGGTGCAGTACATGTACATTTTGTTTGTGTAATTTATTCCAATATTGTTTTTGATAGCAGCTGATTGTACATACCCATATAATCCTTCCTCACCAGTGGTCACATTACAAGACTCATTCCATTTTGAGTCCCAAAAAGTAAGTGGGAGTCCATCATCATACATCCATTTCCACTTGCATTTGAGCATAATAATGTTTGATTACATGTTGAGTGATTCTGTCTAGAAGATATTGTACTGGCACATTGACTTTTAATTCATAGCCTGACATGTTAAAATCGCTCTCTAGTACTTCAAAATCTTTGTGCAATGAGAATATACATTAAATTTGAGCTCAAGTATTTGACCATAGTTGTATCTGTCAATTTAATGTTAATCAGGTAAGAAAACCTTTTGAAATTTTCTTCACCATAACAACAGTTGAAATTAATGTCTTCAAATCTTTTGTGATCACAGTTTCTTTTAAAATGCAGCACTGTTTTAGGAAAGAAAACAATTTGTAGTCAGAAGATTTTCCTTTCATCATATATCAACTACATTTACCAAAGATCTTGTCATGCTAATGTATTAATGTGTTTAGTGTTGTGGAATATAATTGGCAACATCATCTTTATTGAAGATGTATAGCCCTTGATTGGCTACTGTGTTTCTCTCTTTTTTTTATCATTTTTCTCCCTTTTTTATTTTTTTATTTTCAAGGACTGATCTATTAATTTTGAAATTGAATCATCCAAAATATTTTCCTTGACAGACTTGTTAGACCAGCCTGTATCTACATTAGTATCAACATTCTATAATGCCAGCTGTTGACAGTCTGTTCCAACTTAATAATGGAAAGGAAACTTAATACTCTACTGGTATATCGTGTGAAAACGGAACCTTGCAGGGTTAAGTCAGTCAGTCCCACACTGCTTCTTATGTCAAATACAAATTTCTCTGGCATATTACTATCTTCAGTAGCAGAATTGTAACTTTGCATACTTGTGTGGTCTGTCATGGCAGAATTGTGTAAAATGACAAGTCTTATATATCATACGCTGTTGATTGTTTTGCTGCAGCTTGTAATCTCAAATCGTTGATCACTTTAATCAATTATCATGTCAATATTACATGAAAAAAAATAAAGTACTTCATGACCTATATTTTTGTTTGCTTGTATAATGTGGTGTAATACGTATTATGATATGCTTCTGTGTCAAACAGAATTATCTCTCTTTAATGAGATTTATGCCGTGATTTAAGAACACTTTTATTTAAGTTGAGCAAATTACTTAGGACATTATGACACCTAGTGAATAAGTGAAATTGCCATAAATCAAAAGAAAACAGATTATATTCTTTGCATTTACCAATTTATTCAGACTGGATAAAACAACATATTCTACATACACATTTAATGAGAGAGGTTTATCCAGACAGATTGGATAATACTTAAATGGATATTATGAGGATAACTGGGATATGAAATATTTCTATACTTTCAGGTGTTGGAGATCACTAAATGAACTCCTAGCCTTTAACATCCATAAATATATTTCTGGAATTTTTGTAGATATCAAATTTGTACTTTCTACACAACACCAGTCCCATTTCATTTACATAGCCATTATATTCTCGTATACAGACAAGGCAATCTTGCACACTACCTAACACTATAATCTGCTGTCCAGGACCTTCACATGAACTTTGATGCGAACTGTATTCATTATTCAGATGACATCATATCCAATGGTCTCTCCTACGTAAAAACCAAAAGCAAAAAATCCAGTGGAATGTAAATATTTTGAAATGAAAAAAATACTACAAGTTTATGTACATTTTGACACCATAATGTATGAAAAATAAGGGCTATTACTGTTAGAAGTAGGAAATTGATTTATCTTCGTTTTGGGCTGACATTATGTAAAATCTTGTTTGCTGCTTTGTGACAGGATGTCTGACCTCAACTGCAATCAGTTGATCTTGACCACATGCAGGTAACAAATTCTTTTAATGTTTCTCAATTGATGCATATCATCCATTTTAAAACAACACTTTGGTTATATTTAAGTTGGATAGCTTTACACTTATATACAACCGTATGTAATGTATTGCCATGTGTGTTCCTGGACTTGATCTAAATCTTATAACTACAAGCAATAACATCCTAAGAGTTAGTTTGAAAATGGATTACCATCAATCACATCGTTAAAAAGATAAAATCATAAAAAAAGATCGAGACGGAGCTTCTAAAACTAAATCCATGCATTGACTGATCTTTTGTCCAAATAGAGTAACATACTGTGATACCAAATATATGATTTGATAGTGTTTGTGTGTATACCCAAAAACCCCAAAACCGTTCACTAAAAAGTTCAGCATAAAGTTGAAAACTTTCTAACCTTGAAAGCTTTTTACAAATTTATTCAAAAGTACTTGATGAAATGTAGTAAATTTTCTTTTTCGTATTGTAGGGGAAAATGCTATTCACTGTTCACAACCGTGTTTTATTATTTTCATATAAAAGATCAGTGAATAACTCATTTTCCAAAATATCTTTACATCACAACCATTCTTTCTATTAATATGTGTAACTGGAAGAAGTTAATCGGCTTATACAGGCAAGAGACAAGCTCAATGCATAACTGTAGAGGTCATGCAATTTGAAAATAACAACCCCCAACACACAGACAAGAAGCTATAAACCAAGTATTAATATAGTTTACAACAATGATCATTCATCCTGGGTATTATGTCTTTCTATGAGTGAAGGTCAAGATGACCATGCAAATAGGCGAGGGAAGGACAGATGGAAAATAGTGGATTAATTTTTATTTCTTTAAGGTTAAGACAGAAAACCCTCTGATTTTGAATGAGCTCCACACCAATTCTAAATTCCTTCTTGGTTTATAAGCAGTGGAATTCAGCAGGCCTATTACTTTTCTAAACCTGAAGAGGACTTCAAACTGCAGAGAGGAAATGTTCATATTTTGACATTTTGAAAATTAAGTCAGGAACAAAAAGTTCAAGTTGTTCAAAATATTCCTGCAATATAGATTTTTACCATTTTTCAATATCTGCCATTTGATGCATCAGTATGATGTGTAGTGTGAATTACACCAATATTAATCTTGAATAAACATTTTACTTTTAAACTATCTAAAATGTATATTACCGAGAAAACCACAGTGGACCAATTGGTCTAGACATCTAACTACTGTACAGGTATGATACAAGAATCCAGTCAAGATATTCACTAAAGCTTGTAATTTTCACAGGTCAAAATTTTCACCTGTTTCTTTAAATAGAATGATCAATGTGTATTTTAAGGAATCAGAATTTTTCATACTCTAGATGTAAAAATACAACTAACACTTCTATGTTTCATTGTTTTACAGATTCAGTTTTTCACAATCATGTTAATGTTCCTCAAAATCTCAGTGAAATACTTCACTTGATATAAGCCATGAATGACAAACATTTTGATTGAATACACATATGTAAGTCATCTTTAAGCTTGGAAACACCATCATGAACAGCATTTAGTATCACTTTGGTTTTCTTGGTATCTTAGGATGTAAGCCATGATATTGTTCTATTAGCATGGATTTTCCTGTAGAAGTTTAGAAGTAACTTCTGTGATAACTCGCCATGCTAAGTTGATATCGTTATTGTTGGTGCCGGAACTACAGATGGCTAGCCTAAGGAAGTATGTGCCCTTGACACTGGATGGCACAATGCTTATTCTACCATCATCATTGATTGCCTTCAGCAGTTTTTCATTACGGTCATTCTTTCCCTACAACATAATTCAGATGGTTAAAAATAATCCCATGGAACAGATAGTCATCATACAACATAAATGTAAATACATTTTCATATGTATTCACTGAATTTTGTTGAAATGCTCAAACACTCCATCATTTATATACTATTCAATCATCATGAAAACTAGAAAAAAAAACAAGCATTTTGGGATACTAGTATTCAATATATATCACCTCCATTGTCTAAAACCAGTACATTTATCTTAAGATTTTCCACTACTGGTAATAACCAATCTTTCTAACATTATTGTTTTTAGCATATAAGAAGTGCGTTATACAGTCCATGTGAACTACCTAATGGTTTATTTTCATAAAAACTGAAAACTAGACACCTTTCCTGCTACATATGATCATTCACTCTATTCAATCTATTTCAGTGCTTTACAACTGTCAGGTTTTAAGCTGCTTACATAGATTGTTTATAAATTATCAATGTTAAAAAAACAGAAACATGTTTAATGAAATAAATGCTCTGATAAATAAGGTAAAACGCACCTTTAATCTGAAGCAGACAAGGCCCATAACAACTTCACCAAAGATTTCAAATCTGTCATCTGCAACCACTAACTTCTCAAAGTCATGGGCTAGTTGGACATCCTGGGAGTGGATGTCAAAAAAGAAAAAAAAAAAACACACAAGTTGTAATTTTGACCTGTAATTTGTTAAGGTCATAATGATACAAAATAAAATAGGTAGACTTCTTATATATTAATTTGAACCATCTTGGATCCTATCAAGAAAATAGTTTTAAACTAGAAAATTAATGCCCCATGCACAGTTTGATAAAATTCTAAGAGAAGGTGACCTTCACCTTGGAATTCCCATCGGAGGTATATCTATTTTATAGTCCTGAAGAAATGAAGTTGTTTCAAGCAATGTCACTAGACAGGCTGATGATTTTATTTATACAGTAATGGTGACTGACCTTGAACTTGGAAATTTTAAATAGAAACAAATAGAAATCATACATAACCTTTGCATATATTTTCATCAAAATATGTTAAGTCCCTAGAGTGATATTACGGTAATGACTTTGATATTTTTCATTAATGGTAATCGTGACCTTGACTGTGACCTCAAACCCCAAAAACATGAATTTATCTTAGGTTGACAGGATGTAGTTGACCTTTGTAAAGCATGATTAATAAATGAAGTTGATAGAGCTACGGCATTGACTTGGAACACAGTGCGGCAGGAGGGCATGTGGAACACTATGTCAACCTATTTAATTCAGGCATGAATACAACACTGATGTTCTGAAGTGTATAAATATTGTATTAATGGTGAATTTGTCAATACAGTATCTATTGAATAGTGTGAAATTACCTTTCGTATATACTCTTGTAAACCTTTCAAACCATAGGCTCTTATAACAAACCATAATTTCAGGGATCTGAAACGCCTTCCAAGGGGAATCTGCCAATGCTGAAATGAAGATGATTAGATTAAATTACCAGCTGTTCAGTAAGATATAATGAGAACAAAAACAAGATCTGCATAAAATTGATAACAGACCGATAAAGATGTTTGATTTCAACAATAAAAGATTACCTAACACTGAAATTTCTGTACGGATGGGAGCATGGGACACCTAACCTAACACTCCTTCATCTAAAGATGCATGTATGTATGATTATGATTACTGCAATGGTCAGTTACAAAATACTGAAGGTATAACAGAACAATAAAATAAAGGGGTGGGGACAATAACAATAAAAGGAAAAAGAGTAAGGGCTCACATAGATATATCCCTAACCCCCTCATCCATTTCTTCTTATCTAAATCTGTTGAACAGTTAATGTATTCAGGGGTTAATGAGATATCTTGTACATAAACCGTTTATTGCAAAAGTGGTCAAGGGTGACCTTTGACCTTTAACCTTGATTGATGACCACAAAAATCTATTCAGGTGTAGACATTGGTGGGGTGATGCTATGGTATAAATACATGAACTTATCTGTGATGAGATATCATATCACAAATGCTCAGACACATGGACACAAGGACACACAAAGTGATTACTATATAACTCCCCTTCACCCATAAATATTTGAAAGAGAAGTAGCCCACAATGTATATCAACTCTAGATTACGAAGTTTGGAAGTTAGAGCTTATGAAGCCTAAATGTCTGGTGATTCTGAAAAAGCTAAGAAGTTTAACTCTGATCAACATAATTTTATTACCCTATCAAAATAAGTCTTGCCACAGACAGGTGTAAGATAACTTGAATCCTTGACCTTGTTTTTATTATCCCTCATTCTCAAATGTACACAGTTACCAAAGTATACATACATAGTAGATACAATACACATTTACCAATGTATACTTACCCTGGTTTTCATATTTGAGATACAGAGTATCCAATTACTGGGGAATACCTACCCTGTAGTCAGGCATCTTGCCTTGGTTTTCATGTTTAAGGTACAGAGGGTCCACGTTGAAAGCATCACTGATTAGGGAGCTATCCTGTACCCTTGATATCAAAACAAGCATTAACTAAGAATGTGAAGCATCACATGTGTTGAACTAGTAGTCTATAAATTTATGGATTATTTTGAATTTGAGAGTAATGTTTTAACTTATATTAACATTACTTGTTTGTGTTACAAAACCTTTGCTGCTAAGGCTATTGTCTAATTAAGGCAAAAAATTCATCTTATTTAACATTAAAATATTAACATTAATCTGAGCATATAACTTCCGGTATGATAAGATAGAAAAACGTTTTAATCATTGTCTTAAAGCACTTTATATTGTATCAATTGAAACAAACAACACAGGGGTGTGAAATTCTTCAAGGAGAGAAAATTTGTATGACTATCTGGGACACGGACTTCAGAGCTCTTGTTAACACTGTTGTAAATAGGAATTATTTTCATTTTGCACCTTCAGCATTAAATTACTTTAGTTTTTGAATTACAAGTTCATACATTCTGGAATTCTGGAATTCAACTGCACATGCAGAAGGTTTTATTTTACCACATGGTAAGTGATGTAAGGACAATAACTATGGAGTTTGATATAGTAAACAATGAATATACATACCACAATGCTGAACAATCGAAGTTTACTTTCAGCCATTTATGTGGATTGAAATTAAAAGACATTGCATACTGAAATGAAATAACAAAAGATCAAATAACACTACTACACATGATATAAGTCACAAGAACATTTATCCTTTATTACTCTGTGTTTCCTTAGGGCTAAAAGGCAAGATATTGTTTATGTGTTTTAAAGACTAAATTTTATAGGAGTGGAACCAACTTTTAGCCTGTAGAAACTGTTTTAAAGCAATTATAGTGACCTTGGCTTTTGACCTCAGGACCTGGAAATCAGTCCCATCCAAGGACTTTCTTAACAAAGACACTCAGAAATATATGATTGCAATTGTCCCAAAAGAACTTATTGTATAAAAACAATTAACAGAAAGATTATTTTAAGGAATTAAAGAAGCAGCTGCAGTGCTGACAAGGTACTAAGTATGTTACTGTACATACCAGAACATCCCTATACCTCCAATGACATTTGTCACAAAGATATAACTAAACCCTGTATGTTAGGAATAACTGTGAGCAGTAAGTAACTAGCTAGGACTCACTTTTGGTTGAAATATTCTAACTAAATCCTGTTTGGCTGATATGACTCTGTGCTCTCTCAAGGCTGGGTTTTACTTGTTTTAGCAATAAGTAACATATTCACAGTGAATTTGAATATTTATTTAGCTAGGGTGACATTCTACAGAGACAAGAACAGAATAATGTTTCCAGAAATTAAATGAAAAAAGGACTCCCAGAATGCATAACTAAGTAATGATATCAATCATTTTATTGAAATCAGAAATCACATCCTCTGCCCCAAATTTGTAGCAGGAGTGTGCAATTAAAACAAACCATCAAACTCACCTCAACACCATTCAACAGAGGTCGAAATTCTGGACAGATGAAAGCACTCCCAGCATATGCTGCATCAATGTGCATCCATAATCCCTCTTTCTGACCTAACCAAATATGAACCAAATGTAATATTTTTGATAAATATACTTTCTAGCCGGACAAATATTATTCATCCAAACGTTTTAAGCAAGGAATTCAATGAAAGGGTTAATAAATCATTATTTATCAGCAATAAAACATAAAACTTTGTTATCAAGATTTCTCAATCAAGAAAAGATGGACTTACACACAGGTCCACATTCCAGTAGATTGTCAAAAGCACAGGATAAGGTTGTTCCCAAGGTGGCACACAGCTGTGGGGAGTACCATAGACAATAATAAACACAGTGCCATTTTAAAATCTTAATGTCAATATACATGTAGTCACTTTCTGTTCATAAAATCTAAAGTCTACACTGTCTGCGTGCATTCAAGGCCAATAACTCACATCTGGTTTGGTTTGCTTTGGTAAATTCAAGAAATAAAGAAGATTGATTTTGGAACTTTTTTTTCTAAATGATGAACTGTTTTGCCAGACTGTTTGAATAACAAGATGACAACACAAGCTGGCTTGTGCTACAAGAAAATATACTTACATAAAATGGAATAAGACCTGCTGCTCTGTCCTTTTCTATTGCTTGTTGAAGAGTTGTTCCCCTTAGCGAACCCTTCTCATCTGTTTCCAACTTCTTCATTGTGACAGCTCCAATAAGTCCAGCCCTTTCTACAGATGAGTGAGCCTGAAATATCAAATTTTGTAATAGTATTTTCTGAGTTAGTGAATGCTTCACAAATACAATGAATGAAATATGATATGTTATGTACAAGCTCATCACCTAAGCCTAATAACCTACGACTGCACCTATATTTTACACATGTAAAAGTATCAAAAACAGGGGGGTGGAGACACAACGTCCAACAAACATAGAAATCAGGAAATTCCTTCCAAGAACAGCCGTGGATCCAAAAGGATACCGAGTACCCACTATAATAAGTAGAATAGACGTCAGGAGTAGTCAAAACACGAAGCTGTTCCGGTCCAATCCACAATTTATTCGAATAAATCGTGGATTGGACCGGAACTTCTTCGTGTTGTGCCTACTCCTGACGTCTATTCTACATATAAAAGTATGAAAGACAGATATACGTGGAGTTCGAAAATAGGAATATCATTAGCATCAATTTCTTTTAAGCAAATTCATAATTCAATACTTAAATTTAAGTGCAATGCAAATTCTAGATATTTATCCAACAACAAAGTAATCACAAAGGCACATATAATACAAGGTAGAAGGCAACAATCAGCACCCATAATGAATCAGGGAGACAAGTGAAATGATTTGCTGATAATCCTAAGACAGTGACTAAATACCAGAGGGCACAACCATGTTAGATTGCATTCTGTAAGTAACACTGACTCACCTGATCAGAGCAGTAGGCAACAAGTTTAGACAGGACCTTTCCATCATCATGATGACCATCTCCTGATTCGTTATGTTTGTGTAAGGATTGTGTGCGGGCTGACAGGAGTGTGACAAGTGTGGCCTCGCTGGCTGTGCCCTGTAATTATTAAAAATTAATTACTCCCACATTCTGTCTTAACGTGGTATATATCTGAACCACCTTCACAGGAAATACAAGGCAAATACTGTTTACAGATGGTAATAGAATAAATGTTGGTGAAGATTATGATACATAGAACCAAAATCAACCATAATTGTACTTTCGATCATGATATTAAGTCAAAACAAACTCTTCCAACTTAGTTAAGCACTTTGGATTCTAGCAATTAACAGAGAAGGAATAAGATAAAATTAAAACAAACACAAGGCATCACAAACAACACAAATTTCTCACATGTTTCCACCTTGACTTAATAATGAAGAAGACTAATTGCTTTAAGTCTGAACAAATAGTAACAGTGACCTTGACCTACAAACCTGAAACTCAAACTCATCCGACAGCAATAAATCTACATCCAAATCCACAGTCCTGTACTCATAGAATTTTGATGGGAATCTTAAAATTTCTGGAAATACTTAATTAAACTGATATCAATTATGGTTCTTTATATCAATTTTTAAAAATTGTAACTGATGGCAAGGATTTAAAAAAAATAGTAATGGTGATTTTGACCTTGACCCTACAATGCTAAAACTCAAACTTAGAAGCTCCTACATGGAAATGCCCTGTGTACCTACCTGTATTACTCCTCCTCCTTTACCACCGGAGGAGAACAGGAAGGATGGGGGCAGGTCTAACATCTTACCTAGCCAGTCCAAAACTACCACTTCCAGCTCTGTACAAGCTGGACTGGATGCCTGTAAATACAACACTACATGTCAGTAATGTTAACACACAATACCACTTAGTGCACAGATATGTTAACCACAACACAGTTCTGCTGCACCCTCATTGATTTCTTAGTATATCAATAATTTTGTTACAGGATAGAATAATTCACACATGTACAACGACACTAATTTTACTCCATAAAGAATGGTGATAAAAAGATCAATAACTCTGTCATCAACACATCTGCATCCAAATGTGGACCACGTTTGGTAAGTCTATGATAGGACCTGTCAAAGTAATGACCTTGACAAGAAAAATTAATAAGAGCAATAACTCTGTGTTTATGGCTGTGAGGAGTATAATTTGAGTAAATGACACTCTTTTATTCTATGTACATATATAAAAAGTTCAATGAATCCAATTAAAGAACTGATAGAATTATAGTCTGGAAAATTAAAAGCTAACAGACAGATGGACAAAGAGTTCCTTATAACAGGCATAAATAAAGTAAATAAGTAAAATATGATGATGATAATAAACATGATAGAAATTACAAAGGGAGATAATAGTGTACTATAGGTAATGCATGTTTGATGTGATACATACCCATGTGAAGCCGATACATCCAATGCCATCCGACAAAATGTCCGCTATGATAGCTGGATAAGAATTGGCAGTGGGAAAGAAGGAATGGAACTGTGGTGAGTGCCAGTGGGTCACCTGAGCAGGAGAGATAACCATCATCAATTTAGAGATCTGAATTTCACGTTAAAAATGAAGAACGTGATTATAAATGTAGGGTTGTCATGGAAACACACATACCTACATAGAATTGTAATTAAACATATATATTTTAAAGACACTATGACATCATGCAGAAATATAATCACAGTTTGAACACATACATACACCAGATGAGATCCAGACATCATTTAATAAAACTAAGACAACAAATTGATTGACAGAGCAGAGCAAGGTTTGAAATGTATCAGGGAGGGAGACTGGACACAATTAGAGGACACTATAATTGTAACAATTTATTTCAGAGGCTAAATCCCTCTCACAATAAACTTACGCCAGGCATTATGACTCTCTCAATATCAGTAAAGATATCATCCCAATTATCTGGATCCTCAGGCGCATGATCTGGAATTAAATCCCTCAGGTATCCAGGAGTAACGGTGGGGAATGGACGACGTTCTCTGATATTTTCTAAGTAATCTGCCACATAGTCCACCATTTCTTTCCCTCTCTTTCGGAACTCCCCTACATCCATCTTGTGTCTTTATCCTAACTGAGAATATCCTGCAAAAAAAGTTATAGAATTCTCTTTATAATGTAATAGTCATGATCTTCACCACAAATCAGAAGATCACAACAAGCATCATATGATTTTTTTCCTTCCTTTTTTACAATGTCTGTTGTACTGTTGTATAGTCGATTCATATTGCTTAGTTTGAATTGTCCTTTTAAAGTGGGGTTGCCAATCAGCTACTGACTGTGATTAGTGATGCACATTAAAGACAGATTTTTGAAATCACATATCTATATATTTCATCTAACCTTTGGGTCCGTCAAACCAGCCCCGAAATCAAATACATATATGCCATTGCAATGATATAGAGTACCCAATAACATGACTTTGTTCAAAGGTATCTGTATACTATGAACGCAGGTGCTTGTAACTTCATGTAGATGTCAGCCACCCAATATCTCTCACCAACACACTACAATGCCCAAACTTGCTACACGTCACCAGCCTCCCATCTCCATGCTGCTCCAACATCTCCAGCATATTCCACATCCTCAGGCTGCTCAATATTACCAGCCTGTCCCATTTTCCAGTTTGCTCCACATGCCCAGCCTGTGCTACAACACCTGCATTTTCCTCCTCCGCCTTCTCCACATGCCCCGTCTGTGCTACAACACCTGCCTTTTCTTTCTTCAGCCTTCTCCACATCCCCAGCCAGCTCCTCTTCTCCAGCCTTCTCCACATCCCCAGCCAGCTCCTCTTCTCCAGTCTCCTCTTCTCCAGTCTGCTCCCAATCCCCTGCCTGCTCCTACTTCTCTAATATGCTTCACATCTCCAGGTTTGTTGATTTATCACCAACCTGTCCTACTTACCAGTCTACTCAACATCCCTAGCCTGCTCCATTTCTCCAACATGCTCCACATCACTTGGTTTTCAACATCTCAAGCATGCTCCATATCCCAGCCTCACCACTTCCCCACCTTATATACATCTAGCTCCTACGTTACCAGCCTGCTCCCACCTCTCCAGTCTGTTCCATATCACCGGTCTGTACTACATCCCCGGTCTGTTCCACATCCCTGGTCTGTACCACATCACCAGCTTATTCCTCAGACTATTCCACATCCCAAGCCTGTTCCACATTCAATGCTTATTCCACGTCCCCAGTCTGTTCCACATCACCAACCTGCTCCACATCACCAGCCTATTCTACATCCATTGCCTGCTCACATTTTTTCAGTGTCCTCCACATCACTAGCCTACTCCACATCCCAAAGTCTGTTTCACATCCCCCAACCTGCTCCACATCACTAGTTTATTCCACATCTAGAGTCTGCTCATACTTCTCCAGCATGCACCACATCTTAAACCTATTTCACATTTCTACCTTTTCCTGCACAATCGACATGCTACATTCGCTCATACATCCCCAACCTATTCCACATTCCTCGTCACTCCACATCTCCCACATAGCCTTTTCTACTCCTACCACCCCTTTCATCCATATATCTTCCATCCATCCTAAAATTTCTGTCCAATCTCAAACTTTCCCCTACTTCCTCCATACTCCCTCATCCCTACTCCCATTTCCATCCATTAAATGTCTACCCTCATGCCTTGTTCTCATTCCCTTACCCATTCCACATATACCAAATTTTCACTATTTCTGCTTTAATTGCCTTGCTGTCGTCATGTGTATGGTATTCTGACATTTTTTTCTCGAATAATACCACTGCAGACGTCAATGTTAATACACCTGTAGTATATATTCTAGTTTGAAGTCAAAGTTTACACAAAATTCTTGATGAGAATCAATGGAATTAAGTAAACATCCATAGAAGTATGCAAATTTTCATTCGTTAGCTATAAATATGTTGTTTACATTATAAATGTTCGGACCTTCTTGTTGTTATTACTTCAGTTTAAGTTGCAGCAGTCACAGTAATGTTAACTTCAGGACTCATATCAATGATAAACAACAAAGGGTCAACAGAAGGCCCTTGTGATACTCTGATGCTGTAAGATTAATTTTGATGCTGGAAAAAGATCCAATTACATATAATGTACTTTAAAAGAAGACAACCAACCACCGAGTAGTTCGTATTTTATACGAGATCAATAAAGATATGTCCGAATTCTTCCTCAAAATTCCAGGGCACGAGATCACACAAAACTTACAAAAAGCCTTGGACTTTGAAGATGTCAAGCCTTCTGTCATAGTAAGTAGATTAATGACAATATTGTGAAAATAAAAAAAAAATTAGTTAACCAGCGAAGAAATATACCACCTTAACTTCAAGTGAAAGTACTGGTTGTCTCCCCTTACATCTGATGTTGCATGTTGACGTCTAGGGGACTTACGATTCTATCACAGGAATCTCAGCATTAACACCAGAAAGATATTAATGTTAATCATAACAGCAGTCACATGGACGTCCCAGCATTATACCAAGTTCGTGGTTAGATAATCATGTTCCAGTACACAAAATAATGAAAACACGTTGCCTCACTCGTGATTTATATACATAAACTTTTCTATTTGCTAATGTTGCACTGTATATCGTGTGCCACGGCAGTTTGGCTTTCAATGACAAAAACAAACACACACGCGTGGTTGGGTTAACTGGCACTTACCGTGCGATTATATCGAGATTAAACAAGCTTAGGAACGCACGGTTATAAGTTCAGCGTGACGTCATGAGCTTCAGGACCGAAGCAGATCAAGCGCATTCTGAATCTCTCAGAATTAGCAAATGGGGGGCGAGAATGACCGAGAGACACCCACCGCGAGCAAATCTGTGTACAGCCTCTTCGAAAGCACGAGTATCTACTACCTATTGTACGTAGCGACTTACTTACGTATCCGGTACTTAAAGATCGTCACGTAGTCTGTCTTAGACTGTGTGTAGTTATACTTACTAGGTAAATCGGACAACTGCACCTCACATGTGACCACGGCGAGTATCAGCTGAGAGAAGTTACTGTGTCGGACTGTTCTTGTCGCAATCAATAACCACCATTGCTGTGCCTATTGGGAATGTTCTGCGACACTGTCAACTTCCACTCCCTGTGCAACAAAAACGTCATACACCACGTTTCATTAATGTTTCACTGTTTACGACAACGAAGCTCATAAAGCTTCACCGCCGTTGATCAGACTTAATGGAAAGTCAGGCTATGGACGAGCAGGATCATTGGAAACATTTACAACATCAAACCAATGAATCGATATTACTGCGTGGTTCTGAAGTCTGGTTAGATTGACCACGTGATTTCTTGATAATGAACGATGCAGCATGAAAACAACTTCCAAACCAAAATATTTATAAAGCATGTTCGTTTATCTTCAACGATATTAACTTACTCGAGCAGCGGTCCAGGTAATCGTAAATCTATTTCCTATTGTGTAGGATAACAGCAAGCCGATGATCGGATCACAAGAACAAGGGCAGGTTCGTTGTGTTGACTTGTCGCACGGTAGGATGGCCCTTAATTACAATGTTAGAAATAACACCACTTAGCACTATGTTCATCATGTCTCTTATTGATTAAGCAGTGCAATATACGAGGTTAAACACGTACTCAATTCAGAGAGAAAAAGAAAAATAAGTCAGTGAACATTACTACTTGACGCCCGCGATCGAGGTCATAAACAAGTACTGTTTTTAATAATCAATTAAAATTATTTAAAACATAGCAATTAAATGTTTTGAAATATAATATGAAACTCCACGTTATTGCTATTTATATGAAAAGTTGGCCTTTTCGCAAATTTACTACACAGAACTACCATGTAATTTAGCAATACATTTGCAACATTAGCAATGTCGTTTTGGTTAAGCTTCGTGAAAATATTTTTGTAGATCTGGAAAGGTGCGGTAGATCTAATAAATACTGTTTTCAGTATCCATGAAGGAAAAGCTATTTTAAACGTGAATATGTTCGAGAGACACAATGGGGGAAGCCGCTCATGAAAACTAGGGCATTCAATTTAAGTGCAATGAACAAATGTATCCGAAACGTCAATAGGAATGCATGCGCAAAATAAGAAAGCATATCCGTAAACGGTATGAAGTACAGATTAGTATGGAGACATAACGTTACAAGCTAAGGAATACGAAATACAACGAAATGTATTTCAGTCCGCCAAACGAACTGGGGGACTTGCTGTATTTACCCATGGGTTTTACTATTTAATTATTAAAGTCCCATTGCTATGGCAAATATTGCTGGACCAATATTGATCTCATTTGAGGCTTCACCAAAATAAAGCAATATACCATTTGGAACAGAATTAAAAAATAATCGATTTCACGAATTTTATAGTCATGTAACTGACAAATGTTCAGAAATTTTGACCAATATCAAATGAATCCGATATCTTGAAGCTATGAAGCAATATACTAACTTTGGTTCAAATATTACAGTAAAAATTTAAGTTGTTTAACAAGAAAAATAAAAAATTATTTTAAAAGTCTTTAAAATCACATAACGCTGGTATAGACTGATTTTGACTAATGTCAATCTCGTCCAAGCATCAAACCAAATTTGGTGCAAATCTGGTGGAAAAAAATCTCAAGTTAAAGACGGAGAAAGAGGCAAACCGACCAAGGAAACAATATGCCACCTATCATCGTTGTCGGTGGCATGAACATTCATACAGAAAATGGCGCTGCTTCTTTTTTGGTCGATTTTGCCTTTTTACCAGAAAGTTCCCTACAATTTGTTTTGTCTTTCTGAATCAATCGTTGGATAGTTAATTCTTATCAGTCGCTATTTCCCAGTCTCTTGTGACAGTTCACAGCTGTCATAACGGGATGTCTGCTCCTTTGTTGTTTTTTTTAGGTCAATGTCTGACGGCTATACGATACTTTATAAAGTTTCCGAACAAAGTGACCGTCGGGTTTGCATTAGAGGGGGCTGTTTCATCTCCGGTAAGGTGACTACTGCAGCTAGACGACGCTGCATCTCTATACTCTTACAGTCAGTCATGAAAGAATCGATAGCTTGGTCTGTCTCCGCCTGTGATATCTTTGGTTCAAGATCAAAAGAAACATGTTTGATATCACACCAGTAACATTAACCGACTTTTAATTTCTTCCTAGGAAATCTGTAAGGAATTGTTTCAACCTAGCGATTGTGCAGCTAACCGCGAGTCTTCGCGATCGGACCGATCGGTTTTCACTTTTTGACGCAACATATTTCATTGGCGCTTCGTATATCGAGAATGGGACACATGGGATTCGAACGACTATGTACAGTATGGCACCATCTCGGATATCATAGCTACTTCTCTTCGTTTCACTCTTTATAGTGGTAAGCGTGAAGCCGAAGGGGAGTGAGAATGCTGAAGTCATTTTCTCGAGAAGAGAAATGTTTCCCTTTGTGAGCTATCGAAGATCAAATCTTCTGCTTTGCATGTGTCATTAGCGTCATGGTGAATTCTGTAATCCAAGCCTTGATATCGGAGTAGTCATATATTTCAAATCTTCCTTCTCTTCTTCATCCCAATGGCAACCGGAAATACCGAAAAATATTCCGGGCCTTAACATCATAACCTGAAGATCTTGACAGCCTGTAATTTTGATCCGATTGCTAATTCGGATTCTCGTTTGTGCAGAACCGAGTTCAATCCATGAAACTTCCATCATCTCGTTTTTATGTCCACAACTCTGGGTATGATTGACAGTTGTCCTGGATCACTAGACAAATGTCGGTCGGTTATCTGTTTCTTAGATAACGGATACTTATCACGGCCGATCTCTTCAAAAGGTCAGTTGTCTGGGCATACACGATAAATTGTCAGTGAAATGTCAGATTAAATTTAACTGGACGTCATTTTATTGTCGGTCTCTTGGCAGAATAATTGCAATGTCAGACTCCCTAATATTCTATCCAATTTCACGGATACGGATTTCGCTACATTTTTTCGCAGACGCTTGGCATGTACAGTACAAAAACACTTAACCAGAAATAGAATATTTGTTCGCTTTTTCGTTCAACTGTAAAATGGTTGGTAAATCCCAGCTTTAGTGTTGGGGACGGCTGTATCGTTCTACTGCTATTTTATTTGTAGTCTGAAATATTCTGAGGTCTTATTGATTTTTTTAAAATCGATTTGGAGTCGATTAAAGTCAGCACTCCTGCCCTATAAAAAGTCGGGGAATTAAGCGACCTGCGCCAGGGTCAGCATGCAAACGACAATTGTGGAAAGGAATCGCCATTTTCACAAACAAGGATAGAAAGCATGTCCTTTATCTACAAGATGATATCGATGCCATGTTTCAAAATTCGTTGCAAAATTTACATATGATTTCTGTACTTACCCTTATTTTTCAGGAAAATATGACAAGACTTCGACCACGTGACTTAATGAGATATTCTGCACAAGTTAGGATTTCAATGCATATATTAGGAGGTCAATGTATGTTCTGGAATGTACCTCTCAGTTCTGATCGATTTATAAAAACTAGCTCTACCATGATTGTGCCAAAACAGGTTTGCAGAAAATGTTTTGAGGTATAGTTCTGAGTATGATCTTGTAAGGATACTGTATAATTTACACGAATCGATTCTGGAACATGTGAATAAGGAATGGTATCAACCTAAAACACTTTAGAAGGATGCAGGTTAAGCAAGATGTGTATGGATATGAAAAAAACATGGTTAAATAAATTGTGCAATAATGTTGAGTTTTTCTAATACATGACAATTTCATTACACGCCAGTTGTGAAAATTATATGTTAAGTTTCATGAAAATAGGGAAGCTGTTAATTATTGTAAAATGGAATTGTTACTATGAGATAATTGTCTAATATTGAATTATGTCATAAATGTGGTCATATGTATAACGATGTAGCCATTCATGAAGTTCTGCAAAATAGTTCACCTGGCGAATTAAGGGACGAATTCTGGCATGAAATCATGATATTAGTGATATATTGTTCAGTGTGTATTTGAACGCCTTAAACGATTGTTGAATATTTCATGGTCTGGTGGGTGGAAACTTTTCTCATGACTTATGTAACTCCGATCTTGAAGAGTTCCGTATGAAGTCTATGAAATTAATTTTCTGAATGATGAAATTAATTTTCCGAATGATGACGTCATATTACAAATGAACAACCAGGGTATCTATACTGCATAACGTAAAATAATGAAAAGGGCATGTTGTTTCTTGCAGCTTGTTCTGACACAATAATACCATAGTCTCGTTGGGACTGACTAGCCAATTCATGCATTTTTGATGAATGTATTACGATGCTCTGTAATTAGAATCTTCATTCATGAAAGATAATGGGTAGATATGAGGTGATAAATGATTTTTGACAGCAACGCTATACTGATAGCTTGTGTGTGCCGCTTCACGTATCCTGTATACCGCATGTTATGGCTGACACTTGATGCCATGTAGTTTGTGTTTTGTGACTGTTTTATGGTTACTTATCGTAACTCGGACCCTTCCAACGTTAAACATTTATATATCTATTTATGTATTTATCTATTTTTTTATTCATTTAACAGCAGTAGTAAATAACACTTTGTCAATAAATAATATCATCATAAAACCTTCAAATGATGATAACCTTTACCGTATAACGGCAAAAGCAATCAAGATAGGATTTTGTATTGTATTGCCCGATGTCGAGTCAGATGCAAATCAATCCATAAAATCTCAGTATAAAGCTAAG